ACGTTCCCTTTGATCCCTTCTTCCGACTTGGTCTTGACCTCCTAGGCCCTTTCCCTGCATCCACTTTGGGGAACAAGTGGATAGCTGTCGCGACGGATCATACAACCCGGTACGCTATCACGCGGGCTTTGCCAACCAGCTGCGCCACAGACGTTGCCGATTTTCTCCTGCACGACGTCATACTTCACCATGGCGCCCCACGCCAACTCCTAACAGATCGTGGGCGCTATTTCCTTTCCCGAGTTATCGACGACCTGCTTCGCTCCTGCGAGACGAAACATAAATTTACGACAGCTTACCACCCGCAAACTAACGGACTCACTGAACGATTCAACCGGACTTTAACTGATATGCTCGCTATGTACGTATCGTCCGACCACCAGGACTGGGACGTTGCATTGCCCTTCGTTACGTTTGCCTATAATTCTTCACGCCATGATGCAGCTGGTTTTTCACCTTTCTACCTGGTGTTTGGCCGTCATCCAACTTTACCTTTCGACACCATCTTTCCGACAGCCGTCGACTTTACGACTGAATACACCCGTGATGCTATCACCAGGGCTCGCAAAGCACGAGAAGTTGCTCGTCAGCGCCTTTTAGCATCGCAAGATCACCAGCGGCATCGTTACGACTCACATCACCGCCAAATTTCCTTTACACCAGGTTCTCTTGTGCTATTGTGGACTCCGACTAGACGCGTCGGACTTTCTGAAAAACTGCTTTCCCGGTACTCGGGACCCTACCGCGTATTGCGCCAGGTGACAGATGTGACATACGAGATAGCCCCGCTCGAGTCTTCCTCCGCCTCCGCTTCGCTGTCTACAGACATTGTCCACGTATCCCGCCTTAAGCTTTACCACTCGGCAACACAATAGAAAGCACCGAGACGGTGCTTCAGCACCCGGGGGTTATGTTACGAGACAATGCCCCACTTAAACAGTGAGATAGGCGCTGAGGAAGACGAGGTGACTTGTGTGTGCGCGCGCTCTCTCTTGTTCGCCATCTTGGCTTGCGCGTTGGCGCTGTGTAAATATATTTTAAAACGCCTAGTTTCCCTTGTGCCTTCACGCAACAATATATATATATATATATATATATATATATATATATATATATATATATATATATATATATATATATATATATATATATATATATATATATATAACAGAAACAGGCGCAAGCCTAAGTTATGAGTCGTTTCATCATTTCCTCGGCATATCTGTGGTATGTTCAGAGCAAGTATAACGTATAGATAGTATACAAAAGCTGACCGGATACTGCAGACTGCTAGTTAACATCCCTGATGTCACTGCTGTCCAAAGTGCTGCCATCGGGAAAATGTCGCGAATGTCTCATTTTGGCCCAATCTGCGGGGCCAAATGAGACGCAGCGCGGGCCAAGACGACACTGGCAATATTCAGGTGGTTCACCTCTTGCAGGACAAGCGCTTTAGACTCACTCCCTCAACACCGAAGCAATCTCGCGGATGCTCTTTCTAATGCGCGCACTGAATCCAAACGTATCCTGCAGCTTTGGTGTTCTGCTTGGATATCAAGCCCCGCTCTTTCAGCTCTGTGAGCTGCTTTTCTTGTTTAAGGCTATTCGTTTTGATCGGAACGCGCATCTGCGAAGCGCTTGGCTATGAAATTAGTTCCACTTTCTGAGGTGTCTCTGCAGGAATCACATCCCCGGGGACACCGAAAGAACCTCGAAGCAGTACCATTGCACCAATAGTGATGATGATGGAGTTGCAGTGCGTGTGTGCTTGACAACAGGGCTAAAGCCAGTTGGTGCGTACTCATTTTAAAATGGAGAGAGCATGCAAACACGCACACAAGAAGGAAGTCAGGACACCACAAACACGTGGTTGTGTCCCGACTTCCTTCTTTGATTGATTGATATGTGGGGTTTAACGTCCTAAAACCACCACACGATTATGAGCCTGAGACGCCGTAGTGGAGGGCTCCGGAAATTTCGACCACCTGGGGTTCTTTATCCCGGCTGCGGCGGCTGCACCTCCGATGGAGGCGGAAACGCTGCAGGCCCGTGCGCTCAGACCCGGGTGCACGTTAAAGAACCCCAGGTGGTCTAAATTTCCGGAGCCCTCCACTACGGCGTCTCTCATAATCATATAGTGGTTTTGGGACGTTAAACCCCACATATCAATCAATCAACCTGGGGTTCTTTAACGTGCGCCCAAATCCGAGCACACGGGCCCACAACATCCCCGCCTCCATCGGAAATGCAGCCGCCGCAGCCGGGATTCGTACCCGCGACCTGCGGGTCAGTAGCCAAGTACCTTAGCCACTAGACCACCGCGGCGGGGCCCGACTTCCTCCTTGCGCACGTGTTTGCGCGCCGTCTCCTTTTAGTGTGGGCATCTAGGCACCCTAAAGGATAGGCCGAGAATCGGGCGGATATATTTACATATAAATTTACTAGGCCCGATAGTCGACACTTGCGACGCGCTCTTTGAACACGAAAAGCACAAGTAGGTCACACACGAGCGCGAACTAACAACTCGTTCCAACCCTTCTACGTTCGATAACATTGATAATAGAATGCACAAATCTTTAGAACCTCGTCATCAAATGCTTCTAGTGCATCCTTTACGTCGCTTTCATCCCACCAACCTGCGTGTAATTTTCTCTAGTATTTCTGCAGAATTTTAATGAAGAGGTACATAACATATATGACAAAATAAATTATTCGCTACGTAAGAAGCCTTTTAAGCTCATTGAACACATTTTTGTCACGCTTTAGTCCTTTGAAGTGCCCTGTATAATTTTATCGCTTTTAAGTGTCCTATATAGTAAAGCAGCTTAGTGGTGCCAAGCCCGAAGAAAAAGCGGAACTGAGTGACCTTCCTTGTACCTTTTTTATTAGTACGAAATAGTTTTATGCCGGGGTCACCCACGACTCCACTGTCGACGTACTTCCGTCACGGAAGTGACGTTGAAAAATATACCAAAAAATTGCAAACATCGAAGCCAGAAGGCAAGTATTTCACGCGCGGAATCGAGCCAGAACCCTATCGACTCTCAGCGCGCGGCGCTAACCACTACGGCACGGAGCGTACGTTACCTCGAATGCTGAAGGCAAGCAATTTATATACACCATACACCGTAAGGCAGCCCTCAGAACTTCGAAACCTTAGCGCGTTTCGTAATCAGTGGCGAGATGGCGCGACGGGCTCGCGTTGGGCGCGCTCTGAAGGTCATCGCCTCCACGGAGTGTGGTCTCTTCAGCGCACGTGCTTATCACACTCGTAATTCGGTACAGGACAAAGGTCACTTCGCACGCTGCGCGGCCACGTTTACGAAAAGAGCGCGCTGCTGACACACGACGTCGGAAGAAGTGCGACAGTTGTTCGCGCTTGTCCTGCGTATACTAGTGCGCCCGTTTCGTGCATCTTTCATTCGGTTTGTACAGCGCGCTTCAAGTGTCGCGCTGTGACAGTGGTATAGTCTGCTTATCTCTCAGTAAATGAAACTCTTGTTAAATGGGCCACATTTTCCTAGTCCCTTCAGGTTTATTTTACCTGGAGTCTACTTAAATAATTTTACATCCTTTTGAGACATACCTTGTTTTTCTGGTATACCCCACATGGTACGAAATTTCATTTTTTTCAGCGTGTAGAAATACTACACAACTGTACAGTGAAGTACTAATTACTAACCAGCGAGCTCAATCCTTCAAGTTAACTTGAGAAGATGTGATTGCTACAAAATATAAAATGTGATTGTAGCTAACATAGAAGCAGAGTGAAGGAAAAAAAAAAATTCCAGGCGTACGCAGAACGCACAGCCAATCCCAGAGAAAGCTGGAAGAACGGCCTTTCTAGAGCCTTTTTTAAACATTCTTTGGGTAACTGCTACAAGACATTTGCAGTGTACGTACTATGCCATAAATCATCGTTTATGTAGTGGGGAAGCCTTCACGGAGCCAGTTGTCATTCTTTGGAGAAGCGTAATGCCCGCTACATACGTGCAATTTTTTCATGCTGTGACTGACAATGATGAAGAATTGTGGCTCCGACTTCTGTAGTGGGTTAGAGCATTCGATGAACCACTCTTTACCCAATTCACATTGTATGACGCCGACGCCTCGATCTTTTGCAGTTCTGAAATACTTAATTACATATATCAACGAGATTCCTTTTCTGATAAAAGAAGCCTGCCTAGGGCCAGTTTGCAATGAAGTTCTAAGCACCGACGTGGCTCAGAGGTAGACTACTGGGCTGGCATGCAGGGCACCCGGGTTCGAATCCCACTATGTCATTGGTGTAAAGCTTTTTCCTTAATTCGTCCGGTAGTGGTTACAGACTCCGGTGGCGGTGGCGGCAGACAACTACGACACACGCAACCCTTGTTGTGATCTCATACCAGCTTTCGCTTTGAAAGTGGCCACATGATCTTTCACTAGTGCACACACACAAAAAAAAGTTCTGGAAATGAATAATCATTGCTATGGTTTATGTTCCGAAACCACGATATGATTATGAGGTACATTGTAGTGGAGGGCGCCGGAAATTTTGACCATCTGGTATTCTTTAGTATGCAGTGACATCGCAAAGTGTACAGGCCCCAAGCATATCCACTCCATCAAAATGAGACCGCCACCACCAGGATAAAACCTGCAACCTTTGGGTCCTTGAAGTGAACAGCAGACAATGAACATTGTATAAATGTTGTGGTTCCTTGACGTGAACAGCAGACAGTCAACACTGTATAAATGCTGTGCAAGCCACCTTTCTCAATATGCTAGCTTCGCAGTAAGACAGCCAGCAGGGCTTTTGAGTGAATGGTTATGAAATATTGTTGAACCATAGATACTGACCTTCTAAATAACGATATCTGTCAAACATATGGCTTTCTGAATCTAAGCTAAAGCACTTGTTTGAACTGTGAATCACCAGGGCTACCGTATCAGAAGTATATATATATCAAAGCACAGACAAGAAGAAAAATAAAGTTGCTGAATAACTAGACTCATTCAATCAGAAACAACCTCAAGAAAGACTTTATTTAACTAACACTCCTTTACAGAAAGAACTGCACTTACGGTACTCTCAAGGGCTGATATCTCGGCTTTTTGCACCAATATGACAGAAGCCAACAATGTATGTTCAGCGTTGCAATGCATCAACTTTAGTACTCCTTGCAACAAATGTCCACCTGTATTTGGTACAATAAAAGTTTCTTGTTTTTGTAAATAGAATCAAAAGAACAAATGTTTTATTGACAAACACCAGTGAATTGTAAGTGACGTGTGAATGGGCGCTTGTTATCATTCAAATGTGAGCTGTTGTTTTGTACAGAGACATGCTTCTTTTGTATGTATAAGTATTCACATTTTGTGCAGCGCTCCTCTCCTATGCTAGTACAAAAGAAAAGGGTACAGCTGTGCGACCCTTCGACGAAACAATCGCTTCTTCTTTGTAAGCACAGGGAAAACACACAGTACTAATCGTTTAATCAACGACAAAGCAAACAACGCTTGCAGGATCAAGTGTTCATTGCACACAGTCTTTTTCATCACACGAAAAACAATCTTCGTCGTCGTAGGCTGGGGCGGCACCTTCGCGCACATCACGACTGCACGCACTGCACTGAGTGCTGAGTGTCCATGTCGTCGTCGTCATCAGTGTTGTCACTGTCGGTGCTGCTGTCGGCGCCGCCGCCTCTGTCGCTGCGCGCCTTCAAAGGTTCAAAAAGAGAATGTTATGTCGCTGAAAGAGAAACAGTAAGTGTGTTGTATGTAACCACCTAAGGTTGAGTACCCATCTTCCATATTACCAGTGCATTCATGCAGGCACTTTCGATCGCGATCAGGGCCCATTAGCATTAAGCTCAATCTGGCCGGATCCGTTGCTGCCCATTTCGATCATGATCGGGTCCAATCGAAATCAAGACATTCACTATCTCACTCGCATGTCGTGATTTGGCTGATGTGAGCGTTAAACTTGATCAGCATTTGTTTGGACACTGCAACAGTGACTACTGTTGGTCGCAATTGATAAATGCCACCCACATGGGGCCTCGTTGCATAATAACGTGCCTGTATTTAACACTGGTAAAACACTTTCACTTCCTGATCATTGATAGGGAGGGCCGACTTCTGGCCTTGTTGGTAGTACATATCTGAAATGATTTAGAACAGATTTTTGCTTGACAGGACAAGATGGAGGAACACGCACTGGTACTAACTCTCAACAAAAACATTCCGACTTTATTGAAAGTTAGTGCTTGCGTGTGTTCTTTCGTCTCTTCCCATCCAGCGAAAATGTGCACTAAATCACTTCACACACTAATGGGGAATGAAAAAGACAAAATCTTTCTGTGTTCGTAAATTACTTGTTCACAATACCAAACACACCACTCCTACTGCAAGAAGACAGTTGGCAAACGAAAAGACACACGAAACGAAAGCACAGGCAGTCGTCGTGCTTGAGGTTCAAGTGCCAATTTTTTTGTAATGTCACATTTTGAAGCATACGCTATATTTTACACAATATTTTAGTGATAAAGATTACTTACAATGATCTAAGGAAGGCAGATACGTATGAAGTACGAGTTTACAGAAATTTTATTGAGCCATCATGCCCACACAGAAAACCTTCGATATCTGTGATATCACAATCGCATTCAATTGCTGAAGTGTGGGAATGAAGTTCAATATTTAACCAGAGTTTCATTTCCCTTTCAAGAGTGAACGTATGAGTGTAATATTAACAACAATGAAGTTCTCCTTAGTTTTAGAATTCAGTACGAATGTGTGAATAGTAAATTTTAGATTTGAGGCGAATGGTGACTTGGTCAAGTAATTTTGAATGGAGTACCGTATTTACTCGATTCTACCGCGCCTTGGATTGTAACGCGCACCCGGTTTCCACGACGAAAAAAAAAAAAGAAAAAGAAAAGTAAGACATTGATTGCAACGCACACCCATTTTTCTCGTTCGCCTACACGATCACACCACTCAGGAAAAAGACTCCTTTCGGGAGCGTTTTCCGATTAAATATGAGGTACGGAGGAAGCTTGTGCCTATCTGACGTGCAACAGAGCATTGCCGTCACTCTAGTTTTACCGTGGCCCGATGTCAGCACGCGAACTTGCTTCGCCCCCTTCTTCTCGACGGTTGTGGTGCCAGGAATGTCGAAGTAAAGAGGCGTCTGATCGGCATTCCCGATTTGCCCAAGCAGGAAGCCGTTGTTGTGCTACAAGTTTAGGACGAACCTCTCAAAAACTGAAGCTTTTCTTCGTACTCCTCCGGCAACTTTTGGCATATGCCCGTTCGCCTTCAGAGGGAAAAGCCTTTCCTGTTCATAAAGTTAGTTAGCCAGCACCTGCTCGCTTTAAACTGGCTCCGCATTAGCCCTTTTTTTAAGGCTAACTGCACAGCCTGCACTTGGAGCAGTTCTGTCGTCACGGGCCGCTGTGCCGCTCACTGCTTAATCACATACTCGCCGAGCAGCTCTTCAATTTGCGGAAACCGACCCTGCTGTGGTCAGCTGAAGCCTTTGCGTGAATCTTTGCTGTCAACAATATTCTGCTTTTGTTTCCGCCAGTCCCGCACGCACGTTTCGGGAACCCCGAACGACCGCGATGCAGCCCGATTTACGTCCGTTTCGGCACACGCGATGACTTTTCTTTTAAAAGCGCCATCGTGGTGCACTCGTCGAGTTTTTGGAGTCGGCCCTTCCATGCCGTCGATGCTAATGCACACCAAGATGACGAACTCCTCAGCAGACGTACGAAGTGCCGCACATGGGAAACACATAGGCAGAAATGGGCCGTATTCATTTTTTTTTTCGTACTCGATTCTAACGCGCATGCGATTTATGAACTCGCTTAACCAGAAAAATGGTGCGCGTTAGACTCGAGCAGTTACGGTAGTTCAAATATGACATATTACATATTATGAAGAAAAATGAGCACATTCGTAATGACTCAACTAACCAGCACAACAGTTTTTAAATTCTGGACGAGGCATATGGCACAGTTTTTTTTTTCTTTCCAGTTCGAAGTGAAGTGGAAGCAACTTTGAATGTAGCAAGACTTGAGTTTCAGAAGCATGAAGATTGTAACCGGCGAAAAACTTTGTTCTAAAATTTATTATACTTAGAACATATAAACCTATGTTTTGGCAAAAAAAAATGATTATTGAATGTGAAGGCAACATGCTCACTTAACCTTGGTGTGGGCATGCACAACAGTGCAAGTTTTCGCTGATCAAGCATTTTCATGGCATAGCGCCCCTACACTGCAGCGAAACTACCTTTGCAGGGCTATTACATCCGGTCTAATATTTGCCTATTTGTACATGTGAGCACCTTGAGATTTCAAATAACATAAACTAATGCTGACAAAAATTCATATACCGTAAAATATTTGAAGTACTCGAATATTCACACACGATCATCATTTAATGATCCGCTAGCGATAAAAAGAGGTCGCCTAGACAGTCGCGTTAAGAACGATCCTCATCGAAAACTGATAAATTTCAAGCTAACTACGCAAATCACTACATCTCCCCCTTAATAATAATAATAATAATAATAATAATATAATAATAATAATAATAATGAAACAATGCCTTACTCGACTCTGAGCCGATCGATGCAGTTGCTGCATCAGGTACCACAACATTTGACTGTCGATCGCTTCATGCCCTTCCCGCTTCCTCTCCTCTTCTCGCTCTTTCATGTTCTTGCACACCCTCTGGAAATGACATGCACAAGGAAGCATTCTCAAAACTGTCAAAAGCATATGATAACTACAGACCAAAGTGGCTAGTCAAGTGTTACGAGAGTTATGTACAATCAACGCATACAATTCCATCACAACTAAAATGTGCATCGCAATGAAATGCACAGATTGAAAGCCTAGGATATAAATATGAACATAAAAAGCTTACTGCAAGTTCTTCCTGCATATGCATGTATTTACTGCATGAATCTAAGAATTCCCAAATGTAATATAATGAGTGCATAATTTTTGCGAGTTCAAAAATAGAGAGAGAGAAAGAAAAGAAAAAAAGAACAGCCCCCAAAATATATTGCTACTTGATTTTTAGGAATGTGGCATGACCTTATGTTGACAATTAGGAGAGAGAAAAGAAAAGAGAGAGAGAACAAAGAAGAGAGAGGCAGAGATAAACAATTTGCCTGTACAGGACAGAAAATGTGTGTTCCTGCAGTTCACTCCCCCCCCCCCCCCCCCCTTTTTTGCCTGCGTTTCAGCTCTGTTGTGTGCCTATTCAAAGGTCGAGACTTCATGAAGCTCAAGCTGCGTGAAATAATTTTAAAAAGTCTGCAAGCTTGTTTTAGAGGTCCAGACAGTCTCTACTTTTTCAGCCTGTGGAAATTTCCTTGGTCGAGATGCAGCTGAAAAACTCATTTGTTCAGGTGCACGATGAACGGAGGTCTCAGGAATAGGGAAAAAAAAAAAAAAGTGGCAGATTGCCATGTCAAGCATGCAAAATAACTTTCCTTTTACACTATAGCAGTGTAACACCGTTAGTGCTTCATTCGGAACAGGTCGCAGAGGGCACAGAATGAACATTTATGAACGCATAACAAGATGTGCTCTGTAGCTATTATTTTAATGGCGGTGACGTTGCACCTCACCTCTGATGTTAGGCTGTTGCCAACCCCACTAATCTAGCTTTAATTTCATACTCCACTTTTATGTGAAGATTAATGTTTGTCAAATGAGTTACATAGAGGTCCACAAGGTAAAGCAAGTTTCATGAACAGAACACAATATACTCACAGTAAATAGACATGTTCTAGGTAGAACTGCTGTTCAAATGATACAAGTGCTTTTGACAAGATCGGTTTTGTACTACTTGTATTCTCCAACCTTGCTGATCTCCCAGTAAATGGAACTTAAAATGGAACATATTTTCCTGGTTCCCTTAAGCTTCAATTTTATGAGTACTGTTGTTACATGAATACCTCTTTTATTTTTACCTGCCTTCTTTAGCAACATGTACTCTTATAAATCTCAGAGTTAACACAGGTTATAAGTATGGCTAAGGACAGAAATCACGATCGAAAAGTGTATAAAGGCTACGCATATGCATCTGGAAATTTATGGAGTTGCATAGATACCGTATTTACTCGCGTAATGAACACCCTTTCTTTATTGCGATAGCAACTATATCAACACTCACGGCTGGATTTTGCCGCCAGCGTCAGCATCGATGTCATGCACCGTATATGTATACGTATCTATATACAGTTGAGCCAGCTTATAACGAACCTGAGCGTGACGCGGCATCTGTTCGCTGTATCCCGAAGTTTGTAGTAAATGAAACTACAGCTTTTAAAAAAGTTGCGAGTGAAAACACAAACTTTTTTGCCCCAAATGTCCGTGATGCACGCGTTTCGAAGAACAGAAGCGATAAGGGCGGTCTCGAGTTCATTTAAAACGGCAGTGTGCTCGTTCACTGAGGTCCGTGGCATAAGCTGCACGAGGCACTGGCTCCAAAGTTTCGTCGTTCTCGCAATCCGATTCCTCCAAATCGCTCTCGCCACGTACTTCATTCACAATGCCCCAATCCGTGCACAGTTCCACAGGGTCGGCATCATCATCGGCCGTAATTAAACCATCGCAACAGATGTCCCACCCGCTCTCCCAAATCGGAGTCGACGACGCGCTGCCACAAATCGCCGCCGCAGTTCGAAAGCTTCAGGCTCGGCATCGGGCCCGACGTCGATCAAGTCAGCCTCGCGAAAACAGTTTCGCGCACCGCCGCCAACGAAATATTCACCATCTCCACAGCTGAATACCGGGACACCCGAAGCGGCAAGTTGGCTGCTAGGTGGTCAACAGCTATGAGCGAGCGCTCCGCATCGCGGCACCTAACGCGCGGATTACGCTCAAGCGAAGCGGTCACACTTTCGACGTTTTGTTGAGCGGCAGAAAAAAGCGTGCTAGTCCTTCCGTCGGCCATCATGACCACACACGCTTACCAAGAGCGAGCACGACGCGCACACGCGACACACATGCCAGAACGCGTGGAACAGCTGTGGGCCCGTTTCTAGTTAGAAAATGAAACTAACTCGAGTCAGCGTGGCAGGCATCGCGGAGTGGTGGAGACGGGCAAAGGGGTTGCGATCAAGAGAGGAAAGCAGATTTGCAAGAGAAGGGCAAGGAGTTGCGATAAAGAGAGGGGAGGACACGGCAGGAGGGCGCCCTTGAAAACCAAAACACACGAGAAGGAAGCAGGTTGGGTAGCTTGCTTGAAAGGTCCGCGAAACTCGCACGTAGAAAAACTTGGAAAGAGTGCCTGCGCGCGCATAAGTCAAATCATGGCCGCCTGGATTGATGCGCGCTGCGGTGTTCAAAGAATCGGCAGCCGTGGTGAAAAAATCGTTTTGTTGCGCCGGTGGGTTTGCGTGGCCTCACGAACTTCGATATTTCGCGGTTTGTTCCGCGTAAATTAACAGCCGTCTTCGCACTTCCGCACGCGCGCAGAAGGCATGCTGAGTTGAGTGCGAAGTGAGCGAGAACAAGTCCTAAACACGAAATGAATCGCAAATTATCAGAGTCGGTGGGGTAGAGTACGCGCGTGCATTAGACGCAGACTATCGGATAAAGTCGTTGACCGACGATGTTGGCGAATGGTCTGGTCACTCCAGGTCTGCGACGCCAACGACAGTACCAGCGATCAAAAACAAGGTAGACGGCCGACCGGTCTTCGAAAGATCGGTGGCAGTGTGAAAACATGGGCCTTGTCTGGTGATGCGGGGTGCTCAGAGTAGCGGGGGGACAAAGGACGGAGGGGTGCGTAACAAAAAGCAGTCGGGGCATGGGGAGAGCGGCAACTACAGGATCGCGGAGGCAGGGTCGACGTTTAACAATAAGAATGTACAGGCACCTCGCCGATGCCTGATCGGTGGTCGAAATTGGTTTTCCAGAAAGTCGGCAGACCGCCGACTCCGTTATATGTGGGCTTGACTGTATATGAAAAAACAAAAAATAAAAAAATCTTGAAAAAAACACTCCGGCGCGCGGAATCGAACATGGGACCTCTGCATCATGAAAGCTAGGTGTTAACCACTAAGCCACCCCGGAGCATGTCCTTCACCATTCAAACGGCATATCTACCACTTACTGCTGCTCACGAGCACCTCCGGGGGCATTGTGTTACCAGCAAGATGGCATAATGAGCGCACGTCGCCGCATCGCTCGGTGCTATCTCCTACGCGTACTTTACACGGCTTAAAGAAGGCAAGCAATGCTTCCTCGGGCACCCTTATCTCGTGGTGGCGAGGAGGGGAGGACCGTACGCATTGGCTGGCCTCTGGCTTTACCTGGAACGATTCTGCTGTAGTTATCGGGCGCACAAAGGTCACTGCAATCATTGCAGTCTTCGTTTGCAAAAAGTGCTCGCTTTTCAGGCACAACGACATAGCAAATGAGACGCTCATTCGTGTACATTCGTACCTGTGAGTACCTTTCGTGTGTCATTTTTGCATGAGAAACGCGGGGCACGTTTCGATCAGCTTTCTATTCTGCATGTGACCTTTTGATTTGTTGCTGTCGCGTTCATTACTTCGCCTCTGCGGCAAAGCTGTGACCTTTTTTGTTTCGAAATATCGGTAAAAAGTTGGGGGTGCATTTGTTATGTGGGGCAAATTTTATGAAAACTTTTTCGGAATGAGTAAAAAATGCAGTACCGTATTTACTCGATTCTACTGCGCCCTCGATTGTAACGCGCACCCGATTTCCACCGCGAAAATAAAAAAAAAAGAGTAAGACATCGATTGCAACGCGCACCTTTCGGGAGCGTCTTCCATTTAAATATGAGGTACCGGCGAAGCTTGTGCCCATCTGACGTGCAACAGAGCATTGCCGTCACTGTAGCTTTACCGTGGACCGATGTCAGCACGTGAACTTGCTTCGCTTCTTTCTTTTCGACGGTTGTGGTGCCAGGCATGTCGAAGTAAAGAGGCGTCTGATCGGCATTCCCGATTTGCCTAAGCAGGTAGCCGTTGTTGCGCCGCAAGTTTAGGACGAACCTTTGAAAACTGTGATGTGAAGCTTTTCATCGTACTCCTCCGCAAAACTTTTCGCATATGCATGTTCCCCTTCGGAGGGAAAAGCCTTTCCTTTTCATAAAATTAGTTAGCCAGCACCTGCTCGCTTTAAACTGGCTCCGCATTAGACCTATTTCTAAGACTAATTGCATAGTCCGCACTTGGAGCAGTTCTGTCGTCACGGGCCGCTGTGCCGCTCGCTGCTCAAGCACATACTCGCCGAGCAGCTCTTTAATTTGCGGAAACCGACCCTGCTGTGGTCCACTGAAGCATTTGCGTGAAGCTTTGCTGTCGACAATCTTCTGCTTTTGTTTCTGCCGGTCCCGCACGCACGTTTCGGGAACTCCGAACGACCGCGATGTGGCCCGATTTCCGTCCGTTCCTGCACACGCGATGACTTTTCTTTTAAAAGCGGCATCGTCGTGCACTCGAGTTTTTGGAGTCGGCCCTTCCACGCCGTCGATGCTAATGCACTACTAGATGACGAACTCCTCAGCACACGTACGAAGTGCCGCACATGGGAAACACATAGGCAGAAATGGCCGACGCGCCATGCCAACGCACGTAGGGGGTGGCCATTTTGGATTTGCCGATGGCAATACATTGCCTGTAATTTTTTTGTTCGTACTCAATTCTAACGCGCATGCGATTTATGAACTCGATGAACCGGAAAAAAGGTGCGCGTTAGATTCGAGTAATTACGGTAATGCAAAAAAAATCTATGTCGCTTAGACTTTTGCAATCGACATATGCGTACACTGTTTGGAAACGGCTTCGTTGTAGCACTTGACTCATCTTTAGTGTTTGATGGTGCTATTTTGCGCAAGCTGTCCCTGCATCGCCTGCGCACGCCATACAAGCGTTTTGCAACTATCTTTTCTTGCAATTGTTTAACCGCAACAGTGGTTATCTGCTGTGACCTCAAGGGGCATCCAGAAGTGTGCGCTATGACACAGCGCACTTTGGCAACTTCCCGGCAACCTCGCACAACAATCGTGACGACCCAGTTGACATTGTAGCAAGTAACCAACATGCAGTTGACATTGTAGCAAGTAACCAACATTGAAGCAAACTACCAACAAACCATCGATAAGCGAACCATCGATAACAAGATTAACGACAAAATACAATCGCTACCCCACTTCCAGATGGGAAGTTCCTGTACATGCGGAGAACAAGCGAAACGAGAATTGGGGGCGCTACCATGTTGCGGAAATCGTCACGATCTTTTCTAGGTGACAAGCGTTTTTTTTTCTAATTTACCAGAAACCTGCGACGCACTAGCAACAAATGACCCTTCGCGACAGCAAATTCAGTCGTCGTGGCTCGAAAATCACATGCACTTCCTTGGGCCTTAGTTTTTAGTATTTGCAGGAAGCGACCGTCTGTTGGCACAGCAGTTTCGTGAACTTCGCTCGCTGTGTGCTATTTAACTGCTATGTCTCTACACTTGCACTGTTCCTGAACCCTGCTGTGGTGCATAGATACTATAAAGAGACTGGGTACGTGCCGCGCAGAGATCCAAAGAAAAACTATACAGCGTGCGGCAGCGGGCGAAGGGGGGAGGGAGAAAGGTGAGGTGGCCGAGGGGGGGTCGGAATAATAATAAAAAAAATGGAAGAGATCCAATGAGCAAGGAGATGCCAGGTGTTGGTTAGCGGTACTGCAGCGGATAAATGTGAGGGGGGAGGTTATTACGCGGGGGAGAAAAAATTCAAATTTTGACGACTGAAGTTGGGGGTGCGTCTATTACGCGAATAAATACGGTAGTCCACTATACTCGAGGACAACTTTCTGTGGCAATGAAGGGAAAGCTACAGGGGCGGAGCTACTGCAAATGTACTCCTCTGCAAAGTAGTCCAGCTGGACTCTTTTCAAATGACAAATGTGTTCAAATAATACCATAGCATAAAAATTGCTGTCTGCTTACACAGCTATTTGAGAATGAAATTCGACACAAGCTCCTTCGGCGAGTCGTCAGAATAGCTGGAGGACAAAGTGCGCTCACCTAAACACACGACATTTTTAGACATGAAAATGTGAAAATATACACTTCATAAAGAAAAACAAATAATTATCTTTTCGGTTCATTCAGCGTCTCTTTATAAACAGCATTCTGTGAAAAACAACGTAATGTCTTTTTATGATTTTCGTGTAAAAAACGGACACATTTGTGGGACTACAATCTTCAGAGGTGGCACATGCCCCCTTTGGTTCATAGATTTCCCTTCATTGCCACAAAAGTTGTCCCCGATTACAGTTCAACGGCACAAGTTCGCGAAATGCTAAGCATGGCTTTTTTTTTAATTAGTATTAACAAAGGAAGTCGGCAAAACGCTAAGCATGGCTTTTTTTATTACTGATAACAAAGGAATTCCAAAGTTCTATGCCCTTGAATATCAAGTACAGGACAATTTCGCTCCCATATTTTCACTGTGTCTATAATGTTTTGTGGGAAATGCGCTGGCATAATGAAAACCTATACTGGAACTTAAGGTGAAGACGTAGCTTCATTACATAGCATATTCAATTGCATGTGGGGCATGCAAGTTGCATGAAGGTCCGGCAGATGACTGATTGGTGCATACCTGCCCTGATGCAGCAGAGGGATTATGAGAGATGCTGCAGTAAAAAGATTTCATATTTTGTTCCGATTGAAATGTTTGAAACAGAGGTATGAGATAACAACATAATGATAAGAACCAGAGATGTGCAATCAGAGAGACCCGATGACCAGTCTACACACCGAAAGCAACTGATCAACACTGTGATTGAAACTCGTGCGGCAATAACAACCCGGGTGCTCACCATTTTCAGGTCCGACATGTCTGGAGGGTTCTCGCAGGAAGGCACCCATATCTTGACATCTTCGTCAAGCCCGCTCGTGGCCAGTATAGGGCAGCTAGGATGGGGTTCCAAGCAGTTGACCTACAAGGTTAACAAGGTTGCGCACTGAAGCATTAGCATAGCCAAAAGAATGCTCATCTAATGATAGGGACAGTCTTTGGAATATGTTTTGGAAAGAATTTGTAGCATGCTTTATAGGGACCCAAAAAGAAACAAGTACCTAAGCAATGAATTATTTTAGATTGATAAGTTATACACTGAGAACTCTAATGTCTTTAATTTCCCCGTCATAGGACTAGTAATAGAAGTGAAACTCAAGTCCAAAATTTTATTTTTCAATGTTGCACCAAAATGTCCGTGTGTGACATCCTCGAAACTTCAAGGTGGCGTCACCACCTGCATTTTCTTGCTTACCAAGCCTTTTCTCGCACCAAGCGTAGCGTTTTTGGTACCGTGAAAGAGCAATTTAAAAATGCGAGGAACATCATTTTGCTTTTTTTTGACAGCTGACGAAGTCAAAGATTATGTTCAGATAATGTTTCAAGATGCAGAAAGCATCTTTTCTACTGAAAAAGAAAGCGATAAAATAATAATAATAATTATAAAAAACAAACTGATTAAGCCACTGCTAAAGTAAAGCATGCCAGAGTGTGCATGACATTACAATTTATTCGAAATGATAAACTGTGCTTGACCACTGGTGATAAAATATTGCCGAGTTTATTGTTTTACATATTTCATCACTGAGGCAAAAATAATTTGGGTGGCCTTTCACAAACAGCTCACCACCTCTTCTGACAACTCTGCCAACACTCATTATCAATGTGTAACATCGACCATATGACCCTTAACTCTGCTAGGACCCGTTGATGATCTTCTCACACAACCATTCTGCTAAATGTAATGACTGTTAGCTCTGACACCTTCGTTGTTTTATACCCTTCAGCACTACCAGTGCACCCACAAAATACCGAAAACTCAGCATATCAGGAGATTGGTGACAACATCCACAATAAAAAAAAGTTATTCTTTTGAATTATGCACTTCACTTACTTTGCTATCTTGTGAATTTGACCTCTTGGTCAATGCACCATCGTTCCCTGTTGAGCTTGACAGATTATGGTGCTTACTGTACTAACAGTGCCACAAGTTTATTTTGCCACTTTTCAATAACGCATGTCCAAACACCAAATGACTACCCCATGACATTATAGTTGACAGTGCTCACATGACTTGGTTGCTTCACAGAGTACGATACACAACTCAAACAGTATCACAATGTATAGCTACAACGTGCCAACCCTTCCACTTTCCCCCAATCTCTAATCTTCCGTGAAGCCTGTGGTTGGTTCTCCACTGAAGAGACAACGATGGCAGATGCCCTTTCACAAGATATTGCACGCCACAATGCACATGCTAGTTAAATGCACTCACCACGCCTTCTTCATCGCCATGCATGGAGTGAATAATGTGCTCGCTCTCTTTGTCCCAAAGGTAGATATAGCCACAGTCGCTTCCACTGACGACGTATTCGCTCCGTAGACCCATGTAGTTGACGCCTTTCACTGTTGGCAGGAACAACACTTTTAATACTTATCAAGTCATAGAAACCTTACCACACGCCTCTTGCACACAACAACATTCACACTGTAAAGTCTGGTCTTGTTTTAAGAGTATACTTGGTTTAAAAATGCCGGACTTGGCATCACCCACATTATAGCAACTTTTTTCGACAGCGAAATTCACAGACGTCGTAAAGAAATGAGGCTAGGAATAAAGGTATTCCTCAAAGTTTTGTGAATATGTCTGTTTGCACAAGCATGTAGCGCCTACAGTGGCTGCAGGAATAGTGTGATGATGGCATATGTTGTTTATTGGCGCAAGGGCCATTTGACAGCCTAAAAGTGCCAATACATGGTGACATGTGCCAACTATGGTTGTATTATGGAGGCGGAAATGGTGTAGGCCTGTGTGCTCAGATTTGGGTGCACGTTAAAGAACCCCAGGTGGTCGAAATTTCCGAAGCCCTCCACTACGGCGTCTCTCATAATCATATGGTGGTTTTGGGACGTTAAACCCCACATATCAATCAATCAATCAACTATGGTTGTATTAAGTGGCTGTATGGAAGCCTAACTTTCCTTGCCCTAAAGGCAGATAAAACATGTAAGTATTAAAATTATGAGTGTAGCGAAATGAGTGGCAAGCGGTAGTGATAATAAATATCCAGAGACATGGTATAAGCACGGATGTATCGTGAACCGCCCTGAGACGAGTGCTTTCTGTGATGTAACTACCGCAGCAGTGACCTCCGTTCACAGACCGTGCTGCAGGTTACCAGGGTAAATCACATGAAAACAAGGAACATCTTTAAGAAAGGCGGGAAGTGAATCAAGTTTGAAAAACGGATCCCTACTGATGAACATCGCAGGATGAAGAAGCATTTGTTCTCGGTAGTGCAATCGGAAGAGCTTTTTTTCTAATAAAATCTGATGCCCTGCCATACTGAATGAGGATATGAAGCAAAAGGGGTTCCCCATATTTCTCGCACATAGGTGGATCACTACCGGACAATAGGTAAGAGTGTGTAGCGTATGTGTGTCCTATATTTAGCCTATAATTGTCGATTGTGTACGGTGGTCCCACGATACTGGCAAACATTTTCCAAGATTTGGTTTTGATAACATGTCGCTTATTCGGTGTTTACGTGTCCCATGTGCTCTGCCAATAAGCCCTTAACTTTTCTTTTAGGGAGGATTTCAAGTCTAGCGCCGAGACAGCTATGAATGCTTGAGCAGCGTTTTCGAAGATTGTTACAGCTAGGTGATCTGCCAACAAGTTTCCTTCAATCTGTTGATGCCCTGGCACCCAGAATATTACAACATGCTGTTTAGATGCATAAAGTGTGCATAGTAGTGAGTAAAGTAAGAAGATTGTAAGGTTTTTATGTGGCTTAGAATTTTTCAAAGCTTTTACAATGCTTGAGAAGCCTGCGTAATTAACAGCATGGTGTAAGCTTGCTTCCTAAATGTGTTTAGCCTCCACTGTAAAATATGCCTCCACTGTAAAAATGCTCGAAGTCGGGTGGAGGGTACCAGCATTTAAAAAGGACGGATCAACAGCTGCATAGTATACACCGGTGTCGGACGCACCTTTATAGAATTCGAGGCAGTTATATTTGTCTTGGAGTTCCAGAAAGTAAGCATCTGCAATAGGCGTGTGTCTTGACACTTCCTCGAAAGATAAATCACAGTCTATGAGCTGCCACTGCCACGGCAGCAGCTGTACAGCGGGTGACATCACGTGGTGTTCAAACAGTGGGGCTTCCATTTTTTTCAGCAAGATGTCGCACACGTGTTGAGTATGGTGCTCTCAATCCAGGACGATTATAAAATAACTGGGAACTAAACAAGTCATTTAGAATACTGTATGTGGGATGTTCATTGTCTGCAATCACTTGGGAAAATATACGACGAAAGTGTAGCACCTCTGAAAATGATGGGTCTACTCGTTTGATTCGGCATAAAGGCTTTCAACAAGGCTTGTCCTAAAAGCGTCTGTCAAACTACAAATATCTAGATAGTAAACATAGTAAACAGGGTCCAGCTTCACCAATGAGGCCAGTGTCGCAGGTTGATAAACAATAGTGCCATAGTCTAGGCGTGCGAGTATGAAACTTTTGTAGACATTCACGAGACATTTGGAATCACTTCCCCATGATGGACCATTACGAGTCTAGAATTACATATAAAAACTTTTGTTCTGTTTTTACATGCAGCAGGTGGCCCTGCAGATAAATTTCTGCATCGAAGTGTACGTTTCCCCACCTATAAAAAAGTAGACAGGTACTTTTTTTTCTGGGTTGAGGATGAATCCATTTCCATTATCCCGTTTCGACACCTTATTCAGAACAAGCTGAAGCTGCCACTCGAATATTGCTACAATGCAGGATTTAAATCTAATCTGCACATTGACATAAACTGAGCAAAACACATTGCATAGCATACAGAGATGCAAAGACTTCACTTTTGAATATGGTCCATAGTTTTTTTTCCTTTGTCTGTTTTGACATGGCAAAAGTGTATGCCTCATTTTGACATGGCAAAAGTGCAATGCTACTCATTTAAGTGTAAATTTATGCTCTTTTTTTGGTGTTCAGTTAAAGTTTTGCTGCACTTGTTAATTTATGTGACTGCAGTGGTCATGAATATACAGTAAAAGCTCGTTAATTCGGATTTCACGGGACCGGAAAAACTGTCCGAATTAACCGAATGCCGAATTAACAGGGAAAACAACATTTAAAATCAAGCTGCAGAAGCATACCTTTATTTGTTAAAGTATTTTGTAATTGTCGTCTGCGTTTTCGCCCAGATTCCGGCTGACATTACAATTTTTTTTAACTGTTCCAAATGGCCAACAGCACGCAAGCTGTCGGGAGTGTTCAGGCAAGCGTCCTCTAATATTAACAGCGCCTCCGAGACTTCGGGTGAGGTGCGATGAGGTCGCGGCTGTATCTCCTCGCATGATTCTTCGTCGGAATCGTGGTCTTCATGGGCGCCCGTGACATCATTATAATCTCTTGATCGGTCAGGAGACCACTCGTGGCGACACCATGATCAATCGCGATGTAGTCCTGAAAGGTCATGCATGCTCGGGCCTCACAAAACCGCTGTGCCGAAAACAGTTCGCGATGACTTGCGGCGGAGTGTTTTTCCACACGTGGGCGATGATGTGCACTGCGCCGAGTAAGTCCACTTGATACAACAACTTTCCAGCTTCTGAGCATAGGATCATTCGCTCTAGCAGGTGCTTGCGGTACTTCGACTTCACGTAGTGAATGATACCCTGGTCCATCGGCTGAAGAGCAGACGTAGTGTTGGGCGGCAAAAAAACTACTTTAATGCTCTTCAGTTCGACTGTACAGTTATGGGCACTGCAGTTGTCAACAACCATAATTATCTTGCGGTCCTTCGACGTAAAGTGCGGGTCCAACTGCTGCAGCCAGCCGCGAAAAATGTCCGATGTCATCCATGCCTTCCTGTTCGCTGTGTACTCGACAGGAAGGCTTTTGACGTTCTTAAAACAACGTGGCTTAAGCGCCTTCCCGACGACAAGTAGTGGCAAGCGCTCCGTGCCATTCATATTGGCGGCAAGAAGCACAGTTATCCTTTGCTTGCACTTCTTGCCACCAATGCACGCATCCCCTTTGAAAGTCACCGTCTTGTCGGGCAGAGCTCTGAAAAATAGAGCAGTTTCATCTGCATTGAACACGTCACGTGGTTCATATGCGGCAATGTGCTTCAGCAGCTTCACATTTCTCCACTCGGTGGTCACGCTTTCGTCAACACTGGCCTTTTCGCCGCACACACCCCTGAAGACAAGTTCGTGTCTCTCTCGAAACCTCGCAAACCACCCTTCTGACGCTTTGAACGATTCAATGTTCATCATTTCAGCATACTTCTCACCTTGCGCCATGATGAGAGGTCCGCTCAAAGGCAGATGCGCATTGCGACAGTCAGTAATCCACCGGAGCAAAGCTTCTTCGAGCTGGGGATGAGCTGCGGTTCGCAACCGCTTTCTAGAGGCATGAAACTTCTCGCTTTCGAAGGCTTGTCGAATCTGTTGTTCATTTTTCACGTACGTTCCCAACGTGCTCCGCTTCTCGTTGTACTTGGTCATAACCTGCTGTCGCGATTCGCCGTTCTTCAGTGCTCCCGAAATTTTCACTTTAGTTGCCAAGTTCTTCGCGTCGTAGTTCTGCCGCTTTTTCGACCTTGCCATCCCTGTAGCGCACGATGGTGGTGGCACGCAAATACGGTCACAATGGAAGAAAAAGAGAACTCCGCAAGAAGAGATGGTTCCGACACGACAACCCAAGGTAAAATGGCGTCGGAGGCGCTGAGTGGAGAAGAAAGAAGACGCCGACGTTCGGTGACGCTGCGATCGCCCCCACTAGTTGATGATGATGGCGATGCCACTCAGGTTTCGGTTTCCCTCCAGTGGTGCCAGCGCTGCTTTATCACACTTTTGTGTAGCAGCAGCCATCAGCATTTGTCCAAATTAAGCGGTGCGGAGCCGAATTTCGACGAAATAACGAAGGTTTTGTCCCATAGATTAACATGCACTTTGGCCGGGACCAATAGAGCCATTCGAATTATCCGAATTTCCTAATTAACAGGTGTCGAATTAACAAGCTTTTACTGTAGTCACTTGTGTCCAAGCTCTCACGAACCTTCTCTAGCGCTACACTCTGCTGGGCAGCGGAAGACTTCACTTATATGAAGTATGTCAGAGCTTATTTAGCCGAAATTCGTGACGCTTCCAGGGCCACTCATTTTTCCTCTTCTCCCTGAGGCGGGACGCTAGCTGCAATAACTTCTCTAGACAGAGTGCCAAATGTCTCAACACGAGAGTCACGGGCGACACGGCCCACACAACGCAAAGCGCTGCTTTGTAACCAGTCTCTCAGAGTATTTCTGGTCAATATCCCGTGAGTGGCATTTGGTGGTGTTACAAAATATACGCATACAACCGAAATGCACGCTGCACAAACCTCATGAAACTGCAATTCCTTCCCACTGGGACCAATGGTGTTTCGACGGGGATTTAAAGAAAGTTTGTACGACTGAATAGTACACCTAATTGGCGTTCGTTCAAGGTGTAAGCATTTCACTGTAAAAAAAATTCAGACAGGGCCTGGAACTTCGGATAATGAAAGGTGCTCGGGTGCACCATTTCTAGCTCCTGAATAGGCAAACAGAGCATCGAAAACTTACCTGTCTGGCTGTTTCTGTGGCCTTTGTATCTGTGCACAAATTCAGCTCCATCAGAATGCTTAGAGTTGAAAATGTAAATGTCCTCATCATTGTAGGAAGCCAGTATTTCTGTTACAGAAAAACAAACGTAAGGTCAATATATTTTACCTGGTGCATAGAAATGTACTCATGACTACGGAAAAAAAAAAAAGAAAACTTCTGCCGTTTCCATTCTCGCTTCCACACATTATCCTTAACACACAACTTCACGTGGGAATGCTCATATCCCTAGGGCATTTTTTCTTTTTCTAACAACTCTTTTCCTTTTTGAAGCTGTGTTTCTCCGCCCAAATCTGCAAGAACACTAAATGCTGGCCCAACATTTTAGCACAACATAGTTGCTATGTATGACAATCTCACTCAAGAAAAATTTCTCGGCATTCTGTCCATAAAAGACTATTTACTGCTCTCCCCTGAGATATGTGCACACAAATTAAAACATTTCCCACATCACAGACTTGTGTAAAGCACAGTCCCAACCTTCCCAAATCTCTTCAGGTCCAACTAGCCACTGCCTGGAGTCGCAGTGTTGACACTGGTGTGCCCAGGCTGCTCTTAAAGAGTAGCTAAAATTTCAGTTTGGCAGTAAATCAAATCTCAGAAGGAGTTGCACATGCAAACATGTGAATGTTTAAATGCACATTTCAATTTAGCTAGAGCACTAGTGCCAAGCTTACCAAAGACATTGAATATATATGCATGCATACATGCTTGCTTATAATTAGGGGTGTACAAATATTGAAAATTTTGAACAACATTCTAATGGCATTTACAATTAAATTCAATTTGCACTAAAATATTACAACTCAAAATTTTGTGACTGAAAATCTCTACTTATAATACAGTTATTAACGAAATTCTCTTGTTTTATGGACAGCCTAAAGTTTTTCAGTAGTGTAAACCGAGATTTTTTTTTTACATTATCAAAACACCTTTCTTAAACACATTATATACATACCTGATTGAGATATCCTTCAATAAGTGCTATTTCTGTGTAAAAGTTTTCACATTGTTCTATCTTCTTTATTTGTAAATTCACCCACATGCATAATTTAATTGTCAAAGCGAAACAGAAAACATGAATAGGGAAGCCGTACCAGAGCCATCGTAGTTGTAAACCAAACAGGAAACACTGGCTCGCACATCACAATTCATCTGCAAAAACAAAACAAACATCATGAGATAAAAATAGTAGAAAATATTTATGCTCAGCTTCAGGAGCTCAGGTCAGAAAAGAACCTATAATTAAATGTACCCAGTGTAATGAAGCACATTTCAAATACACAAAAAATGTGCTGCCAATCTGTATATAACGGAGCTTGGTTTGGGTTGCAAAAACTTCATTATTAAATGTTCAAAGGTGTGCGCTCCAGCACACGGCCGTCCCTCTGGGCATCCCAAAGTTATGCCTGTATGTCCAGACTCCTCAGAGTAGAGCCTCACTTGCTAGCCTATGCTATATCAGTGCCATGTACTGAAGGGCCCCCCCAAAGTACACAGACGTGAGAGACTGGAGTTTCACAAGTTGTGCAGCACCCTCTGTCGAAGTGAGATGGAAAGAACAAAGCAGTGCAGAGTTCAACTCCCCCCTGAAAAGTTCGCAGAGGAACCAGGTGCAACTACAGGGTGCAAAAACGAGGTCTCAACTTAATATTGCACACGTTTGTGCATTCAACATTCCGAAAGCGAGCTATGAATTTCTTTATGCTAGTCGGATGCACCATGGAACTGTCGTAAAGTGCCAGTTGGATCGCTCACATGAACCACAGCAAAAACAACAACAAATGCGAAAGCTGTGCGCAGTACAATGCAATGCTGCATTCGATGCTATGCTGTTGCACTATGAATTGCCACGGACGTGAAAAACTGAACAACAATGTTCAGTTTCACCGATTTCCATGGCTGTTGTGTAGCTGTTTTACAATCTGGGATAGTGAATTACTCGCATTCTCTACCATCAATGTGGCTCTGCTGTTTATTGTTTTGAGTAGCCCTGATGAAGAACTGAGGTAACCTTGATAATGAAGCTCAGCACAGCCTCTGACCGTGGTGGGTAAAGAGCGAGCACTAGAGGCAGGCTCAAGATACGCACGATAAGCATCACACACACCGCGACCTTCAATAATCAAGATCGGTCGTTACCATGCAGCTTCATGCATCTATGTTTTGAAGGATCAAACTATCATATGCTAATACGTGTGTGTACATGTAAATCGAAGAATATTGACTGGGCAAGTGAATTACATGCATACATTTAGATTTCTTAGGCCTTCAGCTGTACCCCACGAAAGCACACACACGTGAATCCCCATTTGCGGTAAATACAAAAGGAAAACAACCATCGACAGATCATTCGAGATGAAACAGCCCAACACACAGGAAGTGAGAGCTGAAGGGACAATGCAAGTGAAAATGTGTAAACCGATTTGTGCCTTTTTACCAGAGAAAGCGAACTGTGAACCACGGAATGAAAAATACAGGGATAACTAAATCGATCATGTATGCACTTCATTGCTTTTTTGTTATGCATTATTTAAATTTAGGCACTGGAGAACAAACGACGGACGGTTTGGCTTGTGTGACGCTCGCTTGTACGCGCTAGTTGCAGCACGCTGAAATAACAAACTTCTTTTCAATTGCACCCGCAGTTCGCTTCGATCAGCTTTCCAGTTTTCTGAAGAAGGGTGGGTGGAAGAAGCTGTAACAGGATTCGGACACACTCTCAGTGAAATGGATTTTTTCATCACAAACAACAAAATCGAGATGATGATGATGAGCAAGCTGCAAGCATATGCTTAAAGACCACTGACCAAATGGTGAGGACAAAATTTCTTCATTGGATTAGAATCTTCTCTCGTGAGTCTTCGATCGTAAACTCTGAAAAGATAAAGCGTTGATTCATCACCACGTCATGAACAATCAGAAAGCACTAACTTCCATTGGTAAGAATAAAACACAAAACCAAAAGAAACAAGAGACATAGCGTCAAGTGGTCTGTCGACACATGACACAACATGCGTACCTGACGTAGTGGTCTCGACCTCCGACGGCATACTCATTTGGATTGGTTGGGTTAATAAATATTGTGTAAAGGGGAACCTTCTTGTCGTTTTCCTTTACTAGGACTAGTCTGAAAGACAAAACAGGCAATGCAATAATTAGTTAATGAGCTGTTATAGTGTATAATGCTGCATGGAATGGTATTTTATTTCAACCTTTTCTGGCCCAAATCTTGCTTTCAAAGTCAAACTTTGCTACAATGAAGTTCTACTCAAGACAAAAATACACTTAAACCTCATTTATAATGAAATGTCGGTTTTAACGAAGTAAATGAAAAATAGCCTTACAATGGTTAGGAAAAACCCTTACAATAAATTTTTGGATATAATGAACTTAATTGAAGATGCAACTTTGTACTAACGAGGTATGAGTGTACAATCGAGCCCACATATAACGGCCCCACTTAAGACGAACTTTCGCGACACAAAATTGCACTTACAATGAACCTCTCCGAGCGCTGCTGATCGGTTTCAGCGAACCGAGTCAGCACTCTGCCGACTTCCAGGGAAACCACTTTCGACCAATGATCAGGCATTGGCGAGGTGCCCATAGCTTCTTATTGTTGAACACCGACCCTGCCTCCGCGCCCCTCTAGTTGCCGCTCTCCCCGACCGCTTTTTGTTATGAACCCCCTCATCCTTTGTCCCCCCCGCTACTCTGAGCACCCCGCATCGCCAGACACGGCCTGTGTTTTCGCACTACCACCAATCTTTCGAAGACCGGTCAGCCATCTCCCCTGTTTTTAATCGCTGGTACTGTCGGTGTCGCCGGCTTTGGGTGACCCGACCATTTTCCAACATCGTCTGTAGCCAATCGTCTGCGTCTTGTCTTACCGTATCGTTCTAGTGCACGCGCATACGCTACTCCACCCACTCTGATAATTCGCGATTCGTTTCGTGTTTAGGACATGTTTTCGCTCACTTTGCATTCAGCTCAACATGCCCTCCACACGCGTGCGAAAGCGTAAAAACAGCTGTTAATTTGCGTGGAACGAATTGCGAAATATTGAAGTCGGTGAGCCCACGCAAAATTGCCGGCGCAGCAAAACTTGAACCACGTCCGATAATTCTTTGAACAGCGCCGCGCGCGCCGATCCGGGTGACCGTGCTTATGCCTCTGTGCGTGCAGACCCTCTTTCAAGTTTTCCTATGTAAGAGTTGCGCGTTTCGCGGACCTTTCAAGCAAGCAACCCGACCTGTCTCCTTCCTGCATGTTTTGGTTTTCAAGGTCGCTTTCCCGCCGTGTCCTCCCCTCTCATCACTCTTTCGCGACTCCTTGCCCTTCTCTCACAAATCTGCTCTCCTCTCTTGATCACAACTTCTTCGCTCGTCTACACAGCTCCACGACGCCAGCCACGCTGGCTTGAATTCAGAAGTTTTCTTTTCTGACTAGAAACAGGCCCAGAGCTGTACCACGCGCTCTGGCATGTGTGTCGCGTGTGCGTGTCTTGCTCGCTCTCGGTCTGCGTGTGTGGCGGACGGACGGGAGGCCTTGCATGCTTTTTCCTGCCGATCAAAAAAAAAAAAAAAAAAGTGTAACTCCTTGGCCTGGGCCTAATCCGCGGGTTAGGTGCCATGTCGCGGAGCGCTTGCTTATAGCTGTTGACCCCCTGGCAGCCAACTTGCCGCTTCGGGCGTCCGGGTATTCAGCTGTGGAGATGGTGAATATTTTGAAGGCGGCGGTGACGGCTACATGCGCGCGAAACTAGTAGGAGGCCAACTTTGTCGACGTCGGGCCCGGTGCCAAGCTTGAAGCTTCCGAACAGGACTACTGCGGCGGCGATTTGTGGCAGCGCATCGTCGACTTTGACATGGGATATCAAGTGAGACATCTGTTGCGATGGTTTCATTATGGCCTATGATAATGCTAACATCGCGGTACCGTGCACGGATTAGGACATTGTAAATGAAGTACGCGAAAGAGCGTTTTTGGAGGAATCGGTTTGCGGGAACGACAAAACTTTGGAGCCAGTGCCTCATGCAGCTTATGCCACGGGCCTCGGCAAAGAGCCCGCTGCCGTTTGAAATAAACTCGAGACTGCCTTTATTGCTTCTGCTCTTTGAAACACGTGCATCAAGAAAATTTTTGGGCAAAAATTTTGTGTTTTCACTCGCAAATTTTTTAAAATCTGTGTTTCATTTAGTATGAACTTCAGGATACAGCGAACGAATGCCGCATCAGGCTCAGGTTCGTTATAAGCGGGCTCAGGTGTATTAAGAATAGCAGAGAGCCGAGCTACTAGGTGGGTAATTATGTTAAAAATACAAAACATGCAAACACGGAAACAAGACAGGAGTCACGAGAGGACAAGAGAAACACTACAGCATTTGTGGTGTCTCAACTTCTCCCTTGCGTCCGTGTTTACACACCCTGTCTTTTCCGTTGACCACAATATGTTTGTTATATCGAATAGCCCTAAATATTCCGTCAGCCTCTTACTTGCACTTTTATCATTAAAATCATTTGTAAGCGAAAGCTCATGTGGCAATTTAAAGATTGAAACGTCATGCCATAATCTGAGCAGCCTTTTCGCTAGCCGCATTTTTTTCAACGCTTGCTGAGCTACCTGTGGCACTGCACACTTCTTCAGCCTAACACACTATCCATTAGGCTTCGGCTCAGCGTCTTCCTTCACATGCCCATTCCGGATTGTTCCAGCAAAGCGATACGACTGCCATGAACAACAGAAAGCACCACTCGCACGTGTTGAGCCACGCTTAAAAGGCTACATGGCATCTTTTGTAGTGTTATGTTCCTATGTCATTAAAATCGACCTTCGCATGAAACCTAGAAAGCTTTCGGCTCAATTAAATAGGACACAATTGGGTGAAATATATTAGTACCAAAAAACATTTCAGATTTATGCACTAATTTTATGTGCGTTTATTCTTTGACCTTTAACTGTATTCCATGCAGCTTAACTGAATAAAGGAAAACACACAAAAACACTTACTTGCAAAAATAAACTCATCAAAATGCTTACCTACAGATACTAGAGAAAGTGTGTAAAGAAGGTAAAAAGTTTTCATAAGTGAGAGCCATCTCTCACAAAGTGGGTATCATGTGAGAAGCTCATGGAGCCTGTTTATCATATACAGTCGCCGACCGATTTTCCGGACTCCAAAAATTCGGACTTGTTGGATATTCCGGACTTCATAAATGCACCGTCAGGGATCCCATAGAGCTAATGCATTGTTTCGACCGATTTTTCGGGCGAATTTGACCCTGAAAGTTCGATTTTTCGGACTAAATCGCTCGTTTTGTGCCACGCCTCAAGCCATTGTGAACGCCGCCATGTTGGATTTTCCGTCGGCTTGGCTAAGCTTGGTCTTCAGATGCCTTTCCTGCCTCCGAGATTGGAATGCGCACGCCATAGTTTAAGTTTCGGAGGCCGTGTTTGCTTTTTAAAAGACGCGGTTGCCGTTTTTTCGTCTTCGGTCAGCACTATCGTCATCACATCGCACGGGGAGGAGGCGAAAGAAGGATTCTCTACCTGCCACAATGACATTTAAAGACTTCACTCGTGCGGACGACGACATTGTTTCGTGCGCGGAGGCTACTGACGACGAAATTCTTCGCCAGGTTGTCCCGGAGCCGGAGAGCGGCTCGGATGACGACAACGACGACCGCCCGCACCCGTCGGCGGTGGAGATCGCCAACGCGGTGACAATTTTGTCGAGCGTTTGCGGCGACAATTTCACCTTGGCGCAAATACGGGCAAAGCAAATTGCCTCCAAGCGTAGTTTGAGGCAAGGCAGCATCAAGGACTTTTTTAAACCTGCCTGATGCAATAAACTTCAGATTTTTGGCGAAAACGAGTTTTTCGGACTGTTCGATTTTTCGTACTTTTTTTCGGTCCCCGCCAGGTCCGAAAAATCGGTCGGCGACTGTACTACCCATGATAGAAATACTGAGCTATTGCAGTCGAACACGGTTATATCGAACCCACATATATAGAATTTTCAGGTATATCGAACTCGTACGTTATCCCCTGGAAATTCCTTCGTAAAAGTATAGAAATTCGCACAATTATATTGAATGGTATTTTTACCGGCCTTCGAATATATTGAACCCCACGAAAGCTGGAAGGTGCACTTCAGCACTCGCAGCCCCCCACGATCTCCACGGCTTCGCGTGTAAGTAGGAGGGCGCCCTTTGGCACTTGCAGTGCCCGGCGACCTCCGACTGACACCACGCGTCCGCCAAAACACCAAACGCTGGAAAAATGGTAAGGGCGAGATAGCTAGGACTGCACAATCTCTCACTAGCGGAACAGCATTTTTTTCGTTTTTCTCTCTCATGCTTTTTCCGCGTACCTGTCGGCTTGGAGAGCAAGAACGAAGAAACCGATGTTCTCCTCCTTTTGCCTTTTATTTTTTGTTTCTCTTGCTGTTGCTCTCGCAGGTGACCATAGCCTTGCGAGCAATTTGTTGCTTCCATTGTCGCATCGCCTACGTACCACCCCATGTGCAGTATTTTTCTTTTGCGTGCGTGGTGTGCAAAGCTACTGCAAACTCCTTTAATTGTTGACTTCTTGAGCACCTATGGCCTGTGTCAAGAAGTGCCAAGACCCTTGACTTTGCGACGAAGTTTAAGGCTATTTAGCATGTTGAGGAGAGTGAGAAATGTAGCACCTTCGCTGACGACTTCGGGATACCACGGAGCACTCTGAGTCTTTTGTTGAAGAACAAAACAAATATCATGGCAAAGGCAGCGAACGTCAGGAGCCTGTCATGTGCGTGCTCCTGCAAAAGGGGAATGTAGAAAAGGTACTCTATGCTTGGTTTTTAGAAAGGCGCGCAAAGAACATTATGGTGGATGGCCTGACGCTGACCGCCAAGGCCAAATGCTTTGCCCCTGCACTCAGTAATCAACTTCGCCAACAACATCGGTTGCCTTCTCCGATTTAAGCAACACTACAACATCGTTGACAAAACCGTTTCTGGCAAAAGCAAAGCTGTCAGCGGCCAGGACATCCAGCAGTGGATGATGAAGGAATGGACGGAAATTTTCGTGAACTTTTCCCGCGAAGATCTTCAATGCCTGGTGAGACGTGAAGACGAACACAGTGGTCAACTGCTCCGCAAGCAAGGCTTTGAGACGGCAGAACTTGCGGAAAACGATGAAGACGATGACAACAAGTGCATAAACGATGCATTTCGTGAGTTGTCCCCCTTCCCGGCATCAGTTCCACACAAAGTGTCTGCCGACGAGTTCGTGGAAGCGAACTGCAATGTCCGGGCCGTTGCGAGCCTCACTGTCAAGGACATAGCAGCTGCGGTCGCAGGGACCCAGGATGCTCAGGCCGACAGCTCATGTGACGAGGAGGAACGTCCGGATGAGACGCTGGCTACATGCGTGTACTTCTCCGCTGAAGTGGTCGCAGCGTTCAACATCATTTGTCGTTTATTGGCCACATGGAGGGAACTGGGCTGTAGCACCCGGATAGCCTTGATAAGATCGAGACTAGCATCTTCAAAATTTCAAAAATGAAGAAGTAGGCCAATATAAGCGATTTTTTTCACGCGAATTCACATTCTGTTGCGACGTGTGTGCGGAATTAGCTGTCACTCTTGAATGCGCCTATTGTAGGTAATGATCTGCTACAAGTAAGCTCTCGAGGCCTCTATTTTCTTATATTGATTATTTTCGTAACTTATTTGCGATCCCCTTTCCGTATTTGACTGTACAACAATGTTTTTATGCCCCAATACAATAATTTACCAAGCTTACATGGCAGGCTCTGATGCTACGGCTAGGATGCCTTCTCTCAGCTTGTAGGAACGTGTGAATTTATTATATTTTGTTTTATATCTTAAGACAGAGCCAATCATATATGCAATAAGTTTGCATAACTTATGCAACGAGTCAATGGCCTTCTGGCTTCACAAGCTAGCCGTAAGTGTTCTTCTACGTGTTAGAAGCTCGTCCTTATATTAAGGCTTCTACAATAATCACTGGAACAGACAAGGCTAGACACGGCGAACTTGAAATCTGTTACAAGGCTCATTGGCCAAGCCACAAAACTACATGGCTGCCTAATGTCGACTCCCGAAACTTACTTGTCGGGTGAGCTTTTCCGCAGATCAATGCCAAAAACGTAAGCGTCTTCGCCGCAGCTGAGAACCGTGTGCGGTGAGTCGTTCTCAATGGCAAGCTGCAGTAGAGAATAAGGATGACAACGACAATGAATACATGTTTTACTAAACAAGAAACAATGAGATGGAGATGCACTGAATTCAATATATAAATTTCCACTGGCGGACATTTTAATGAAGTGTGAAGGCATTCTCGCTGAGTTATCAGCGTCCTCACTTAAAAGGGGCCCCTAAACACTCTTTCAGCATGGTCAGAAAACACGGCTAAACAGCCATCAAGGCTCCTGAGCAGGGTTCCTACAGGTTTCTAAAGCGAAAATTCAAGGATAAACAAGGACTTTCCAGGACCTGTTGCAAGTTTTTCAAGGACTCAAAGCGGCATGCTAAGTTGGAATTTCTCACTCTGAAAATTTCGAAAATGACCAATATTATTGCACTTACAAAGAATGTATGAATATCGCAATTACAAAAAAAAAAGCGTAGTCTTAATAACTTCTTTCACCATCTCCCACACTCTCCATAGGGAGAGGGCACGATGCCATGCCGGGAAGTTATGGCCTGATGGGCTTCAACGCGCATTTGTAGTCGGGCCTTAAAGGGGTCGTGCCACAATATTTGTGGATTGCGCGCTCTTTGCTGCAATCTTTAATTACAGATCTAATAAACACGATACGCGCACAAAGATTCATTTAGTCTCACTAAATAATTTGTCACCTTTTTGATACAGACAAGTTTCAGTTCCTGTTTGCTGTGACCGAGTTGGGCAGGTATGTAGCAGTGCAGCTGACTTGCAGTGCTAAAGAAAATGAAGTGCTCAAGGTCGTGACACACACTGACAAACAGACATAGCTTTTTGCACCAGTGTCGACCCCCATCCTTGCTTAGCTTTCAGTGTGCAGAAATACCTTTACCTTCCCTAACACTTGATCGATTTAAAATTTTTTTGCTGCAGTCGATTCATGAGGCAAACTACTAACTTAAGGGGGCCAAAATACCCAATTTTCAATGGTTTTATCCTCATGCATTCACAAATAAGCTGGCGAAATTCTAGTGCATTTGGTTGAGCATGTACAGCAAAAAAACGCGAGGGGTATAAGAGTAGAGAAACACTGACACTTTCTCGAGCCATTAGATAATGATGTGCTTTCTGTGCGAATGTCTCCATTCCTGTGAACAGTTTTGAATTTTGCTCTGTGTTCAGCAGTGCATGCAATCGTAGAGCTATTTCAGATTTGTTTAACTTTGAAATTCAACGATTTGCGACAGCTGTAACTTTGATAAAAACGACTGTTCTGCTCCATGCCGTACAAGACGTCCCACATGCCATGGCAAAATGGCAGTCACCAGTAGTGGGCGCGGTTGGTAGACAGCAACATCTACGGTTCATTCTGTAATGAAGTAGTCTTCTACATTAAGTTTTTCATGTATGTATTAGAATAACAAACCCTTCGATGAAAACTACTAATTTTTGGTTGATTATGTCATGGCCCTTATAAGAAACCATTCCATGATTACTTGGTTGTGCGTTGCAGGACCCCTGCAAAAACTACGTTCAAGTAAAGACTTTGCTTTAAAGTGCCCGTAGAATGTATAAACTACTTAAAAATTGCATAAGCCCTTCATGTGTGAAAGGACAAAAACCAGCATATTCTTGAACTGAAGTAAAGTAGAGTACTAGGCTGGTAGGTATATATCCATGTTGAATTTAATTGCGTTACGTAGCAATATTCTTGATTCTGGCAGCAAAAAGATGACGAAAAGAGCTAACTTTGTGTATACGAAATAAAAAATACTGCTCTCGGGCAGCACTTCGTCATCATAAAAGAACCAAATACACTTTCCTCTTTATGATCGATAGTGCATATAACATCCTGTCTTAATGAACCAATTCATCCACAATCACAAACAGCACCCAACAATCACAAGCATCCAGGTTAACCAACCACTTTTTGGTAGTCATTATTACAATGCATGCAAATCTCCGGAATCGTGGTACACATGATGCAACTTGCTGCCAACAGCTCAAGTACTCATCATAACTATTGAGGTTTAAAGTTCTGGAACCAGGATATGATTATGAGGGCCGTCGTAGTGGAGGGCTTTGGAAATTTCGACCACCTGGGAGTTCTTTAACCTGCACTGACTTGGCACAGCACGTGGGCCTATCGCATTAGGAACCTCGATTTGCCTCCATCTAAATGTGACTGCCGCAGCCGGGATCGAACCTGCGACCTTTGAGTCAGCAGCTGAGCCCCATAACCACTACACCACCGTGGCGGGTATAGATAAACAAGTAAAATAACTTGCCACTCACGCGGGTGATACTGATCTAAAACTGCCCCCTTTATAACTGGTCTCAATCTAGTAATAACAACAATGCTGGCCACGCCGGCTCTGACTTTGCTATTGCAAAGTCGGTTTTGGTTTCGTATCACACTGCATTGCTCAAGAAACTATTTCATGAATTTCTTCACAGACAGGTTAGAATCAAATTTTGCAAGCCACTATTTTGTCAGCACTGGTGGAGAATAAGCAATTGTGGCAGGAAAAGAGACGGATTCCGATGCATGCACCGCTCATCAAGTACTCTACATAGTATAAATCTCCTACTCTGCTGCTTTTAGAACCATTACTATACTTATAAAGTGGGTCAATTCGTGTGATTGACTGCTGAAGTCAATTCGCACTGGCGGGCTAGCAGTTATGCTGCTTAATTGCTGACCCAATGGTCCCGGAATCGAATCCCATGCTGTTGTGGTTACATTTTTATGACGGCATAATGCTAGAGCCCCACAGACTTAAGCTTCGGGTGCACGTTAAGAAGACCAGACAGTCATAATTTTTGGAGACCTCCACTACAGTGTCCTTTATAATCATGCGGTAGTTTTGAAACGTAAAATCCCCACAATTATACTGATTGCTGAAGTTCGAATTATCCAGCAAGAGTCGATTTCAGGATTCAAGTAACGAAAGCTTCGTCACATGGAAATGTTTGGGCCCTGACAGGGTCCTAGGATAGAGATCATCAATGAAATGAGGTATGCTAAAGCAGTTTTCCCCCAATTTAATGCTAACGAAGCCAGATTTCAAAGTATTCAACGCTTGGAAGGAAAAGGTGTGAGAGATTTTTCTTAGAAAACGAAGTACTGATTGACAGAAGGCAGAAGAGAGGCACAGTTTTGTGTTGCAAAAATCTTATCTAGCCGAAGCATTAGCCGATACCGTTAAAGGAAAATGCCATTTTCGGACAAAGACATCTTGCTAATTCTTCTTGGCAGAGCCACTTTTGAAAGTTTTATCTATAGCGACACTGAAGCGGAAGTGTGCAGCTTTGCGACACGTGCCGACTGCAATCGGTGAGGCTGATAATGGCCAAACATCACAAAAGCTTGATTATGTCACAGCCTAACAAAAGGCATGGGCTGATAACACATCTGACGGGACCAGGACACGGTGCATCACTCTGCGTCAAGTGTTTTTAAGCTGCTGCAGACTGATTGACAGGCAAACAGATAGAAAACTGGCATGCTTTTGTGTCCTTCCAATTTATACTACTGATAAAAATTAAGTAAATTTCTGCATTTTACAGTTCAAGACTTCAACGCATTCATGAAGCATGCCCATGAATTTCACCTAGAACTAAGTCTGTCAATATGCACCTAAATAATAATAATAATAATAATAATAATAATAATTCAAAACCTCTATCTGATTATGAGAGACGCAGTAATAGAGGACTCTAGAAATTTCGACCTCCTGGCGTTCTTTATATCACACACTACATGAGCCTCTACCATTCTGCTTTTAATCGAAATGTAATCGACACAGCCGGGATTGACCCCATGACCTTTAGATCAGTAGTCGAGCTCTGTAATCACTGATCCAACGTGGTGCACAATGTGCACCTAAATCTTAACATACACGAGTTTTGTTGCATTTTGTCTGCATCAAAGTACACACTTTGATGCAAACACTGAAGAACACAGCGGAGCCGATAGCCTGTCCCCCCCTCACCCTCTGGTCCCACCACTTTGTGATGCTATAGTGTATATAGCTTTGCTATGACTTACTTTTTCTTTCCTCCTGTCCATAACTTCCCTTTCTCACTTTCTTAGTGTACTAAAAGCACCATACATTGTTTCGCTAGGCTTCTTTTCCCTCTCTGCTTCTTTCTCTTTTTGTTCGTCTCTAGTCCCTTTTCTGCCTTTCTTTGTCAATCAGTCATGTTCTATTGCCCATAGCAATGCAACCATATGGTTCCCATAAATGCTTATTCTGCTGGAGTGCCTGGATAGTCGAATGATGATGTTCGGATCTTGGGTATGCTAATTCGAAACCCGCCTTGCCAAGAAATTTTGTTTTGTTTTATTTCTTCTCCCCCTCCTCTCCACTTCACTCCTCATCTTATCCTAATTTCCTTTCTCCAACACGTTTCTAGGCAATGCGAGACATTGAAACCTTGAAGGTAGAGGCTGTTCATGATGAGGATGATAGTTTTCTGTTAACACCCAATGGGTTTTGCCAAGCTGTCAGAACAGAATACTGCCATTGAAGGGTTAGCCACAAAAGACTTACACGTGATGAGACTTCCTGCAACCTGGCACATTCTGCAGCGTGCACTTACCTTGTGGGCAGTGGCACGATGCTGAGCGAGTCTCCTGGTCGTCTTGCAGACGCCCGTTGAGGAAAGTTCCGCCAACCGAACCAGACCATCACGAGCGCAGCTCACTATGTAGCAGTCACCGGTCATAGGTACAAACTTGGCCTGTAGGAGTGAAAAGCATGCAGCAGAGTTTTTGCAGCACAAAGTTCAAAAATGTTATGAATCAAAATCATTATGTAAATAAGAGAAATACAGTAACAAAGTATACTGAATTAGTTTGGGTCCCCTGGAGTTCTCTTATACAAACTCAATACACATAGAGAATCATTTCTGAATTTCATCTATACTCCATCTCCTAAGTTCCCTTCAAGCACTACAAAGGCTACAGGGCTGCTAGGCTAACGGGAGGAACGATTAGCCCCTCCACATGTATTCATTCATATCACATCTGCTCAGCATCTCCCTAGCATCTGCGCACATGCTAGGCGGGCGAGCAAATAGCATCGCCATAAAGAGGGAAAAAAAAAACAGAAAAAGGGGGGTTTGCCCTTATCGCCGCTGGTGCTCTCGTACTTCAAATTAAGTCATCATCATGCACAGTGTAACCCTTAGGTTACAAGTTCATGCTTGTATTTGCCTTAGATGAATGTGCCGATGCTTTAACAGCGATGTATTGATGACTATATTGATCTGATTCCAAGAGCCATCATCGAATAGCAGGCATATTAGTCTTACCAGGCATGGCTGAACAAACAGCTGATCTCGCAAATGACAAACTGTACATAATGCCTCATTTCACCATTTACTTTTTGCTGCCAGCGTAGTGAGCGAATAGTGAGCGCAAATTCAGATCGAAGCGGGCAGTCATGCCTGCATGGGCACTGCCATCTTGATTTGCAACCAGTCATCAGCAGCTACTGATACAGCAATTAAAGGCACACGGCATGAATAAAAAGAATAAACATATCAAACATCAATGTGACGTTGCACGTGCCAAACAAGCGCAAATGCCTCAACCCTGCAAACTGTAAGCTAATTATACCTGCAACTATGTTTTGCTGCTCAAGCATGTGGCCTGCTTACATCCTACAGCCTCTTGCAATGCTGAATGGTAGTGTTGAGACGGACTATAGATGGAATGTGCTCATCACTAATCAGGATCAAACCTATAACTTTGTGGATATGCCACCAGTCTTTAAACATAATCTCGGCTTTCATCTGATTTGTCAGACACAAAGTAGATGACAACTGTATGTGCTGTCAAAGCCTATGTGTGTATGTGTGGTGGCCTGCTGTGTTTTGGTGTTTGTGAACACGAAGCTTTTATTTTCTCTACGTGCTAGAAGCATGTGATAGAGAGTCTACAATTTAAAAAAAAATTTAAGTTAATTTATACAGTGACACTAGTACCATTACACATATCGCGCTAGAGCATCGCTGCTTACTGCAGATAGATTCCCCCCTATGTGAAGTCACAGCTGCTGGATTCTTTTGGTGCACCAGCAGTACAGCAGAATTTACATCAAACAGGAGTCAGAAAAAAAAATTTGTCAGCCAGAACACACATCATGCTGAAAAGCAGAGTCTGCATGTGCCTCTGTGACCACTGTGCTGTTACACTTCAAGCTGCAAGAAAGCCGAAAATGCCACAAGTCTAAACTGAAAGGTAAAGAGTGCCAAACAATTATACAATTGCATGAAGTAAAATTGAGTCTCATAGGAGGTAAAAACTACAGTAAGCAAGTATACACAAGTATACACGTGCAGATGGAGATGCATCAATACATTGCATCAGGGTTAACGTTTGCCCCTTTACTATCTCAGTCTGGGTTCAAACACTGGCTGAATGAAAAAATTCACTTTCTGCAAGAGCTAAAACGTTTGCCATCATGTAATATCAACAACACATCAACTGCGTCTTGCACTCGTACCAGAAGTATTCACTATGCGGGATGCCTCAGTGCGCCAACACTGTACAAAAGATTATGATGACAGCAATGGTTATTTGCCTGGACTGTACAATCGATACTAGTGCAGCAGCGCATAGCAATCCATACTTTCCGCATTGTTTCACAGATGCAATATCAATGAGAGGCCACCGACGACCCATTGCCCTGTGACTTGACTGGCACTGCCCCATGCGTATATCATGGTCAATAATGTGGGTAGCTATCAAAACAATGCCGCAGCTATCGAGCACTATGCCACTCAAGCTTCCAGTTCGGATAACTGTACTCTGTACCACGATATCACTCACGATGAAGATAATGCGTCAACAAGCTCCAGTTTCTACATGGTTCTGTAGTGTAAGTAGCTGAACAATGAACCAGTAATGTAAACGATACAGTCCACATGTATGCAGGACCGTACAAGGTTGAAATGAGATAAGATCAAAACGAGGCCCATGGGTGGTACGATTTGTAGTAGAGAGAAGGGACGTCTTAGTACACGGATTGACAGAGAACTTGCTAGCATGCCGGGCAAGAGATGGCATGGCAGATGAGAGGGAGGGTTTGGGGGACATGGTTACTGGCAAAGCGTGCACCTTCTCCTTTGCTCAGCACTACCCGGAGCAGTGAGGCAGCGGCAAAGTTCATAAAATATTTTGCTCAAAATGTTCGCTTAGGTGAAGCCAGCACCATTCTCTACGATACAATGAATGTGGGGCATTTTGGCAGGAATATAGAAAAACATTTTTTGTACTTTTTTAGGAATGCTTGCAGCAGTTAACTATTGCATGAAAACAGCATGAAGAAATACACCACAATTGACTGTACAATAATTACAAGATTTGCATTGGAATTACAGTTGTACCTGCCTATAACAAACCTTTCGTACAACGAATTCCTCTATGTTATGAAGTTGTTCTATTCCCCACTGTTGCTCCATAGCGGCACATGTAAGCCGGAACATGTGAAGCTGAAGCATTAGTGGCCAACATCTATCACCTCGTTAGCACCCCGCCTTCCCGTGACTAACAGGGGTCACACGCGACGGTAAACCGAATTAGGCACAATCCATTCTGGTTTTCCTGTCATTACTATGCGATACACCATTATGACGAGTGGAATGCAGATTGTGCTGTCACATTTCGATTTTTCATGAACTTCGCTAAAAATTCTGCGCTCCAGCCTCCAGATATTTAAATACGAATCTTGACCAATGCACCATTAACATTAAATTTCTTGTGCAAGAAAGCACATCAAAAGGGACAGCACTTAGGCATTTGAAGAGTGCCGATTCAGTCTCAGTAGAAAATAATGCCCAGAATGATACACATAGGCAATTTAGCAAAGTGCCCTGCTGGCAGTCAGGGAACATATTTCTGTACATTTCTTTCTCTGTATATTTTTTTTCTCTCTTTCTTCCCTATCATTCTACTTTTCTTTCTTCATACATTTTGCCTTCCCTATATCTCACTGTCTGTAGTCCTCCTTTCACCTTCTGCCTTCTCTCTTTTGTTTTCACTTTCTGTTCTTTTCAACCATTTCATACTCTCTCTCTGTCTCTACTTGTTCTCCCCTTCACATTTACCCTTGTCCATACCACCCTTCCCTTTCTCAACTTCTACACTACATGAGGTTATGTTATGCTCTTCTAGCATGTGCGCATGTTGCAAAAAAGCGCATCGCCAATGATTTCTTCAACATGCCACTTAATTACGATGATCTCTCACCTAAGAGATGCATATGAGTGAATGGAAAGTCGGCCAGAATGGTGTTTGGTAATATGGATATATTACCGTTTTAGTGTATAATTGGAAATGCCCGTCACTTGATGCATTCGTACCAGAGAAGATTGCGAATCGTTTAGTGCATGTGTTCACCGTTAGGTTGCGAGAGAAGCAGTACGAACATGATAGTTTTCTGTTTGTACTGAATTGCTTAAAAGTGCCATGCCTATATTGAATAAATACCAAGAAAGAAAAAAACGAAAAGGCTGTGACTACGGTGACGGGGCTCGTCAGCACAGTACTACTGTCAAAGTGAGGGGGCTTGTCACTGCAAAGCTATCACAGTGAGGGGGTCTGTAACTGTAGTGTAATGGTAACTGTACTGTAATGGTAAAAATTAGGGGGCCTGTTGCCGTTAATCGGTATTCGTTTGTAGACGGCACCATCGTGCGTTTGTGGTGGCGTAGTGGGTTGACGCGCAGTTGGAGAAGTGGTATTGCTGCAAGGTCAGCACTTCAAATTTCCGTTTTAACTTTCATTGTGAAGAACCCCAGGTGGTCGAAATTTCCGGGGCCCTCCACTATGGCGTCTCTCATAATCATATGGTGGTTTTAGGACGTTAAACCCCATATATAAATCAATCAATCAACTTTGTTGGTGTGTTTTTGTCAGTGTTAATGCGTCAAGATTGACGTTACCTCTCTCAAGAAGAAGTGATTTTGCTTTTCTGCAAGAAAATCATACCGCTGTTTGTGCCGGTTGTTAGACAGCCCTACCACGCAGTTTTTTCAAGGCACAGTGGGTATGTTGTTGTATGGTGTGCAACTTCAGTGCGAATCGCGCTGACCATGTAAACTTGTCTCCTTTTTCTTTTTCTGCTTTCAATATTGTTTCGAGTAATGTTGCTCATCTTGAAGAGAAAGAATTGCCTTGGGCAACATCCTACAGTGGAGCGACGGGAGAAGCCACTAGCCAGCGAGAACCCGAATGATCAGCTGAGCCGAGTCCAGGTTCTCATTGACGTACCTGGCTCGCAGAGTGCCAGCCGCCGTAAAGCCATGGTCTAAGCCTCCCCTCACAGCGAAATCCGCTGCAGTTTTGAAACTTGCTGTATAATATGCCAACTTCACTCCAGACAATGCATAGATACAGCTAGTAGCCGATTGGATTAACGCAGCGATGAGGAGCTTTCTCTTAAAAGTGTGCAGTATGGTTAGAACAGCACTGCGTTTCCTGTACCGTGCGCATGTTAGCGTAAATACGACAGGGATTCCCGATGCCTGCGACCCGAAATGCTAAACTTCCAACAGTGAGCTGCTTGCATTTCTGCGAAGCGGTGTGTGCTCAAACATGGTCCCGTACAACATCAACGGCCCAGCACATTCAGGTGCTTTGAATCTGTATCCGGAAACCGGAGTGGACTAGGCCCCTGCTGGACACACGCAATAGGGGTACCCGAAGGCAAATATACGCTACGCTCTGCTACCACACGCTTCACTGGTACTAGCCATTCAGGCACTAGACTATTTAAAGTGAGCAGCAAGCTTAAAGAGGCACTACTCTACACATGCACCCGAGCAGATAGCTGGGGATGCTTACTGTGATAAAGTTTTTCATCGGCGATAAGTCGTAATGGTGCGTTAGTAGGTGGTTGCCACTTCGCCTTCGTTTTTCCCCTTATGATTATCTGCAAAGGCATCAACGCAATTGCGCGAAACTAGCAATACTTAGTCGGCCAATCTACGCACTTATTAAAATGACGAAAAACCGTTTGCAGCACATTGTGGTGGCTGCAAGTTCAGTGGTGCAGTAAACTTTTAACGGCGCAAAATGTTATCATGGTACGCAGTTGGTATGCACTAACTGGTAGGCATGAGACGACCCTTACAGCTTAAGTGGTCTGCGAATGCATTAGTCTCTACGAGACTCGGTCAGGGATTCATTGCGACTACGTTTTAACCGTTAGTACCGTATTTACTTGATTATACCGCGCCCTCGATTGTAACGCGCACCCGGTTTTGACGACGGAAAAAAAAAAGTAAGACATTGATTGCAACGCGCACCCATTTTTCTCGTTGGCCCGCACGATCACACTACTCGAAAAAACGACTCTTTCGGGAGCGTCTTCCATTTAAATATGAGGTACGGGGGAAGCTTGTGCCCATCTGACGTGTAACAGAGCATTGCCGTCACTGTAGTTTTACCGTGGACCGATGTCAGCACACGAACTTGCTTCGCCCCTTTCTTCTCGGCGGTTGTGGTGCTAGGCATGTCCAAGTAAAGAGGCGTCTGATCGGCATTCCCGATTTGCCCAAGCAGATAGCCGTTGTTGTGCCGCAAGTTTAGGACGAACCTCTGGAAACTGTGAAGCTTTTCATCGTACTCCTCTCGAAACTTTTCGCATATGCCCGTTTGCCTTCGGAGGGAAAAGCTTTTTCTCTTCATAAAAATAGTTAGCCAGCACCTGCTCGCTTTAAACTGGCTCCACATTAGCGCTTTTTCTATTCTAAGGCTAACTGCATAGCCCGCACTTGGAGCAGTTTTGTCGTCACGGGCCGCTGTGTCGCTCGTTGCTCAAGCACATACTCGCCGAGCAGCTCTTCAATTTGTCGAAACCGACCCTGCTGTGGTCCACTGAAGCCTTTGCGTGAGGCTTTGCTGTCGACAATCTTCTGCTTTTGTTTCCGCTTTTATTGCATCATAAAATTTTGTTGAAGCGAGACGGTCGAAGAAAAAGTGTTTGTTATGGCGACAATATTTATGCATTGACTCCTATGACTGCTGACGAGGAATAGTGAATTTTTAGTTGTAGCAGAAATTTTGTTGAAGTGGCGTTCATTGCAGCGGAGGCGTTGAAATTCTTAGACCTAAGCTTATCGTTCCTTAATAAGTAAGTATGCTGGCAATACTACCCTCATAGTTCCAAGCCCTTGCTTTCCTTCGCTTCTGCTCATTTGAAAATCATAAAGGCTTTCTACCTTGAAGTCTGCAATAACCAAGTCATGTGATCATAAGATGTCCGCGAGTGTGAAATCACAAATCCTGAGGGTAAAAAGAAGCCAATTATCCGGAAAGTGTTATTTTGCTAGCTTTCCAACTGCCGCACAGGCTTAAGAAGGTGGGAGCACTTCATGGGATTGAAGTGATTTTTACTGCCAAGAATAAGGTCGGCAATGTTTGAGCAGCGGTGCGGAAACACACCGAAAACAGCCAGTTGTTGAAGAATGCATGCTCTATTAAGCACAAAAATATGTTCGTAAAATGTGCTACTAAAGTTGTATATAGCATACCCTTCCCATGCAGATGCATTTATATTGATAAGATGGGGCGGTGTCTAAACTCGGGACTGAGGGAGCACCAAAATTCCCTCCGGGGTATTGTGCCCTTGACACATTTGCCCATGCACTGACGGAACTGCGGGTGCACTGCAGATTTTTCTAGAAGGAAGGTTTTTTTCTGCCCCCCCAACCAGCTGACAAAGAAAATATTCGAAGCCCACAGAATTCAAATGGCAGGCCAAAACTGCATTAGTGAGCAGCCAGTTTCTCTCCATGATAACAAAATATAATTTTCAAATTATTACCACTAACATTGTTAGTGCAAGATGCCTCGTGTCTACTCAGAAGTGTTTTTTTAGCTTTCTTGCCTTGCGAGAGCATGCACGAATAAATTTATGTTTGATGTTTTTTCATTAGATTTCTCACTTGAAAGTCAGCGCTCGTCTTGTGTCCTTCCTTTACTCTCTCTTCGTTTTTTGCGCTGTTTACCTCAAGCAGCTATGAAAGGTTGACAGTGCCACAGCTGCTCATTGCTATAACTGTTATATTGCTAAAACCAGTATCGTTCGAAAGGGGTTAGACTGTACCTTTGAATTTTGCTTACTGCTTTACTATGGAAACATACTTGAGGTTTTCTCCATGCCAGAAATTCTTGCCACAAAATGCCGTTTTAGTGTAGGATGGTGTAACAAACCTCTTACACCGCTATATTGCACCTGTGGGACACCTGTTCCTCGGAGTAATATTGATAGCTCGCACGTCACGCACATATAACATGGCTTCAACATGACAGCTTAGATGTAATCATGCAGCGATTAACCAATTTATGCATGACAACATTGTCGCTGGAATGTTATTGGGTATCGTGCATGAAAGACAGAGAAGCAATGGTAGATAAGGTTGCACTGCCACGTCTCTGCCACTTCTGCACACTCACACACACAGACCAAAAAAAAAAACTGACGGAGAGAGAGGAAAGATTTCACCACAGCAAACACAGCATCTTCGCGCACCTGAAACACATTGCTCCGGTGACCACTGTCGTACTTGAGCACGGGCTCGCCCGTGGCCCAGTCCCAGATGACGACGCTCAGGTCGTCCGATCCACTGGCCAGCCGGGTGCCCGTCGAGTTGAAGTGCAGTGCATTGACGCAACCGTCGTGGGCGTGCATCTTGTACATGAGCTCCAGCCGCTCCACTATGCGCCGGCTGCCATAACAGTCCAAGCGAAACTTGTCCACGTGCGAAGCGGCCCCCTTCCGACCGTACTCGCGCCGAGTAAGGGCTTCCCAGACCAGCCACTTGTACGTGGGCGCAGGGGTGTTGGGCGTTGGATCGTAGTTGCCCTGTAAGCTCTCAGCGTCGTCCTACGTGTACAAAAAAGAACAAAAAAAGTTGATGTGAGCTTGGAGGATTACTAAAATGCACAAAAAAGGAGAAGATGAAGGCTTCAAGTAATGAGAAGTTGTTGAAGCAGTCGATGCCCTTGGAAGCAATATTTTGCACAAAGGACATGGGGTAGTTGCTCCAGCAAATTCAAGTAAACTACTACTCATCAAAGGAAAAAATCACAGCATATCCACGGAATGAATGATGATGAGAGTGGCGAAGCGTCGTCGATCAGTCCATGCTTACATCCGCCTGTACATGTACGTGCGCCCGTTTGTCATCCACCTGTGCGTGCATCCATTCGTCCGTCCGTGTGTCTGTGTCTGCCTGTCCGCCTGGGTATCCGTTCATCTAGTGAACACTTCAAGTACCGCCACCTCGCTTCTTTTTATCATATATTCATCATACACAAGCACCGCCATCGAGCGGACAATCCAAGGACTAAACGAGAGCATGTACCACATTTCTGCTGTCAGAGCTTTGTTAACACTGAGAGCGTGATAACGATGTCGTGCTACGTTTTTCGTAACATGTGGAAATGCGGGTATGTGCTACTGGTATGCGGGTATGTGCCACAGGTTACACACTACAACAATGGGGGACACACAAGCCAGCCATAAGAAGCTCCGCCCTTAAAGAAGTGTTGGCAGTGTGTGCTTGACAATGGCACACTGTAATAAATGTGCGGGGACATCTTTTACAGCATTTTCTCAAAGCATCTGCATGCTTCTTGGTATACAGGCGAATTGCAATGGAACTTCACTTTACGTTACTTTATTATTACACACTTGAAACGTGAATCCACATAAAGTATATGTGAAGTAGGCTTTCTGAACCTAAAGTAGCATAAGTGATGTACAAAAATCACGACTCACAAGGGAAATTATGAAGTCTCATTATTTAGGAAGTTCATCAGAAAATACAAAAAAAAAAATGCCGCAATGGAGATTTATCTGCAATGATCCCAAACATTCACCTGACTTCTATTTTTACACGTATCACTCGAACTGCTCATCTAATCGTCTGTCATTCGTAAGCCACTTTTAACAAATTGCAATTAGTACTTAACGGTAAAATATAGCGCCATTACAAAGTATAAGCTGTATTACATCTATTGTGCTAAATTTATTGGCCAACTATACAAAATATGAACAGAAGAGTTGTGGGCAGATATAGCAATGTCTTGTTGATATGACTGTTAATGAGTTTCTCAGGATAACTGACTGCATTTTGAGGCTCATATGAAATAGGACCAACACACTCGTACTTTTGACACATTGTTGGACACCTATCAATAATGCAACATGGCCACGACAGTCCATTATTGGGCACTGTGGACAAGCTCTTCAGAGGTTGACTCGTGCATGTTTTTTCACTGTCTTATATGCCATTCCCAAAAGAGTAAGCAAAATTAGTTCACTGAAACATGGCTTTTTTTTTTAATTGTGAACGGAATTAATGGAAAGTGGGTAAATGGTTTCGGGCCACAAAGGAGTAATATCTATGTTTTTGAACAAAGTCGATAACATGAATGCAGAAATGGGCTTTCACTAGTATTTATAGGACACATACTTCTACAGACCTATTTGCCAGCTTAAATACTGCTCCAACAACCTACAAACAATGAGCTACATGCCTGCAGCCATTCAGATTCGGCAGGAGCAAAAAGGGCAGTTTGCCACTCATCGGGGTTCATCACTAATGCAGTTGAGTGAGACAACTGTAGACGTCCTTTTAATCTGACAGAGCTTCCTTTTGCCAACATTGCAAGGAAGAACATTCAGGGTGAACCGACAAGCTACTGTATCATTGCTGAGTATAAGTGCGTTAACTCAATTAATAAGCCGTCGACTTGCAATCAAATGCACCTACATTTTAGAGCTTACTTAAGATAATAATAAATTATGATGACCTATATTATTTTACAGTTCACTCGATGACTGCATAAAGATTCCACTTCTGCACATGCGCAAATGATGATAAAACCCCGCAATCGCACCTCTTCTCGGTCATCTTGCACCATGTGGAAGGTGTCATCACTGTTTACGGAGATGTTGTCATCGGAGTCCTCTGTGAAGAAACTGCTGCTTCCACCTTCTCTGGTCGTGTCACCACTGGTGGTGGTGTCCTCGGATGCCGAACCCGACCGTCGCGTTCGGCCAAGCAGATTGAGTAGCCTGCGCGTTTTCTTCTCCTCGGTTTTTTGCTTCTTCTCCTCTGGAAAGCCTAGAAAAATAAGAAAACACCAGCTTGAGCAAAGTGATCAAAATAACCAAGCTCAGCAGGACTGACAAATGCACGAGAACAATCTGCACATTGCTGCCAGGCTGAAAGGTGGCAGAAACGGTCCAGTGGGCTTGTAGTTTTATCATTAGAAGCCCCTGGTTTCAGCGCAAACTTCGCACAAAGACAAAAGAAACGAAGATGCACATGCAGCACTCAAACGGTTTTGGGTTACAAAGGAGAGCTTTGGATTGTCCACAATCTTCTGGGCATTTGGGGACTACAAGCCAGAGGTATGAATGTCAGTGGCCACAGCAGCATTGCTAAACTGCAACTAAGCTCGAGCAATGGTGAGCTAGTATATACTACAGTGACTAAATTTACACTGCTTCATTGCGAGCATAAATTTTTGGTAGCAGTATATTTGTGGGCATCGTGCCTTTTGACACCTTTCAGCAAGAACCCTTGTTCAGCATGTGTAAAACACATAAGGTGTCTGTATATGCGGCTAAACAAAGCGTCCTTAAGAGACGCTACTATGAGTATCTGGTGGTTCAGTATTCTGCAAGCACTGCTGTGTTTACTCATACGCGTAGTCTTGAAAGATGGGGAGGAGGAGAGCCCAGAGGTTTCAATCTCAATGCCTCAGTCTTTTAACTTTCTGTTTCTATGCACAGTGCCGCACACTTAGAGGGCGAGCACGGCTCAGTGTAGCTGAGCTCCGCAGAGTGCCAGTCCATGTAGTATGGCTGCACATCAAAATGATGTGGCGGAGTCGCATGCCATCCAACAGCAGATACTTTGTGTCGTCTGCTACAGCACTGGAGAGCACTGCTCTTGCTTTGGTGTAATACATCAAGAGTAGCATTCTTCTTTGCAAGTGGCACTTTGCAGAGCACAGCCATGCTAAGCCATATTCATCCTAAGAGTGGACGAGCCTGTATAGTCAAACACATATATCAGACCTAGATATGTTGAATCGCCTATGAAGAGCAATTGTGAAATATTCTCGAACATATCTTCCACATATAAAATATTTTCCATGCTGAATTACCTGAATATGAAAATCTGTAGTTATCCTGTTCACATTCGATACATCTAACTTCAACTTGCAAAAAAAAAAATAAAAAATGGTTGCATGCAAACTAGCCAAAGACGCATAAAACACTAACGAGTGCAACTGACTAGTCCATATGCGTGCATACATACACACACTAAGGCATGCATATAGAGAAAATATACGTAGCTACAAAAAAATACAGATGGATTTCACACACAAAAAGCTTCGAAGTTGATGAAAAATTTGTCTCAGTCTGGGATTATAACAGCGGTGCCTCAAGATGTACTGCTGATCAAAATAAAGCCTGATCAGGCCCAAGCTGCTTAACAGTGATTGGCTTTTTTTTTGTACGTAACGTAAAAGAGCTACTCATAATTAAGAAATTCAGTCCCGGTCAGGCTCAACTACAATTAAAAGTGACGATGTGACTTCAGTATTGATAGCTTGCATGTGACGTCACGGACACACAACATGGCTTCAATTTGGCAGCTGGAGGCAGTATAATACTGCAGCAATTAACCTGCTTCAGTGTGACGACGTCACTGGACTGTTACTGGGCCTCTGGGCATGAATAGCAAAGGAAGCAGCATGTGATGTACTGTTAACACTAACATGCATCACGAAGTTCACAGCATCCAACAATGTTGGTGCTCCGAATATACTGTTTCAGCGACATCAGTGCAAGCCATCTATAAGCCGAGACTGACACCTTGATGGTCACCTACCCAGCGAGCTGAGCAGGAGGCCAATGAAATGCAGTGTGAGGACAAATTGGTCGATGACTCGAGAGAGAGAGACATAGATAAAGGGAGAATCGATGACTCAAAGCACACAGACACTGAATATGGTAAAATGGTGCAGCAGAATCGCACAAGTACCACATATATAGCCCAGCAATTCATAGCGGCCCATTCGTTCCTGCAAGCTTGATGCTTACCGTCGCTGTCGTCCTCCGTTTCTGTTGTAGGCCTTTTCTCGGCTGTGCCAGCAGCCTCCTGAAGCTCCGAGGCCCCTGCCTCGGCACAGTCCTGGTTTCCTGAGTCTGGGCTCTCCTGCCCTCCGTTAGACGCACGGGCAGGCCCTTCAGGCCGGTCATCAGCTGGCTCACTACCGATGCCGCTGTCATCTTTCCTCATCAATCTCCCGTCCACATCCCCTGGGCTCTTGCTATGCTTAGGCCGTTCGTCGGCGTCAGCCTCCGAGCCGAGAGCCACATCACCACTTGCACCACTGTCAGCACTCATCTTCACAGCGAGTTCTTCTTTGCAGTTCCGCCAATATGTTTCATCTGGGGGAACAAAACATTTCAAAATTAAACTCTGAGGTATGATTACGAGCCCAGCTGTTGTAGGTGCCACTTGAAATTAGTTTTGACCACCTGTTTTTTTTTTTAAACACCCTCTTAGAATTAGGAATTCAGTCTACAGATGTCGGCATTTTAATTCCATCGAAATGCGGCCGCCATGGTCAGGAAACAAAGGAAACATTTAACAGAACGGGTGCACTAGTGCAAACTTTCTCAATTGATAGAAAGCCACGACTGACACAGCTGTTTACACGAAGAAGGTGAGATGGTTAAGTTAAGAAGAAAATGGGCTGTAGGTAATAAACTGTTGAGTGATGTTCAACAGATTTTTTTTTTTTTTCTGGAAGCAGGCTCTGTGACTCAAGTAGCCTTTGGACAAGTCATCCAGGGTTCAGGGTACTCTCACAAGGTGACCGCTTAAGAAGTGGCAATTTACTATGAGTACGTACACTGAAAAGCTCACTGATGCATCGCACTGCTTAAGTGCAAGCCCACTGCTATCGCAAAAAACACGATGAATGCAGCAATTAGTATTCATCTATTATGCACGCCAAACACCACGTAAATGCTCTCGAAGTAAGCTTCGTAAACCTACGTAATAACAGCTAAGAACGACGCAACTCGCCCGTCGAGTCAAGAGTATTTTATTGATGCCTTAATCTATGACATATGGAAGATCGGAAGAACTGGCACGCCGATATTATGAACTTTACATATAACAACACTTTTATTTGTGCAAAGACGCCTTTACCACCCGCGTGCGTCCTTGCGTTAATCGCACTGCACTTATCTGTAGGTTTCTGACGAACATGTTTTGTATTAAACATGCGAGCAAATCTACGTAACGCCAGCAAGGGACCCGAACACAACACACCTACTGCGTAGACCAGTCAAGTCCGAGATAGTTACCAGCACAAACAAAATGATTACCGGCTCTTCTGCGTATGCTAGATGGCACACGCGCATAACTCGTCAGATGAAAATAAGAGGCTCCCCCCCACACACGACTGCCATTTTTCGCAAGGTTAAGCCTACAGATACGAGGAGCCAAGCACTATTTTAAATCAAACGCACTATATGTCCGCGGGTACGGATGAACTTAACCACTCAAATACGCTTCGCTCTCGCAACGTTTCGGCTCCTGCCGCTGCCGCTACGGTAACAAAGTGCTAGCTATAAAGCACGCCACTACCAACCTTTCCGATATCTTTCCACCTCGCGTTGCGCATCGCGCAGTGTTTAGAACCGACACAGCTGACGTTTGTTGTTGTTTTGACGTAAACGTGATACATACCGCTTTATATGCGCAGTCGCGAGTAAACCACTCCGAGATTATTATACTTTTTGAGTGTATTATAAAAAGCGTATACGCGTTCACATAGCGCGAATGTCGTGCGAAAGCTACCAGCGAGTAAAATACGCCTTTGATCATCAACGCCAGAGGGCACGCGGTGTTAGCTGCTTTTGTTTGTGTAGTTTATTCCTTTTTGCTTGTAAGTTTAGGCCACTCGTGCCCTTTGTTTTTCTTATTTTTGTTCTGTTTCGTTATCCGCTTGCCTCCTTGCGTTACCGGTGGCCGGAGAGAGGCGTTCAGTTGCCTTTGTTTTTCTCGTGCAGGCGGATGTTGAAGTTCGATGAGCGGAGGTTCATTATGCCGTGGCCAAACCTGCTAATGTCTCGGAATGCGTGAGGATGTAAACAGTGCTGGTGACCGCCTAATGCATTAGTTCCCTCAAAGATCAAAGTGAAGTTTTTCTTATTTTTTTTCCTCACTCGTATGCGTCATCGGCGACTGGGATGTCTGAAAGTCTGGCCTTCATCATCAGATCCGCTTTCTCGACTTCGAAGATTCCGAAAGAAAAGCTTGCTCAGCTGTTCTGACGTTCGGCCCCGATAACACGCACCGGAGTTCTCGAGTTTCGCAACACGACGCGCAAATGATCGGCAGCAGAGCGAACGCTCCTTCGCATTGACGGCAATGGACGAAGGAAAATGCTCGGAGCTGCTTTCGCTCATCGAAGACAATGTGGATTTCTTCGAGAGCGCGCAGTCCGACCTCGGGCAACGCTTCTCCAACCAGTTCGGCGATCTTCACGACGCTGTCACGCAACTTCGTGACGACTGCGCACTCATCGCTCGCCAGGCCCACCTCTACGATTTCGACGCCGAGACGCCCGGCAACGGATACAGGACGTGTCTGATCATTGTGAACAGATTTCTCCCCATATGCATCAAGCTCTGCCGGCATGTTGTGGCCAGCAGGGACTCGATGTTCTTCAGGTCGGAGTTTTACCAGAAAGAACTCGAGGCCCACCTCAGCGTGGTTGCTGGAATGCAAGTGAGCGCCCAGTTTTTACGCCGAATGCTCGACGTTGGGACGGCGGGCGATTTGTTTGTCGGCGAAAAACTGAGCATCAAGGAACTGTTGGAAGAGTACGGTTCTCTTCCTCAAGTCGGCTTCTATGGAAGACTGGCCGGCTTTTATGTGAGACAATTGCTTTCGTTACTGATAACATCTTTTCTCACAGTGTGTGCGCCGGTAGGTTTCAGAAGAAATGTTTTTTTTTTCCTGCCTGTTCAAAAATGCGAACCCACGAAACATGCAGTGCTAGTCGTTTATACTACTGCAATTCGCGGAAGCATGTTGCTACAATGCTTCTACAATGTCCCTGCAAGTTTACTTCTCAAGTTACTTTTTTTGATCACACTTGATAGAAACAACACATTCATATTGTGTTTCGTGATGTCTCTTGCACTGTTCTATTTTCTTCAACAATCAAGTCATAAATACAACATATGAAACACGTATGATTGGTTGCTGTCCAAACTTGAATACAAAGTGAGATCGAGAAAAATGAGCAGAAGGACATCTTTATTATGAGCCTTAATACTCGAAAAATGCCATTGGAACAGAACTCATATCAATGCTTACACATCGCATCAGCCGCTCATTATGAATGCTAACTACATTGTGCAGTTTTATGAAATGGTGCATGTTGATTCCTTTCAGTTCTGCGAGTCCATGCGCCGCATCATCACCGGGCTCAACATAGTCATGGCTTCGTTCAGCGACCAGTACCGCCAGTCGGGAGGGGCGCTTGCCCACGCTGCCGCCTCGCTCATCAACTGCGGCAAGTACACCTTGAACCCAGAGGCAAGGGCCAATCACATTGTAGATGTCACTCAGAACGCGTCCCTGGACTTCCTCAAGGCTTTCTGGAGCCTGAACGAAGGGGAACTACTGAAGGTATGCCACAGTTCTCTCTTTATAGCACTCATTCATACTGTAAAAGGGCCTGTAGGTACATAGTTTGGCAAATTGACAAACAATTCCTTGAAGATGCATACATGAGGAGAGAAATTTTTTCTGTGTGTGTGTGTTCATCAAAATTTTCTATTCGTGTGTGCGCATCTTTCAAGGTTTGGTTTGTTAATTTTCTAAATCATTCGTAGTGTTCCTCACTATAAGTGGTCACGCGGATAAGTTGGTCGCATAGAAAGCAGTCGCAAATGATTGCTTTGGTCGGAGACCAAATGCTTTGGCTTAGTTGCTTGCCGCTCAATTTTTCAGTCAGGCGACTGCAGTCACAGAATCAGCCAGCCAATGGGACATGCAGAAATGGGATGTTTTCTTGTTGCGTGATGTGTCGGCTAAAGCAAGCAGTTGCGGATGGCGTCCTGACAGTAAGGACTTTCGCTGTGGCAAAGAGTGAATCGCTTTGAGTCATTTGGTGTTTGTCTGTCATAAACCATTGTGCAACCCTTAGAAGTTTCCAGTGCAGATAAGCCTTACTTGGGACCACTTTTTTGTCATGGTACATATATGTATGTGCTGTCACCCAGTCTCGGATATCTCTGTTTTTGAGCAAGACTAATGGGGGACACGTTAATGTTTTAACGGAAGCAGTTGCTTAAGGCACTCTTAAACAAAGACTTCTTAAGTGATGTAAATGTAAATTTAGCGTGGGTGTTACGATTCTCGATGATTTGATGCTACTGCATTTGTATGACTTGTGTATTGTTTGTATGAAGCTGTTTTTGCATTATGATACAAAAAGCCCATTGAATTTAAACAGTGCAACAATGAAAGTCGTATAAAAAAATGAAGATATAGAGCGTAATTCAGCTTGCACATTGAGGAATGACACTTTTTGAAGCAAATTTACAATTCTTAGCAGTTTTTAGTAAAGGTGAAAAGTTTCTCTGAAAACTTGAAAACATAAAGGAAAGAAAAACAAAACCGAGAACCTTGACAGATATAGCTATAAAAGTGAAGTCTCCTTTTGTAAGATGGCCCCGCCGCGGTGGTCTAGTGGCTAAGGTACTCGGCTGCTGACCCGCAGGTCGCGGGTTCAAATCCCGGCTGCGGCGGCTGCATTTCTGATGAAGGCGGAAATGTTGTAGGCCCGTATACTCAGATTTGGGCGCACGTTAAAGAACCCCGGGTGATCGAAATTTTCGGAGCCCTCCACTACGGCGTCTCTCATAATCATATGGTGGTTTTGGTACGTTAAACCCCACATATCAATCAATCCTTTTGTAAGCCCTGAGGTCTTGCCAGTTAATAGCTGTATGTGAATACAAACGTCAGCATACTGGCTTATACTAGTTTTCTCAGTCAGGTGATGTGGCTGGTCTACCCAGCTGTTAGCTCATTGTTATGTTTAACAATCATTTTAAGATTAGGATGACAGGCTTTTATCGATATGGACCATGCTTTGTGGGGCTAGTTGGTGAGTGATTTTGATGAGAACTTAACCTGTACTGGGGATGAAACACCAGAGTAAATCATTTTGTCTGCATTTGTCCTGTCTACTTCTACTTTGGTGTCTCATTCCCAGCACAGTTTTTATAATAACGTATTTTATGGTTAATGTGCAAGATATCACAAGTGAGAAGAAATGAATAAGAAATGCCTGGTAATCTTTTACTTGGAAAATCTTGGTAATCTTTTACTTCCATGTTTGACTGCCCTTTGTTAGAGTCATTGCCTTTTACCAATGTGAAGCTTCACACACACATACAAACACTTCTCTGACCTGTGATGCAGACAAAGCCATGCATATCACATGGTGCTCCAAGCCCACAGCTTCCTGGCTTGAGATAGGCTTTTTACACTTTCGATTTCAACACAGGCTGGCTGAAACCTGCTGTGGAACGTAATCAGAACATGAAGAAAGAGTAGGAAAGATAAGAGGAAGCTGTGTATTTGCACGAGTAATCAGGAGAAAGTATTATGCATGTTCGCGGCCTTTGCCATTTGCTCATAACTGGTTCAGTTCTATGTTTTTTTTTTGTAGGGCGCTATTGATTATTTCTGCCATAAAATTTTACACTCGTGTGAAACACATCACATCTTCGTGTGAAATGCCAAGATCTTTATGCAATTTTATTTCTTGTTTGGTCTGGGGAGGCCTTTGCTCTGTATCACAAGCCTCTTATCGCTCTATCTCGTGCTTATTGTAAAGTTGGAGATGTGCTTTTCCGCTGATAAGCCGCAGAACCCGTTTCTTCTTATCGCCTCAGCAAACTTATGTCGCGTGCCACTGTCATCACGTAGGTTGTGAACTTTATCGGCAGCCTCGTATGTTATGCTTGTTAAACCACAGCTCTGTCACCCATACGAAAACAAGCGAGACCTCGTGTGTCTGCTCACTATTGTCCATCCGATACCAACTGCATTCAGAGGTGCAGTGGTTTTCCAATATCATTTCGTTACCTTCCTGGACATGTTTATAACACCCTCTTCAACATATCTATATTTGCAAACTGAAAAGAAAAATCTTGAAAAAGCACGAAAAAGTAGAAAAAACAACAGCCTGGGGCTCTTTCAAAAGTTTCAAAGCCTCTGCGTCATGCAGTACCATCAGACATTATTATGCCACAGGTTTCACAGCCTCTACATCGCGTAACACCAGACATTTGACGGTGCTGTGTCTAGGAGGGCCATGTCAATCTTCCAAAGCCACAGAGGGTAAAAGCTTCAAGATCGGTCTTGTCATGGACATTTTCCCAGGCTTATAGCGACAAGACTGCAAAGAAGGGAACTCGGACGGGATAAAAGAGCAACATAAAATGCAATGCTAGCTGTTAATGAGAACTAACAGACAATGGTGTCATTATCTGTTACTTCTCATTAATATTGTGTTTGACAAAGGAAATAAGCTGGTAAAGTTAACGCTTCTTTCCTTCATTCAAAGCTAGCTGTTGTGTTGTGAGGAAGAATGTCAGAGGAGGAAACACAGAACACAGTATACCAGTGCTTGAGTTCTATCCAGTCATAGGCATGTTACCAATAAAAGTTACCAATAACAGCGTTAGGGTTACAGTTACCTAAGCCAATAAAAGTAATCGTGTTACAGTTGTAGTTACCGTGAAAAAGTAACCTTGTTACTTTTCCTTTACCACATTTAATAAGTGATTGATTACGTATCAATGGATCAATTTATGTAATAGAAACGTACTAAGAGGTGCGGGAAGTACATGACGACTGAAGATGGCATCCATAGACCATGATCGAATCAATAAGGTGATGAAACTGCAGATGTCTATTAATCTCCCATCTTTTAAAGTACTGTGAGATCCAGAGCAGGTGCCCCTCCCCCCTTTTCCTGTGGTGGAAGATAATTGGACAATATTTATAAAGGGGAGTGGGGAAAGAAGGGCTTGCTCAGTCCAGACTGAAATTCAAGATGGAGGCAGAAGAGTTTCAGAGAAGAATTCACATCTGTGCTTGAAATGAAAGGCTTTATTGAATATGCATGCATTTATTGTTTTTACTGAACTGGAGGGAATCCTCGTGGGAAATTTCATGCGTTACGACAATCGGTGAAGGCGTTCTTCCAACGTACCGACCATTCGTGACAACTCAGAATGCATCTCTGTGGCACTGCACGGTAAAATTATCAAGAAGTTGTGCGCATGTCTAAAGACTCTCATAAGTTGGGTTTCTGGGAACCTCTGCTGCAGGATTCTGAAGTGGAAGATTCTGATTCTGAAGGAAGACCCTGCCCCCCCGGGCAGGGTCTTCCTAATTCTGTGTCCCAGTACTTGGCAGGTCTGGTATTGCGTGCAAAACTTCAAAAGATAATTGAACTGTACTGGTAGATCTTGTCGTCAGTCGACGAGCAGAAGGCAGTTCTACTGAGCTTTTTTATTTTCGCGCAAAACAAAAACGACGACACTGTCTGGTAACCCGTGACAAATTCTCATTGCATTGTACAAAACGAGAACTACGTCGACTAACTCGTCAGCATTCTGGCATTCTTGTGAAGTTATTTCTTGCAGTCTTCTTTTTCTTACTTTCTATGTCTTTTTTTGCAATTTCCTGTTGTAAAATATCTTTTAAATTTCCCAAAGCAAGCATTGTACAAGGCAATAGTGTGTAAATATCTTGGTGCACTTTGAGCATTGCAACTGTTCTAGTGAATATTTTTATTGCGAGTAATATCGCTCAACGGATGAAGAACTTACAGTGCTTATCTCTTGGCAACAGTTGTTTGCAGCGATAGTAATAATATCTGGGGTTTTATGCGCCAAAATTGTGATATGTATGTTGTGCACGTAGTGGAGGTCTCCGGAAATTTTGACCATGTGGTATTCTTTGATGCGTACTGACATCGTACAGTACACAAGCCTCTAGTATTTTGCATCTTTGAAATGCGATCGTCGTGGCCATTGTCGAAACCGTTGAAATCATTCGCAGTGAGTGCAGAACTTTGACACGAGATGGCACAGTTTACCTTTGCTCTTCTGCTTACAAATTTCATAGCCGTCCTGACTGCTTGCCAGGTGTTGTGCATGCTAACTCACAAGCGCTGCACGCGCACTTGGTAGTGAAAACTCAGATTAGCTGGCACACGCAATAGCTGGCACATAGTTATACGTAGCGGTGAGTGTGCTGGGCTAAAGCCACTTTTTGACTGGAGAAGCGTGAACAGGACGTACACTAGATAAGCATACTGATAGACAAGCGTTCCAATGTGTGACTTGATTGATTTGCGGGGTTTAACGTCCCAAAACCACCATATGATTATGGGAGACGCCGTAGTGGAGGGCTCCGGAAATTTTGACCACCTGGGGTTCTTAACGTGCACCCAAATCTGAGCACACGGGCCTACGACATTTCCGCCTCCATCGGAAATGCAGCCGCCGCAGCCGGGATTTGAACCCGCGACCTGCGGGTCTGCAGCCGAGTACCTTAGCCACTAGACCACCGCAGCGGGGCCCGATGTGTGACTTAATTGTCTCTTTAATTGCAGTAAGCTATCACATGCCAAAGCTGGCGATGACAAGCTCTGTAACAATGAGAGCACATTCTCTGTGCTAATTCAGTTGATTGATTGTTGAAGTGCATAATGGTCTAATGATGATCGAATGTACCTTAAAAATATCTTGAAATCATTAGATTTATCACTTGTGATTCAATTGTTACGCATCACATCATTTTTGTGCGCAAAAGAAGTCAACAGGGTGCCATTGTCCCTTCAGAAAGTGTGACGCACATTGCACATTTACGTCATGCACATTTGCCGAGGGTGAGAGTTTGTGTAGATTAAGAGTAATTTTTGTAATGGGAATAACATAACATATGAACAATGAGTTCAAACACTAATTCATTGCATTAAATTAAATGATTGTGTGAATGTCCCAGATAGCTAAAGTGCTCTGAAGTTTTGTGGTAAACAACTGTCTTGTAGTAGTTTACTTGTGACAATATAGAGCTAACAGTTCAGGAGTCCAAGTGCACCTAAATCTCATTATAGCAAAGTTGCCTCTTACAGCAAAATAAGTTTGTTATATCCAAAAACTCTTCATAAAGACAATTCCCAATGCTATATTTCAAGACTATTCTTAAAATTTACTTCATAGTTGCCAATATTTCTTTATATCTGGGCTCATTAGTTGAGATTTTAGGGTATGTGATTAGCACTGTTAATCATGTAATCAGTATCAGTGTTCACATTATATATTAGGTTAATCATCACGTTTATTCTAAAGTACTTGTAGGAGTTACTAAATTCCTTTCTGGTTTCATTGAAAAAAATAAAAATGCACTAATATTTCCATAGAGGATGAGGTACATGCTGTGATATACAGTTAGATGTAAAAAGAAGTATTTTCCAAAGCTGTCATATAATATAGCTTTGTCATTAGCTGTGCATTGTGTTGTCTGTCGGTAGCGCTTTGGCACTAAGAAACAGTGCCAGGCAAAGAACCCATCTCTATTCCCACTGGCCTGAAACCATCCGCCGTCGCGACTCAACGGGAACCACGAGTTTGGCGTCCAGCTCTAACCGATAGGGCTGTTGCATAGGGCTGGTAGCGAGTGACAAAGGCTCCGCTGGCACGTGGTGCGACCGAAAGTCGACGCAGTTTCACGCGCGTGGATCTGTTTTGTTACGTAGTAAACACTATACGCTTTCTCTCTTTATTCGTACCACTTAGCGCACTGAAAGCTATGCAGGATGATGGAAAAGGGCAAGAAGATGCATTCCTTCATCAGTAGGTCATAGCTTTGAGCCATTTTTTTTGCAAACGCACAGCTTTTTCTTAGTGTGAATACGAGCACACGCGTGGACAGGTGGTGGCATTTTCTGGCAGTGGTGGTAAAAGTGCAGCTCACAATGGTCAAATCAGCTAATGGCCATGGACTTTGGGTCTATGGCACAGTAATTGGATATATAGCATTATTTATAGAGGGAAGAGGGAGCAATTTCTAGCTCACCGTGAGTAGCAATTGTGTTGTGTCACGTGCTGTGGTATAAATGTTTAGCTCTGCTGTTTTCAACAGCCTCGACGACCAATCGGCAGCATTTTTGAGCGTGTTAAAAGAGTGTTGCCAGGCCCCATCAAGAAGCAGGCTGTGTCCACTCTAGAACCTGCTACGATTACAACAGGGAAGTTTAGGAACAGAAAAATTGCTGAACTAAGATTTGCCTTTTTGCAGCGGTTGTAGTGTTTCTGGCATGCATTGATGCTGTTGTCAGCGACCATCTTGAGGAAAGAGTATCTCTTTTGAGTCATTGCACATTTGTCTCATTGCAGCGTGTGCCCCAGTGGATCTGTCCCTCACTGGAGGTGTGCGAAGTAGTGACGGTGCCCACAACAATGCAGAGGTTGCCAACTGAAAATGGGCTAGCTTTAGTGGACATCCCTGTGCCTTCGTCTCACCTGCCAAGGGCTCCTGTCCGCTGTCGACTACTTTCTTATCGGTGGAGGAAAGGACAAGTGAGTTCGAAACTGCTGCCTTGTTTTGATTGCATTCTTCTTCAAGAGATACTGAAAAAAAGTTTTGCTGCCAAGATTGTCAGCCAAGCTGAGAGATTGGGTGCTGATATCAATAGACACACCTTTCATTTTAGGACAGTTTTCATTTTCGGCCAGAAGCTTGAGGAAAATGAAGAATTTAATGCATAGTGGGCACTTCGCAACTGTACTTGCAACAGGCACACTAGTACGCTTTCAAGCGGCAAAAATTATGCGCACAGACGTTCTTTCCTTGCTGCATGGTTAAGATATCCATCGAGACACGAAGCTAGGCTAGCATTTGCGAACGCAATGCCAAAGAACATTAATTATGCTATCACACCCTTCTCTTGGAGCCAAAGCTTAAGCGTACGCCAGCTTTCTGTTCTGATGTGGACATATTATGGTTTTTCTTACAGGAGGCAGTTACAGGCAGCCGATGGTTTTCTAGTCCATCTCCACCATCCAAGGGTCTGCTGCTTCACTGCCATGGGGGCGGGTTTGTTTCCCAAACTCCAGACTCGCATGAGGTGGGTGCTTCTTACATTATGCCTTTCACCACATTGACTAAGTAGTATCTCATGATGGAGAATCACGGTTACAGGACTTGAGCGAAGAAAATTATCTTCAATAACCATTTGTCTCTTGTGAGGGTACCAGTTTAAAGACAACCTTTTGTATCTGGTTTTGCGTATAGTACACCTATAAAAGGGTGGTACCAACACAAAAGTTTTCAATAGTAGTTTTTTGTACCAATAGAAAGGCCAGAACCTTTAAAAGCCTCTAAAATGCTTTATCAGGCATCGAATCACCTTGAAACATTGACAGAATTTTGAAAACAAGATTTAGTTCCCACTGTTTCATAACGTCTGGACATCATACAAGTTTCTCGTCAAGTGCTTGCGCAAGATATCGTGACGTTTTGACGGTTGCTGCAGTCCGCGGCTTCGTCGGTGACGCACAAGCGGCCGTTTGGAACATTTTGGTGCCTGAAGTGATTCTATCTAGCCATACTGTTGCCAGAACTGATACTGTAACCTGATGTCACAGTAGCGTCAGTGTCAATAGATGTGCCATGCAAGAACTGATTTTAATGTCAAGACAAAACATATTATCTGTATTTAAATTAATATCTATATTATCTGCACCTGCATGATTATCTGCATGCCACACAGATATCTGTGTGGCATAGTTGAAAGTAAGCATGGGAAATTGATGTCAGTGCCTCTGGTTGGATGCATGTGTCCTTATGCTGTGGAAGTCCTGGCATGTCGCTGCAAAAATTACGATTTTCCGGTTACTGTAAAATGCCTTTGATACCTTCAGCTGTAAAGATGGCAGCAGACATGGAACACCATTTCTTATTTCATTTTGATGGGCACATACTCGGGAGACAACGTCTTTATTTCATGTCTTTAAGAGGCGAATACGAAACTCTACTGCTGTGTAGAATGGGCAAGACTGATAACATGATCCACTGGGGTTCCCACGTGCTTACCTTTTCTACTGCAGTGGCAAGGAGGAAAGCACACAGTTTACTTTTTCTCCTCGGCCAGTGATAGAAATAGGCGCTGCTGTACTTTGGTGGCTGGTCACCTGAGCATAGCACATGTTTTGAAAAAACGCTTCACAAAAAAAAAACGTGTGTAACAGAAATACTCAGTCACTGGCACAGCATAAGTTGAAATTTATTGCTTCAGTTTTCTTTTATTGCAGAAATGAAACTTTGTTATAGAGCAGACTCCTGTTAAGACAAACTCGAAGGGGTTGCAGTCATTTGTTCATCTTATCAGGAGTTCGGAGTATCAAAATCCTCCCCCCCGCTACCCCCCCCCCCCCCCAAAAAAAAGTCATGCTAACATGCCAAGTACATCCATATATATGTCACTTGAAAACCTTAAATGAAGTGGACTCACAATGGTCAGGAAATGTCAAGAAAAGTATTTATTTGGGTCTACAAGATAACTTTAAAAAAGCGAGGGTTGGGTGAGTTGGTATTCCATTGTGGATGGCATTTTCCGCAAAAAAAAAAAAGGACTATGCTTGTCTGTGCTCTCTTCCTTCTTGTCCGTGTTTTTGTGCAAGGTGCCTTTGATGTGATAAAAACTATGTCATCAAGTATATTATTTACACAAACCTAACGATCACCAGATTTCGTGGATTCAAAATAGAATGTTCATCAATATACTGCTACCACATTTAAGGGCTCATTTTCTTTGCCAGACCTGCGACCTCCGAATCACACGTGCTGCTCTACCACTGAAATATGGTGGATGCCGTACCACTGAGCTATGGAGCCTCTGTGCGCTACACACACGCCCACAAAAGGCTAATATGCTGAAAAATCACTTCGGTTGCCAGGCGGTTGCCACGCAACGGAGGCGATAATGCTGTAGGCCTGTGTGCTCAGATTTGGTGCACGTTAAAAAACCTCAGGTGGTTGGAATTTCTGGAGCCCTCCACTACAGCGTCTCTCATAATCATATGGTGGTTTTTGGATACCCCAGATATCAAATCGGTTTCCACTAAACCCCAGATATCAAATTGGTTGCCACAGGGTTATAAGTACAGATTAGCCCATTTTTAACGAACCCATTTACAGCAAAATAGTGATTATAATGAAGTGATATTGAGTTCCTATTCTAATTTCTCTCTTTTCACTGCCTTTTAAGTCCAGTTTCAACAAAGTATATAAACCCACCTCAGTGGGCTAAGCGAAGCATTTTTTCGATAAAATGAAAAGAAAAAAAAATGTCATCAAACATTCTGTTTAGCTTTCACAAGAATCAAAACGGTTAAAAAACCACTAATTTTTGGTTTCTGGCAGCGCCCTTCCAGCATCAATTGCTCTTTCGCTCGGCTTCTTGCGAAAGCTTGCTTCACCGCATCACACGGTTACCGTCCCCTAAACAAGCGAACTATTCTTTTGTCCAGTGCCAGGCTGGCCGACTGCCGGGTGAAAGGTTGCTGGTATCTTATCTCGTCACACTGCCTACTACATCGCCTGGCTTGCTTCATAAGAACGCTGCCCCATGCTTTGGACCTTTGGGCCACCCATTGGTCCACGTCAGCCCTATTGCACTTGTGTTGCCACCTCATAATGAAAAAGCGAAGTAGATGCGCTCCTGTATTGCTCTTTTTTCCATGGCGTGGCGCCACCAGTGATGCCTGCCTAAGCAAGCTTGTCATGCTTGTTCATGTCATGCTTGTTCACAGAGATGGCGTGATTCATGTATGAAAACAAAGCAGTACAGTTTGAACAGCAGAAGCACTCGTACACTCGTTCAACTCTGTTCACTGGTGAAAAGCGGGTCATCGCAGCACACTTGGATTTCCCCGCGGTAACAGCTTGGCCTTCCCTGTGCTCCGACGAACTCTTTGACAATTTCAAGTCCAGCGATACATGGAACGTTGAGCTCATCCACGGCCATATGAAAGGTGCTCTCCCTCAATGTGAAACACACCATTTTGGATGAAGTTCGCCAGAAATTCAAGAAGACCGACATTGCACAGAAGTATAGCATAGCCCAGTTCACTTTGGCTACCATTATATAAACTTAAAGCATGCCAGCAAAATCTATGATGTTTTGGACGACCACGTCGGCAGCGGTGGGCGGAAGCGGATTCGCACTGCCACTTACAGTGATGCTGAAGTGGCGCTCTACAAATTGTTTCTAGGTGCTCGTGCAAAGATTGTCCCTCTCAGTGGTCCAATCTGCTGGTGCAGGCTGAATGTCTGGGGTTCGTTCTCAGCCACGAGAACTTTAATCCAGGCAACGAATGGTTGTAGCTATTCAATGACCACCGTGGCATCACGTACAAAAAAATTGTCAGTAAAGCTGCTTCTGTTGACGAGGATAGTCTTCAGCTTTGGATGGAAAAGCACAGGTGCTGAATTTTTGACACATACGACAAGAGAGATGTCTACAATGCCGATGAAACGGCACTGTTTTTTCAGTTACTGCCAGCAAGAACTTTTGCGGCAAAGAATGATAAATGCATGGGAGAAAAAAGCAGCGAAAATCCTATGGCAATGTTGGTGTGCCTGAACATGGATGGCACAGCCCCGCCGAGGTGGTCTAGTGGCTAAGGTACTCGGCTGCTGACCCGCAGGTCGCGGGTTCAAATCCCGGCTGCGGCGGCTGCATTTCCGATGGAGGCCGAAATGTAGGCCCGTGTGCTCAGATTTGGGTGCACGTTAAAGAACCCCAGATGGTCAAAATTTCCGGAGCCCTCCACTACGGCGTCTCTCAAAATCATATGGTGGTTTTGGGACATTAAACCCCACATATGAATCAACATGGATGGCACAGACAAGCAGTCCTTTTTGGCCAATGGCAAGCATAAGAAGCCGCGGGACTTTGCCAAGTTGCCGTCAATGTCAGTAGCGTACATACACAACACCATGGCATGGATGATGGGGGACATCTTCCGTAAGTGGCTCACTGACTTTGACTAGAAAATGAGCTCGGAGAAGCACAAAGTGCTGCTTCTGCTTGACAACTCCAGTGCACACCAGGTCGATGCACATAGTGTTGTCGAGGTCCTTTTTCTGCCTCCCAACACAATCGCCAAGATGCAGCCGATGGACTAGAGAGTGATTGCAAACATGTAAGTCCATTATCGCCGCAGTGTCATTGAGCGTCTTCTCATCGACATCATACAGCTGATAACTTGGCTGACTTGAAGGTGCCACTGGTGAAGGCAATATTTTTCGCAAGTGGAGGCTGGAGTTATGTGAAGTCTTAGTGATCCTTCATTGCTTCCAAAAATCTGCTTTCTCGTGGGGAAGCAGTGCTGCCAAAGAAGAAACAGCAGCAGCTGGTGCCACGGCTGTGACGAGCTTAGGGCAGCTTTGGGAGGCCACTGGCAATGCAAGCCTTGTCCCAAGCAGGTTGGATTATATGAACTTTGCACTCGTGGATAAAGGACTCGTCACAACTGAGGAGCTCACCACTGATGAACTCGCCACTAATGTCTCAGAGAAGGAAACAATCACTGATAGCAGTTTCTCGAGCTCCGAAGGTGACGACATTGCCGAACCTCAGTCAATGACCTCTGGAGAAACTGTTGGAGCGGTCGACACATTGCGTATGTATCTGAGTCTGAACCGGACGATTGCGCTCTGATGGACAGGGTTGAGGCCAGGGTTCTGAAATGCCCGCTTGTGATACGCATGCAGGGGACCCTCGACCAGTTTTTCCAGAGGGTATAAATAAATTTTTCGACTTGGTCTGCTTGATGTCTCAACTTTTTTTGTTTTTTAGTTCGGAAATAGTGAAAAAGTAGTTGTAGCGAAGTAATGTCTGATTCTCCCCAACATTGTTATAACCGGGCTACACTGTATAAAAATAGAACCATCTTCGCCTAACAACTGTTTATTTTGCTGATGTGTTATGCCTTGAATTCGCTAAGAGATAGTGACGATGCATCTCTTCACAGTTCATTTGTAGTCGCAGCTTCTGGCTTTTATTCACCAGCATGCCTCTGTATACGTGTTTACCATGAGGTGCAGTGTTATTTACGTGTTTCTGCCATGCTTCACAGTGCTGCAGAGAAAACGCAAACTATGCTGTTCAAGGCAAGGTGTTTACAGCAACGTGTAAGAGTTACTTAGAAGCCATCAATGGCAACACAGTGTTGTTGCCGAATGCAGCACAAGAACTTTTTGGCACTACACTGGAGGATGTGGTGCCCTCAGTGCGTAAAACATTTCACGATGACGAACTAAGTCATAATTATGTTTTGTCATGCTGACTGAATTAAAACTAGGTGTGTCGTATACAGAGGTGGACAAGTTTGATAATTGGGCGAGTTAGTATGTTGTACCTGAGCTGGTATAGCAATCACACAGGTGAAGAAAGGGCAAACCGGCTGGATTAAAGGAAAGAGGTCTGAGCACTAGCGCTCTCTTCTTTTGTTTGGTTGGAGTAGCTGTTTCATTTACATGATTGACTATACCAATTCAATTGTACAGAGCTGCATGTTGTATGCTTTTCCCCGGGAAAGTCCTAAATAGTTTGCCCTGTACAGAGGTGCTGCTCATACGGTCGAAAATACAGTATGTGCAAGAAAGACTTCACTGGCTATGTCTTTTTAGCTTAAATTAAAGTGCGTGTTATTTTTTGCTTTTCTCTCAGATAATTGTTACAAGTACGGATATAACAGTGAACAACGTTTATGATGTGTGCTACTTTGTTTCATCATTTTGCATCGACCATGCCAGATCTACCTGAGGGACTGGGCAAAGGACCTTGATGTACCCATCCTGACCGTTGACTACTCGCTCTCTCCGGAGGCACCTTTCCCTCGGGCCCTTGAGGAAGTGTTACACGTCTATGCCTGGGCTCTACTCAACCATGAAAAGCTTGGTAAGTGTGAGGGCAGGTTCAAGTAATTACGGCGACTCAAAGGTTTGTTGCTGAGATTGACGAGGGCATTTGCACATGGGTGAAAATATGTTTAGAATACAACGGATGATGTTAAGGTTAGCGATAAAGAAGTGATACAAAAGGGATTACGATAACAAACACCATTCTCAAGTCACTTAACGTAGTTCCCCCACTCCACTAAACAAGGTTTCAGCCACTTCACTTTGTGACACTTGAAGGATGATGCGTTGATGGCTCGGTGCGTCACATCTCACGTCGATGGCAAAGACGAGTCACAGAGTGAAAGGTTGTAGCGAAGCCAACAGCAAGGTAGAACAGCAAACAGCACGTCCAGGACAGTCAGTAGTAGACCGGGTCTGGTACGTGCTTGGATCTGAGTACAATGCACCGGCTCCAGCAGCTGGAGCACCCAGTAGAATGAAGGGAGGCCCGCAGTTGGTAGGTAGCGGCTTCGCGACCTGAACCTGATGAGCGCTTCAACAGGCAACTTCCTCGTTCGAGATTCTGTTCTCGAATGCTCCCCTTGTCCTCTTCCTCTTCCGCCTTCTGCCCACCGCTCGGGTTTACTTCGACAAGATGATTCTGCCTTTTTCTTGTGCTGCCGTCTTTGCCGGCGCACTGCACATCACAAAGCACCAAATCTGCACACCAGATGAAAGCACCACGCACACCATGACAGTAAGTCATTAGCATTGTTAAATGCAAAGCATTTCTTAGTGAACTTCGGCTACTTTGACCGTAGCTATCTATCTAGCCGCCTATGACCTTTAGCTCTCCTGGCCGTTTCGATAATGTGATCTATACCAAAATTGATATGGCATAACATGAATGTATGACGAGCATAAGTGACTAGTCATAACATGAAAATTATGACATGTACACTCAAGCCCTGTTATAATGAAGTTGAAGGGGAGCCACAATTATTTCGTTATATCGATTATAACAGCTTGTGGCAATGCTCAGAGGGGCGCACACCTATAAGCATGTAAAGAAGGAAACCGCCTCATGGCCCGATGTACCGCTACGCGACCACGCGTGCCACAGAAAATAAACTTAGTCGAATCTCAATAATTCGAATTTTCAGGTAATTCGAACTCACGCTGACGTCCTGTCAAAGCCATGTGTATTCCAATGGGCAAAAACGCCCTGTAATTCGAACACGCAAGCACTTGCAATGGTTAATTCGAACATCCCGCTCTCCGAAAATGCTCTCAGCACCATGCTCAATTCCAGGGCGGCACCTCTCAAAGCTGTGCGCGAAGAAGAAAAAGAAGAAAAGGAAAGAGAAGACTGTGGAGGATTGTTTGCTCTCTCTCAAATGCCGATCTGCGACGCGCCTGTGCCATGAGAACCCTTTTCTGTCTCTGCGCGTAGAGACCCTTCTCCTGTCAAGGCTGCGCGCAGAGAGAGAGGGAAAAAAAAAGCTGTCGAGAGAGGTCTTTCTCGGTGCAGAGGGTAGCAGCCATGGTAGCAGCGGAGACGCAGTCGTTGCCCTCATTAGAGGGAAATCGATTGAGGAAGCGCTCAGCCGGTCACATGACCGGCTGAGCGCTTTCTCAATCCTCTTTGCTGGCTGTGGGAGGAGGACAGCTCTCTCGGCCGCACGGGGCGTGGCTGTAAGGTCGGTGCGGGAGTTTTGAAAGAGTTGCGCCGAATGAGCGTTGAACTCCGCAGAAAACTATATACTTAAGACACTACGGTCGTTTTTTTATAGACTAATTTAGTTTGCTATATCCATTTACCGATCAATTTCACTTGTTACAATGAGGTTTAAAACGCATGGTTCTCAATGGAGCTTTCAAGGGGAATTTCATTTACTTTGTTATACCCATTACTTAGTTATATCCCGTTACACTATAACGAGGTTTGAGTGTATGTCATGTAAGTCATGACTACACGCCACGCTCATGGTGTGCTCGCGGTCATTTTGCTGGCTTCACATATCCCAAATTTGGTAGTACGTGACGTGAATACATGACGGAGGTATATGACTGGTGCAAACATGATAAACATGACATGCGTGTCATGTAAGAATATAACTATATGCTATGCTCATAGCGCGCTTGCGGGGGTTTCGCTACCTTCACATACACAAGACGAACTCGAAGGTACCACAATCATTTGTTTGTCTTATCAGGAGTTCGTCTTATCAGAAGTGCCCCCAAAAACCAAATGTTAACATGCCAAGTACGCCCAAATATGTTGCTTGAGAACACTTAATGAAGTACACTTATGACGGTGAAGAAAAGAACAAGACAAAGCATTTATTTGGCTCAGCTTAATAAAAACTATGCTCTAAAGCTAGTATTTAGGCTTATTTGTCATTCGCATGAGGTGAAGAGCCGAGCCTCACTCTTCAAGTAATGATGATTTCCTGCACTTCTGTAGCGCAAAAAGTAATAAAAAGAGGCACGGCTTGACCGTGTGTTTCGAGTGCCGCGACTGGCTTTTAAATAATGTGGTAATGGTCGGGGATCGCCATGGGGCGCTGTGCGCCTGTGTGTGCTGTGAAGCCTACTTGCAAGGACTGTGCCTTGTCAAGCAGCGTAGCCGAGCAATGCTTTTCTCATGTGTTTACCTCTATTATGAATGAAGAAAGTCATAGCTCACGCGACAGCTAGACTGTCAGTGTGAGGGCTGTTGTGGGGGCGCACTCTCTAGGAATTGGCTACGAGCAGCTGGTCCGATTTGCGGCAATTCTTGGCTTGCAAAAGCCAATGTATCTGCACCAAAAGTCATTCACTGCAATCAGCCATAAAGTCAGTTATGCAGTAAGGGATGCCATCTGCGCCAATCTTGCGAGGTCGAAGCTCACAGTGTGCGAAGTTGACAAGAACGACATTTCGGTTACGTACGACAGTACGTGGCACAAACGCGGCCACAATAGCATTGGTACTGTTGTGTTCCTCGACAAGTCCTGTTGTACTCAACTACAAAAACTGCAAAAAAGAGACAAGAACACAGAAGGCACACGCACAAGAGCAGACTAGTAATTGAAACTTTATTGAATAAAACACAAAAGTAAATAGCAAGAAATCACATAAAAGATTAGAGGTTGGCAGTTAGATAATCTATCTCTAGTTGGTACAATGCGACCGAAGGCCTCGCGACACACGTTATAGGGGGGTTTTGAGGCTGCTCGGCCCAGAACCCCGCAGGGATGAGGCAGAGCCCGACCAGGAACCTTCTTTATTGACCGGTATCCGGGCCAGAACTGTCCACTGCCAGCCGCTGCCACATGCCACCAAGCGCACTCCCGATTGTCGTCCTCCTCTTCCTTCCTCCTACGGTCGGTGTGCTCGCGGCCGCCTCTTCCATACTGCTCCCTCCCCTCTGAAAAAGTGAAGAGGAGACGCCGCATAAATGGAGGGGCTATCCGTGGCCACGGCGGACCGCACGTGGTGCACACAACCACATGCCTGGGCAGTCAAGCGACACCTCGAGATACCTCATTGGCTGCCAGACGTCGTAGTCCCTGACTCGCGCAGGGGTACCATCTCCGCTGCCGCCCGAAGATGGAGGCGCACCGGTCTCACTCAGGTTAGTGACTGCTATCGTCCGTGTCAACATGACGGAAAGCCATTGCTCCTGGTGCCGATGCGGTACCACCTAGCTAGCAGGCCTAAAGTAATCAAAGTAGACCTCCTGGTGCTGACATTGTTGCACGGTGCTGTGGTTGCAGTAAGCATCTCGCTGTATCTTTTGCCGTTGTAGCCGCCCGGACCTCTGACGTCTTGGTGGTGGCCACTCCTCCACGTAGTAGTCATTGAACGCTAGCGAGCTCAGCAGCAATAGAAGCGTAACGTTCGTGCAGAGGCTCTGACTGCTTATGCCTTTGGCACTCACATCTCCATCCTCGCTGGTGTTAATGCCAGATTGCTTTTCATCGCCATTCTCGACGTTGTTTCGGACCTCGAGGACAGCCACTTTGCACTCCAGGGCACACACACCTGTGCAATTATTTGTGTTAGCCGCAGGTTCCTTCTTAAACGTGTCCACCCTTTTTGTCGCTCTCTATAAGGACTCCTGCAAGCCTTCTTTTTCTGCCTGCAGTTTGTCCACAATGGCGCTGAGGCTCCTCAGCTGCTTCATCAGTTAAGACCGCTTGTACAGGATGTCCTCCACGGAAATGTCCAACCAGTCTGCCGAGGACTCTCTATTTTTTGCAACAGAAGCCGTGGCGTAATATTTTGACTCAACTGCTTGCTGAGCGGTTCTTTTCTCGGCTTTTCTTACAGAAAGCTTCCCATCCAAACTATTGAGCGACACAGTCATCACAGGCTTTTCTGCCGTAGACAGACTGGTTGTCGCAGCAACCACTTCCTCCTCCCTTGGTGGGTCCTTCTCGTGCCGTTGACGTAAAAAGCGCAGCGGCTGCTCCGCCTTTGCCAATTCATCATGCAGCCGCTTGACTCCTGCGGCACACTCTACCCTGGCGGTGTCTACAATCTCCAGTCTGCTTTTCATAACCTGGTTGGCAGACGCCTTTTCCTCAGCCATGTGCTGTTCGAGCTGCGCTCTTTCCTTGGCCAGTTGTTCCACGACACTTGCATGCTGTTCCTTCATCTTCTCAATCTGCGCTTTGGGTGTCTTCTTCAGGGCCTCCAGTGCCAGCCCAAATTGTGCCTTCTGCGAGTTAGCCACCAAGTTGTGCTCGGTCTCAAGACTTCTGCGTAGCTTCCGCTGTTCTTCCTCGCGCCGCCTTTTGAGTGGAAGCCTTTGCATGCTGTTCAACGGCATCTTTGTCCCTCTGCAGAGCAACTGCAGAGGGACAAACAAACTCTTTGTACCATGCAGAGCAACTGGGAGGACCCACCGGAGCACATCGGACTCTGAGAAGCCGCTAACAGTCAAGTACACGAAAAGATCGTCAATGAAGTCGAGGACAGATTCTCTCGCGTTTTGACCGGAAAAAGTGGGCACTGTCAGCGGCGGCCTCAGGGCTGTGGTTGTGGACTGCCAGGTACCTCGATGTCCAAGACCCAGGGGCAAGGTTCTTCCTGTTTAGCCCGTTTAGCGCCAAATTTAGGGGGGTTTTGAGACAGCTCAGCCCAGAACCCCGCAGGGAAGACGCGGAGCCCGACCAGAAGCCTTCTTTATTGACCGCAACCCGGGCTGCAGCTGTCCGCTGCCAGCCGCTGCCACGTGCCACCAAGCGCGCACCCAATTGTCGTCCTCCTCTTCCTTCCTCTTACGGTCGGCGCGCTCGCGGCCGCCTCTCCCATAACGTATAGGTACTTGTGGATATAAAAAGCCTCAGCAACTTCTCTTGCTCGCCTATCTCTCTGCTGGGACAATACCTTTGTTTCGTGAAGAAAAGGGCGACACTCGCAATCTCTGCAATGTAGTCACAGATTCGACGAAGAGTGGGCCTTCAGCGATGCCATGTGATTCATTTGATAGTTATTTGAACACCTCTCGGTTTGTCCGATATAGCACTTACCACGTGAGAAGGGGATGAGATATAAAGGATGTAAACGTTTACCAGGGTAGAAGAAATATGGACTCCCCAAATTCGAATTTTTCATGTCTATGACATAATTTGGATTCACTTCCTAATTAGTTTTCTGCATTCTACACTTTATTTAAAAAATTATAAACTATCAGTGACAAAAAAAAGTTGTGCAAGCTTAGTGATGGAAAGAGGTGGGGAGGGGCAAAAGGCTTGAGGTTTTCACTTAGTCATGTTGCAGAACTAAATGTATGCAACTTGCAATAAAACCAATTATATATTTGAAATCAGTATGCAAAGTTCTATAAACAGCTCAAGTTTAATTGCTCTTAATGAGTACTGTATAAATGCATGTAAGGGCCACACCCCATTTTTTAAAGTACATAATCTAAAGAAAACAATCTCTAAGGGCCGCACCCACACTTTTTTCAACCAATGCATATTCAAAATCAGCGCGTGCCGGAGAGCTTCTAGAAGTAGTCGATAGATGACGCGAGAGAATGCAACCATCATCATCATCATCATCACTAGATATATTTTTATTTTCCTCGAGTTAAGATGTTCGTGAACTGGGATAAATATTTCAACTTTTCTATTAGTGTTCATACACTAGTTGACTAAAGGTTAAAGCAGGATTTCATCTTTGGCTTCTCACACTTCTATACAAATGCGCTATTGGCGCTATTCGTATCAGCATAAGCATCACCCACTTTGGCACGTATCATCATGGCTGGCATCAACCTATATAGCACTGGTTCACTTTGAAAACTCGGCTTTGTTGCGTGGCGCCGCTGCAAGTTGTGGCTGTCGTTGTCGCAACAGGCTTCAGCCCGTCTGAAAAATCGTATCTGTTTGGCTGTGGTTGAGCTATGTCCCTGTGTTGTAGTACACATACTGAAGATATTTTGTGTGCTGTTGTGTTTTATGTAGCGCAGATGTTTGTTCGTCTTGCAATGCTGACTTGTGTGCTTGTATGCACAAGCGTTTGTAGTGCTAACAAGTGCCCAAGAGACTTCTCGGCTCCCAGATCCAGCTCTGCGTGCTGCGTGTGGATCTCACTATTCCCCATCTTTATAAATTGCTGTCGAATAAATCGTGAGTTGTCGATGTGCATTTCATGCCGAGGATGCTTTGAAAATCCACAGCCGCACTGTCGATAGAAAAAAATGTCGAAAACGCTTGTGGTAATGAAGTGGGCTCTTGTGCAGGAAAGTGTGCCTAAATTTTTCCTTACCTCCCGTGGTATCTTCGAAGCCGAAAAATAGATTCCAGATCAAGTGAGGATGGTCAAAAGAAATGTTTGAAGTGTGTTAAATCACTGTGTGAGCTGGAAAACTGCGCGGACACGGCGAGTGGTGCACTCACTTTGACATTGAAAGTGTTCATTTGTTGTCTGCAAGTTGGCACAGCATTGAAAGCTCTGACGAAAACGGTAGTTTTGTGGCCTTTCGCACAATAAAGGCTGAAGAGTGCACACTAGTGATTGAAAAAAGAGTCATCGTTGCTGAAGATATGTCAGTGAGTGTTAGTGTGCATGAGCTTGTTGGAAAGACGTTTAAATCTTACACTACTTCCGTGCTTTCACTACTGACAGAATTGGTGGCGTGCGGTGATGCACTAAATTTGTGCCCACGCTGCAAAAGAGTATGTGCTGGGGCGCTACTATATCAAAAAGAAAGAGGCTGCCGTGAAGTATTAACCCAGAGTTTATAAGCTGTATATTTTGTTTGAATGTGCACCCCCCGACCTCAACGAGCTCCTTTCCGCGACTTGGGCAGATGAGCCAGCGACAAAATTCAGTCGGGACTGGGCTTGATCGCTATACGAAGTGTGCCTGTGCGTTTCCTAGTCATGCACATTGCGAGGATTAATTTCTGCAAAGGCGCTGTGCTACATAGCCCATCTGCACAACAAAGTGGGCAATGTTACCTTAGTGCTCTCAGCGTTTTTCAGGCACTGAACACTCACTATAATAATGATGAAATATATAGGGTTTCACATCCCAAAACCACAATATCATTATTAGGGATGCTATAGTGATGGGCTCCTACAATTTTGACCCTCTGGTGATTTTTTAACCACAAATATTTAATGTATGTGCTTTGAAATCTCGCAGTGACCGAATGGTCACTGCGAGATTTCAACCTTTGAGACCGAATGGGCATGCTGCATAGACATCTAAATTTGACATTATCACCACGCTTTCACACCTGACCGAATGGCTCGCATGTGTTGAGGCACTGAATGTGTACCTGCAGGCTGCAAAAGAAGCAGCTGCTGTAAAGTATTACCCCAAAATATAAGCTGCATATTTTGTTCGAGGCTGAAGCTCTCGAGCCCAATTGGCTCCTTTCTGCAACTTGCGCAGATGAGCCAGTGAAAAAATTCTGGTCCTGGCTGGGCTTGATCACTATCGAAGTGTGTCGCGACACATGCATCACTTAGTCATGCATGAAAAAACTCAGGGTGGGGTGTCGCTAGAGTAGCAACAGTGAACTGATTTGAAGGACGCGATCGCGATCACTGGCGCGCGTGCTATCTCGTCAAGTGTCAGTTTGTTTTCACTGTGAAGAGACTGTATGAAAAGTGCACTTTTTCCTGGAGCAACCATATTTGATTACAGTAAAGTCCACTTATAACGATGTTGAGGAAACCTGAAAATATCATTATAACCGATGCTCGTTATATCTGGACTGTCGTAAAAAAACGTCACCGGATGTATACCTTTCGTAGCTTCGGTCTCTAATTGGCTTTTTCCACCAATGAACAGATAATGTAAAATAAAAGCTTTAAAAAAAAACTTTATTTTATACTTCGAACAGCATTTATGACTTCGGCACGATGAAGAAGTCTGATACCCGCAGTTTCTTCCGCGGAAGCTTCAGCTTAACAAACGTGGTTCACATACCTTCAAGCTGTTCCGAATACTCTGGCGGCATTTCTCTGGCCCACATGAAGTCTACTAGCGCCTCAATCGGCACCAGTTCACCTTGCGTGGTCATTGACAAGGCCGGATAAGCGCTGTTCACCCGCCGTTATAATTGATATATCGTTATATGTGGTATCGTTATAAGTGAATTGCACTGTATACCAGTGTTTTGTAGGAGTTCGGCGATATCGGATCCAAAGGAGTTGACTGCCAGCCTTACTTCATATAACAATACAATTCGTTGCTATCACATTCATTGCATTGTATCTAATGGGCCATCGTGTTGCCTGAGCTAATCACGAAGGCTATGGTCTCGCGGCACAGTGTAAGATGGCATAGCGCCTGACTAGTTGACCTTCATAGATGTGTCATTGTCGCTCTGGTCAGAGAGAGTTTCCATCAGCGCCCAATCTGACATCTCGGTAGTAACGACTCGGTTGTCCGCATAAGAAAGGAAAGGAAAAAAAAAAGGAGCAAGGTTGAATGTCGTCAGGGGTCACTGTATGCGCACGCAGTGATACCATGCAAGCGCACACAGCGTTGAAAAAGAAAAGCGAACGACATGGATACCGCAGAAAATTATTCGGTAAAGCACTCTCCAGATGCAGTGCGGCCCCACATGTGTGACGCCAACTAAAAGGGTAACAACGCAAAGTAGCATCACCTGTGTCGCTTAAAGTACAGTTCAAAGACTCATGCAGCAATTTAAGAATGGCACTGCCAGCGCACAAGTAGTATTCTTTTTTTTGTTAGGACGGCGGGGGAGGGCATGTTCACGCATGCGCCCACAGTGGCAAGAACAGCGGCAACACCAATTCGTGGGGAGCAGGCCCACCTGCCCGCTTCGCACTTCGGTGATGGCAGGGCAACCGCGGGAGATGCATGCTCGTGCCAAAATGACAAAATCCAAGGCAAGATTTGTAGATTGTTCATGGCTAAAATTTGTTATCTCCAGGATGTCTGCCGCCGTTATTTTGTTAAATAGTGGTCACAGATACATGTGCATCTATGGAGTGACAGTAGGGAATAGAAAGACTTCGTAATATCGAGGAATTTGTTATATGGAGGTTTCTTATATGGATGTTTAACTGTATTTAGGTATCGTATATCCAGATTTTAATTTATACAGTAATGTTTTTTTTCTATCTGCACCCCTGAAAAAAAAAGCTGTTAGCATGCCTTCTTTTATAGCATCGTTGGTTCTAGTGAACTGTATTTGACTTCTTCGTTTGTCTTTTTGCAGGCTGGACTGGTGAGAATATTTGTGTCGCTGGCGACAGTGCCGGAGGGAACCTGATGCTGGCTCTCTGCCTTAAAACCATAGAGCTCAAAATCCGACGCCCCAGTGGAGTGTTTGCGGCGTACACACCTGTTATGCTAAGCATGGCACCGTCACCCTCAAGAATTCTCTGTGCTGTGGATCCTCTGCTCCCCCTTGGCTTCATGCTGACCTGTCTTCACGGTAGGTCCTGGGCATTTGCGCACCTGTTAACACTTTAAGCAGGCAGCGTAAGCAAAAATGAAGAAATAAATATTTTTTCATTTTGTGTTATTTGAAATCTGTGACCTTTTTAAAACCAGAATCAGTCATTTGTTAATCTCAGTGGGGTTCTTTTCTCTCTAAAAATGACATATTTCAAAACATTTGTGGCAACCTGATGTGCCCCCCTTCTTACATAGCAAAGGATTCCTTGCAGTTCAAGCATCATTGTTATATAGAGAGGTGACAGTTTGCATGCTGGAGTGCATTTGGCACATTCAAAAAAGAATGGGCTTAGAACTGCGAAAAGGAAAGAGAGTAGAGGCACTAAGCTTTCTGTCATCATCAAGCTGAGTTGTATTTAATGATCATTATCAGTTAAAGCATCTGCAAAGTCGGCAGCTCCGTAGGTTTGTAGCTGCATAGGTTCGCAGCCCTTTGCTGATTCACAAAAGGGAAAAATATGGGGTAATAGGCACTTCGCTGCTGTACTTGCGGTAGGCCTTCTAACAAAATTTGAAACAGCCAGAGTTATATGCACAGACGTTTGATTTGTTGTGGTTGATGCATGCATCCATCGAGAACAGAAGCCAGGCTAGTAGTCGAGAAGGTGATGCGCATGGGGCCCGATTTCGCTGTTGCATTCCACTACTGAAGGCGACACTCAAGCGTCCTCTAAATTTCGTGGCTAATGCTAACAAGAGTTAATTTTATATTGCCAGGTGACTTTCCCGAGTACTTCAGTGATGAGCTGTTTTCTTTTCTTCATGTGTTTTATATATTTTATTAATAGCAGCCAGCAGCTGATTTCCTAAGTAGCATTCTAACACATACTGCATTGTGTTGGTTCGACTTAGTAATGTGGTGCAAATATTTTTTTCAACTTCGCGTAATTGGTATAGTATGATTCGAGATGATCAATAAAAAAAAAGACGCTCTTTTAGTTGGAAAAATTTCCCAAAAATGAGACACTAACTGGGTTAATAGGTCGATTCCAAGAAATTTTGTGCTGTACTGAAAGCTTAATTTCAGGTAGCATAGCTGTAGAGAAACTTTCATGCAAAATTTTACGTCTGAAACATGAGTGTAGACGTCATGAATAGCTAGCAGAAATAGCTGTATTCGATTTCAAAAATAAGTGTCTCTCAAGAAAGGGACAAAAAGAAAGACGATGGAATCATTGGAAAGAAGTGGCATTGAAATGGTAGTAGTGTGGTACCACTTCCAATGATGGTACCATCCTCTCCCATTTCCCACCACTGCGGTCTAGTGGTTAAGGCACTCGGCCACTGATCCAGAGGTTGTAAAATTAAATCCCGGTCACGGAAACTGTATTTTCAATGTATTTTAAAATGAGACAAAACTGCTATAGGCTCGTGTACTTGGATTTCGGTGCACGTTAAGGAACCCCAGGTGGTCGAAATTTTCAGACCCCTCGGCTACGGCGTCCCTCATAAGCATATCATGGTTTCGGGACGGTAAATCCCACCAATTATTCTTGTTATCTTCTCCTGTTTATAATTGTTAAAGTGGGCTTCATTCATAATAAAATGTTTAATTATGTATCACCACAAGCCCAAGACCTGGCGTAACCCTCTGCATGGGCATGTCTCAAAACAAGTGCTAATGCATAGCAAATCATGATGAAGAATATTTCTGCTGCAGCTGCGCAAAATCGCTAGTTGCTTTAGACGAGTTAAATTGCTGAGGAACGGGGCCTAGATGTGTGCACTTTGTAACGAAGCCCGTCTTCTTGCAGCGTACATTGGCTGTGCCAGTGAACCGAACATCAAACTGTGCCCCAAGGCTCCTCCAGAGACGCCGGCCCGTCGTAAAGGTGTAACGGAAAACAGTGCATTCAGTTCCAGCCACAGCTCCGCTGAGACTAATTGCATTTCCAGCATGCATCCTGTGCCAAAGAGTGACTTGGATACAGGAAATTCTGAGCGCACTTCCCCACCCACAAAGGCCAAGATGCCCCTGACGCGCACGAAGAATGTTGTGCAGCTAGAAGTGGCCGGAGAACTGCCTAGCCAGTATCTTTGTCGCTTTGCGTCTCAGTGCGATGAGGCGGACGCCTCGTGCCAAGCCGACCAGCACGAGGACGAACACGTGGTGCTAGAGATGCCTGTGGATCTGACATTCCCGGTGCGCAATCGGTGCTGTCGTGCGGCCACATACTGGGTGCGGGCGCTGGTGAGTGTTCTTAGCGCCAGCCACTTGTACCAGAGGCACGTGCTTGCCAACTGGGAGCTGCTCTGTGGCCAGAGTGGTAAGAAAAGGAAAGGTTTGGCCGTTCCATGGTTTCGGAGGGCCTCGCGCTTCGACCGAAAGTTCCAGACTATGAAGATTCTGGCAAGCAACCCGTTCATCTCACCCTACCTCGCCCCTGGCTGGATGCTCCAAAAAATGCCACCTTGCTACTTTGTGGTAGGTCTCTGTAGATGCGCTCCAATTTTGTAGGTTTTTCTATGTCTGTCTTTTCTTTCTCTCGTGAAGGGTTGCCCTACTAGGTTATAAGTCTTGCTAGCAGCCAGGGCTCATGTGGGTTCTTGAAACCCTTGAAAAGCCTTGACTATGAAAAGTTCATTTTTGAGTCCTTCAAAGTGCTAAATTATGGCAAATCCTTGAAAATTCTTTAGTTTTTTTTTTTTAATAAACATTGTTGCACATTTTATTTACACCACATTATTCGTAATGCCTAAAATACAACAAGTGGCACATATTATGTGCCCATCACAAAAGAATTGAGAACGTCAATAGGTTCTGTGAGGAACCAAGACTATGCATTTTTGGGAACTCGTAAAAAGCAAGAGCAGGAGGATGAGACACAGGAAAAGAAATGTTGCATTGCAGAGCAGGTTGAAATGCTTGAAAAACAAAACAAGAAAAGAACTAGAAGCCACTGTTCAGGAATTAACCACTGCAGCAGACTCACATGCAGAATCACAGAGGCAACTGGCAATCTGATGTGCATCATCAAGTCAAACAGCCTTAGAAGGCAGCCAATACCGAGCAGCCGGTGATAGTGGACACTGATAGGAAAATTGAAAATATGCAACGAGGTATTGCATCATAACTCTTCTTCACTCTTTCCTATCTGAATAAAAGTTTGCCTCTTATGTCATACTGAAAGTGATTATCTATGCAACTCTAAGACACTATGATTGAAAACTATTTAGAAAGAAAATGTCATTGGAGCCATACTTTCGACGTCTGCTCTAGGGATGGCACCTTTATTTTATGAATTTCAGTTATTCTAAGCCTCCGTGGTCCCCTGAACATATGCTAACTGGGTCCTCCAACTGACATAGTAGTCCTTGAAAACTTACACACACAGCCTTGAAGTTCTTGAAAACCCTTGAATTTTTGCCATAAACCCTGTTGCATGTCTTCCTTTCTCTGTACCTGCTTTCCAGCTGCTTTAGTGGCTTTGTGGCTAATGTGTGGTGCTGCTAAACATGAGGTTGTTTTTCAGCAAACACATAAATTGAAGACCTTAATTTTGCTAACTGTCGCATCATTGTATGAGTTTCTCACTGAAATACCTAGAGGGGAGGGAATCTTTTTTTAATGTCTATGCGGGCTCCTTCAGCATCGCACCATGGGAATGATGGGAAGTGCAAGCTTCGAATCTGTCATGGATTACGTTCTTGAGATTTACAACGCTTGTTTGCCGAGTGTAAAACAAAAGTGACACGAAGTTATTTTCTAATAAAACTTGCTTCATACTTTGTACGTAAAACTTATTGTAAAAACTTTACATGACCGTGAGGTGAAAGTGAAACCTGGACAAATTCAACCACCAGGGCATGCATTGCTCTGAAATTTTATTCCAGATTTGGCCAATACTATAATGAACTTTTTTTCGAGCACTTGAAAACAAGCGATCTTGGTTTTTTCTTGAAAACACAATTTCTTTATTTAAAGAAATAACAGTGCTGTATTGAGTGAGAAACACAATGTATCATCTGCCATTATGCCAGATATGTCTGTCCCAGTGGCCTGCCCCCCCCCCCCCCCCCCCCCCCCTCATACATCTCTCATTTTGTTGTGAAGATGAGCCAGAGTAGCGTGCCGGTGCCTCTACTTAGCTTCGCTATCATTTTGCACACAATTTGAACAAGTTTTAGCTAGCCGCGCTTATACGAAAACGTGAACTATATGTGATGTGCTGCACTCGCATGGGACGCTACATCCATTTGCAATGGTGAGTGTACAACGCTTCGCTAAAACTGTTGAATACAGTCTGTAAAGCTGTATCGCAGAAACTGTATCGCAGAAAACGAAGATACCTGGTGGTCTTCAGCCTCTTTGAAGAACAACACTGCTTGTGTGCTTTGCACAGAACCCTACTACCCACGCTGCGCAAAAGATGAAAATGAGTGTGCAGAAAAAGATCCATAGACAGTTCACTAGCTAACGCTATCCAATTTGAGGCCTGTGTTTCTCATCATTCCAATGGCGGTACAACGATCACAGCACCAGTTTTCTCTCTAGGTTATTGCATGAAGCACTAGGCATCACTGAATTGAAAATGCAGATCTCAAAGGTCATGCTTGTTCTAACGGGAACCTCAAAAAAGTCACAGGTAACCATTAAGTTCAGGGTGCGATCATTACGAAAAAAAAAAACAAATTTCGACAAATTTCAGTTTAAGTCAGAATGCTACGCAGGATTGGATTGGATTCAAGCCGGCCAGTGTTGCAGGATGAGGTGCATAATCAATGTGCCAAGAGCACTTGGAGGAGGGGGACTTTCCCGAAAGAGCGCAGAAACTTGAAACTAGCCATGCATTTGGAGGGGGCACTTCCTCGAAATTGTGCGGCACTGCAAATGCATGATACGTAGTAAAAGCTTGATAATTCAGATTTCAAGGACCGAAAAGCTGGTTAAAATAACCGAATGCCGTTTATCGAAAGTGTCAAAAATAAAATTCTATTATGTTAATACACTTTAATATTAGTGAAGCATATGTAAATCCAGTAATTATTTTGCACAAGAGCAGCGCCAGAGCCACAATTTTTGTCATTTGGGAATTATGGGAATTATTTCGCAATGGGAACAAAGCTCAAACTATCGTGTGTTAATACGAAATGTGCTCTGGACTCATACCTTATATGTACCAACTATGCGGTTATGGGTGTGAACCACCTTTCTGAAAGCCCTCGGAGGTTTCGGGCATTCATAAATGCGGTTTCCGTTCCTTTGTGTCCCACGTTTGCGGCGTTTCGCGTTCAGCGCACTCCGAGGATCATCTGGATTGGCTGGGTTGTGGCCAAATATGATTAAATTGAGGAAGGTTTTGTGCCAATAAACAATGCATATGCTGCCCAAGACCAGAGAACACGTTTGAATTATCCAATTTTCTGAGTTAACGAGTGTTGTATTAACAATCTCTTACTGTATGCATCTGTAGTATATGAATGTGCTCCATTGTCTCTCACAGGGCCTTCACCTGGACCCCACCTTGGATGACCTCGTCATGCTGTCAAAGCGGTTGAAGGCAGCAAACCGCTACGTGCAGCTTGTAATATTGGACAACCTCCCGCATGCTTTTCTCAATTTTCTGCCCTTCTGCAAAGAAGCCCACGAAGGTTCGAAGAGGTGTGTGGAGATGATCAAGCAGGCACTCCGTATTCAAGTGCCATGATGTACAGTGATTAACTCAAGCTCATCGTGTAAAACGGTGTAGAGTTGCGTGCATTGCAGATGCTTTGTGCATCCCAGTGCTGAAGGTGAATCTATGGCTTCTCTATGAGCAGCATTGCTTTAGCTATTTCGTGACTTGAGTTTTTGTATAGATTTTATTGTAATTTTTCTTTTTACCCCAATGCACTGCAGCTGTTTCTTTAATTTATGGTATCAACTATTGTAGTAAATGTTAATAGTGAGAACAGGTACAGATGTACCAGGCTGGCTCTTGGTACACTCGCATACCTTTGTATACATCACGTAGAGTTTTAAGCGAACAACCCAAATAACAATTCGCTCACTTGAGCAGTGGTGGGAGCTTGTTATTCAGAGGTAGAAACCGTTGAGTTGCTGCGACAGCTGTAAAATACATTTAATTTTTATGAGAGGTTAGTCGGATTTTTAGAAAAATATACTTTCATATTTGAAAAAAAAAAGGAAAAACATATGGATGTATATATAAGCATACAATTACCGTTTTTTTTTTTACATTGACCGGTGAGCGCAGCGGAAGCACTACTGCCACCTATTGTCTACCTCAGTAGCTACGATGGCACGGCTACCTTTATTTTTTAAGCGGTTCAAAAATAAAAGATCTTTTATTAAAGTGTTTTCTGTTTGTAGTGTTTTCTTTCTTATGCTCTGCGATTCCAACGCCATGTCTTCACATGGTGTCACGTTTTTGCACTCTCTCGTTGCCACAGAGACGCAGCTCTGGAGCCACTGCCGAGTCAGGCATGTGATGCTTGAGTTACTACATGTGAAGCTTGAGTGAAGTCGCAAATGCTGTGTTTGTGCTGTAGAAAAAAGTGTGATGCTAACAGTGCTTGTAGTTAAGTGTGCAGGACCACATATTGTTCTTCGAAAATTGTTGGAGAAAACTTGTGTTTTCGTTCAAAGGAGTTGCCCATGAGGAAGTTAAAGGCATATTGCAAACCAATGACATATTGTGTTACTGTGAAAAGTTGATGCTTGTGAACATTTAAGGCATCAGTATTATACACAGCGGCGCTTTAGTAATCGATAAATTAAGGTAAATGTAGGGCATGACTCGCACTATCAGTGGGACATTCTGGAAAACAAACCAAATGACATAGTAAAGCCTCGGTGCTTTAGATCACAAGTGGTACTCGAACAAACCATGACAGAAAAGATTGATTCGGTTTACTGCAAGAATGAATAAAATAAAGGTAGCACTGTCCAGCTCCTGCAAAAAACTAACTTTACTTGAGAACAATGCAAGTTTTGTCTCGACTGGGCTCTGCTTCGTTCAAGTTCCTTGCTACCCAGAGTTCGCTATCAGGCAGCGTGAGCATGGCGAATGCCATGTCGGAAGGCCCCCCTCTGGGGCCCTCTGAATGGTGATCAGAATGGTGATCATGGTGTTCAGAAAACTAAAACATGATTTTCTTTCAAGCTAAGCATTTCCTTGACACAAAAGAAACAATACGCAATTTCTGAAATGCTGTGTCCACGATCTGCGATGACTCTGTATTTGCCTTCGGTGTCCTCATTATGCGCCCCGCCGCGGTAATCTAGTGGCTAAGGTACTCGGCTGCTGACCCGCAGGTCACGGGATCGAATCCTGGCTATGGCGGCTGCATTTTCAATGGAGGTGAAAATGTTGTAGGCCCATGTGCTCAGATTTGGGTGCATGTTAAAGAACCCCAGGTGGTTGAAATATCCGGAGCCCTCCACTACGGGGTCTCTCATAATCATATGGTGGTTTTGAAACGTGAAACCCCCCTGTATCAATCAGTGTCCTATTATGCAAGCTCTGGAGGAGTGGGCTGTGCATGAGCTTGTTTTTATCTTCGTCTTTAAGGCTTTGAATACCTTCACCTCTTCGAAACCAGGTGCTTTTCTGCTACATATTTTATTATAAATGTAAGAACTTTTCATGATAATGCATGCGGGCAATACATATTGGCTTTTGTGTGTTTAGTAAAATACAGGTGATAGCGAGTTTATAGAAATGGGTAATAAATAATAATCGCTGGAAAGTAATTTTCAGGTCTTTCTTTTTTAGATACAACCTTCACAGGAACCAGCAGATAATGAAGCCAAGGAAGGTATAAGAAATGACAGTTTTACTGTTTTAAGCATATTGTAGAAATTGTCATATAGATATGAAAAAAACATAATGCAAAGGTTGCATGTTCAGCCCCTGCAAACTGCAAGTTGTCTTTTCGTCCACAAACCTCATTACACTCAAACCCCAGTATTACAAAGTTGCATCTTGCAGAAAAATGAGTGTGTTATACCCAAAAATTTGTTATAAAGGTATATTCCTAACACTGTATCCATTGCAAGACTATTCTATATTTACTTTGTTATAACCAATATTTTGTTCTATCCAAATTCATTGTATTGAGGTTTGATATAGCATCACAATTCCTATAATGCTCTTAAAACAGTAAAATTAGCATTCCTTATACCTTTCTTGGCTTCATTATCTACTGTTTTTTGTTAACAAATAATTAATGTGACATGAACACTTTAACCAATATGTGCAAGGGTTAGACAAATGAACTTCCAAAGAGTTGACTGTTGGGTGAGACAAATCTAGGTTAGACAAATGTTCGTGCGCTACTCATTGCAGTGCTTTGTCTGCAAGCAGGGCCATACCCAGGATTTCTTTTTTTCGGTGGGTTCTTTATGTCTAGAACTGCCAGCTTTGGCAACTGGTGGTCGATGTAAAAGCGTGTAAGTGCTTTAGTATCACCCAAAAAGTTTAAAGTACAAAAACATTTAGAGGGGTGCCGGAACCCCCCGCAACTTCCCACTAGGTATGGCCCTGTGAGCAAGCACTTAGAAGAGTTTTGAGTGCGAATATTTCAGCAGTCATTGAAAATGCAGTGCCATTAAAAGAACCCTTGACAAATTGTTTCCAATGTTATATTCTACTTCAGAATTCATAAGGCATTGTCCAGTCGCTGTCCTTAGTAAAAAAATAGCAGTGGAGATTACAGACATCTCATAGATTTGAGTTTGAGTTTATTCAACCACGTGACAAGTACATGAAAATACACTGTATACGTGGTTTGGTACGAAGGGAAAAAAAGCTGCATTTCACAGCTTGACTGGCCCCTTCACCCAAGTGGCCCATGAGCATTATCTGAGTGCTTGTAATAGATATTACGGGCACTCAGATAATGCTGCAAAGAAGCCAGAAATTCTCGCTGCTGACAGTCATCTCGATGCCACAACATAGATTGTCAGCAAGAAATGTTGATACCTCTTGGGAAATTGAACTTATACAATAATGTATGGAGATACATAACTGATTATTGGATGGTTGTAACTAAGTACATGCATGTAAATAATTACTTAAAACCAGGTATGCTTTCCGGCAGCTTTGTAATTAAACAGTTTCATGCATTGTGTTGGCTTTTCGTTGATAAGACACAAGAAGCAACCCAGCAGTGAGTGTACTTAAACTTAAAGAGGAAGTATAGGGTATAACACAAGAGATCCAGCAGTCTTATAGAAGCAAATGTTCAGAAAGACAAACTCTTAATTACTGGCATAACCAGGGGATTATAAAGTTCAATCCTATCTGAAGTTTTTCAATTTTGCATGTTTATATATGGACGTACAGATACAAATGCATGCACGAACATACAATACGATTGGAAAATATTTCTGGCTATGCTTCTACTCTAGACACTTCGTGTTAGGGTCGCTATGCTATTGCTTCACCAATGTTGGGGCAACGATCACTTTACCCTTTCATTATCGCCATATGGTCCAAGGGGCTGCTTCATTATGATGTAGCGACCTTCACATAGGGTTTTGCCTGGTTTGTGTGATGGAACAAATTATCGCCAGATATGCTGCAGCACCATGTAGCTGACCTCCTGCATCATTTTTCACATCACTTCAGGTGGACTCCACTTCTTCAACTCTTCCAATAAATGTTCTGAAATCTCCGCACCATGTTATGTGCATAGGGACAGTGTAAAACATTAAATAAAAGCAGTAGCATTTCGGGTCAAGTTACATATTGCTCTAGAACAGCAGTTATGCATGTTATATGTATGTGTCATGTATGTAGTCGACTTGTGACAATACATCTTATTCCCTGCTGCAAACCTTTTTTCAAGTTTCGTATCATTTGCCTGTAGTTGTACATATATATAGCAATCAATTGTCGTTTGTTTAATTGTCATCATTAAGTGTCCCTGCCTTACAAACATTAAGTGTAAGAAAGATGTATGTCTAAGAGTGACCAAGTTTGTACCACGCTTGTGTTCAAATCGCGCTCACTTTAGCTGTTCTTATATATACTATTCTGGATGCTTGATAGACCCAAAGCTTCAGACAGCTAGGCTGTCACTGCAAATCACGGTTGAGCTGTAAGCGTGGGGTCACTGTAAGCGTGGGCGGCGAAATAGGCTCTCTCTACTTTTTTTTCCCTCCCACATCTCATCAACGCGGGCTATTTCTGCTCGAGATCGATGCGCTCGGGAAATTAGTTTCGCAAATTGCCGTAAGGTTGAGCGCACCGCGCTCCTCATCCTTGCCTGTTTCTCTCGCCCTATCTTGTATCCCTCGTCCTTACCCTCTACGCTTCTCACGTTTTCTTGCGATACGCTTCATTCTCCCCTCGCGGTCGGAGGAAACAGGATTTTCGAGGTGCGCGCAACTCGGTCATGTCAAGCAAATGTTGTGCTGCGGCAGCGATTCGGAAAACCTTGAGGACTGCCGGTCCGACGCGGCCTCGGCCAGCTGCAGTCTGGTGAACATGTCGCGCATTGGGAGGCCACGCTCGGGACTGTACGAAATGCTGACGACGATGGTCCGCGCCAACGTCGAGTACTTCAGAGAAGTGCAGACGGAGACGGGAAGTAAGATACTCGCGCACCTAAACTCGATGCATGAACTACTGCCTACGGTCGAAGCCTCGGCCAACAGAATCATCAGCTCTGCGCACCTGTTTGACTTCGACTCGGAAACTCCCGCGAACGGCTTTCGAAGCATCGTTTCGGTCACAGATAGGTTCGTCCCTTTGGCTGCAAAACTGTGCAGGGCGCTGCAAATGAAGCGCGGTTCGCCGTTTTTCCGAGGCGAGAGTTTCGCTAAAGAATTGGGTGACCACGTCGGCGTCTTGCGCGGCCTGAAATCTGCCTTGTCCATACTGGAACAGATGATGGAGCACACGGATAAGGGGAGCCTGTTCGTGGACGAAAACATGAAGTTCAACGACTTGTTCAAGGAGTTTGACAACTTCGAGCCCACGAGCTTCTACGGGCGCTGCATGGGATTTTATGTGAGTGATGCACGTAAACTATCCTCTGCAAGTCTCATAAAAAGTTACTGCTCGTTGGGCGCATAGATTTGATACTGTGCAACTTGCCGTCGCGCGGGTACTTTCTACCGCGATTGAGCCCCACACGGGATCGAACTGCTCGACCGCGATTGGCTCCTTCCGGTACCTTGCGTGAATAAGCCAATCACGATCAAGAAACTATTTTGCACCGATGCCGCCGTATGTCAAGTCGTACTTAACGAATTGGCCGCTCGAAAGCAGTTCATTCATAGCGCAACTTTGTGGTGACAGCGCAGCAGTTTCTATTTCATTTGCTTTCTCTGTGTGCGCGTACAGTTACATGGCGAGGTACGCGCCACACAGGCACATATAATTGCATCCGTTAGCGACTGCGTAATTATTCATGTACTAATGTGGGCAGCTTGTAGTTTTCATTCGTCATCCTTGAATGGAAACTGACTATTAGTGGCTGGAAGTGCAGCAAAATATCTGTGCGTATGTCTATGAAGTAATGGACGTGCGGCTGTAGTGCATGTGTCACAGAGATAAAAGTGAATTTTAATGTAGTGTGCATCCCAATTAAATTTATCTGTAGTGGACACATTTTGAAAGCACACAAACACACAAAAAAGGTGTGTCAATTGTAGGGACTTGCATCATTGCTATGCTTAAGCAGAGTTTTCCTTAAGTGACTTTCCTTTTTCCTCGTGTACGTTGTTTATGCAGGATAAAATGTATAGGTACAAGCTGAATGATGAATGGCTGCTCATTGTAATTGTTTGTGCAGTGATCGTATAGTCAGCTGTATCATCTGCTGTGTGTATGCATGATAAAATTCATCCTGTGTTCTCTGAGCATGCACCATTACTGCATATCTGCGGGCATTGTCTTTACAATGTCATTGGCTATCGGATATTTCGATTTACTGCAAGAGAGGTACATTTTCAGAGGATGTATGCATGCCATACATCTTTGTTTCCGTGAGCTCTTGAGCGCATGGGGGTATTTCATTTCTGCCTTCAATCTATCATCGTCAGCTATGTCATGTCTTTTGTGTGCATGCATGAGTGTTGTGAGGGGTCACTGCCTTGTACTGCAAAATGCTGAGCGAGTGCCCCGCCCCCGTTACGTTGAAGGATAATCCAGCCAGATTTGCGAGGCGGGCACTTGCTCGGTCCCAGACTGGTCATTGGCACTTATTTCAGATCTCCCAAAAAAGGTATGGGGGGGGGGGGGGGGGGGGGCGATGCTGGTTTGACATTTTACGGTATGTTTGGCATGATGTACAGTCGCGTTCAATACGAGTTGCAACACGTTGGATTTGGTTACAGTTACTACAAGCCTGAAAAATCCCACCAACAAACGTTAGATTGGTTCAGAAAATACCGCTGAGGTAGTTTTATTTACCAACTTTTTTTATGTAGGTGCCCATATGTAGTGTTGGAACCATTTTGAGCCCAGACTGGGTGTTGCAACTCGTATTGAGCGCGACTGTGCCATGCGTTTTACTAATGAAGTTGGCAATGTGGTAATACAGTGGCCAACATCAGAGAGAACGCTTATACATTTTGCGGAGGCTTTGAAGCTGTCAAAACTCGCATTATAATAGTTTTGGCACTCTAGCCCAGTACAGCTTTAGAAGTCTGCGTTATTTCCTCCTCAAAGGGGACGCACACATTTCTGCACCAATGGGAACACACCGCAGGCAGACGGACAGTTTTGAAAACAACGGCTAAGCACATATATACTTTCGATAATAACTTAATTGGCAGGGGGCTGCAAAAGATACACAAGCTACACCAGCACCTAAGCTGCACCAGTGCTCCCCCCCTTTCCACCGCGGTGCAACATGGCTTTGCACCCTCCAAGACAAAATTCTGCTGGTGCGCACACTCCGTTGTAGCAAAAAAAAATGGTTTGGAACTAGGAATTTGCTTTTTTCGACGTAATGACCATCATTGTGAGTCACCTTGTCATTCACTTATCCTGTGTGAACCTTACTTACGCAGATGGCAGCATTTGAACTGTTTGATTTCTCTCCCCCCCCCCCCCCTTCAGTTTTGTGATGCTATCAGGCGAACGTTACGCAAAGGCCATGCTGTTTTGTCGGCCTATCGGGACCACTATTACCAGACCGGCAGTAACTTTGGAAGTACCTCAACGCTCATCTGGAGGTTCGGAAAATACAGCATAGATACAGAATTGAGGGCCAAGCAGATGGTGGAAATGCGGAAAAATGTCCACATCGATTTTCTCAAATCGATGTGGTCGCTCAATGAACAAGTTCTCCTTAAGGTATGTGTTACTTCATCACTCCTCTAGATCAGCGACACACATTTAAGTCTGTCATCTGTGATAGTTCTATGTAGCAAAATATTGAGTGAGACAAACCCTACTTTGATTATTGATCACAGACTAGAAAACTAAATGTGTTCATGGACTTCTGATGAATCATTGAAACATTAATTATCATCTCTTGATGAGAACTAATTTCTTTTGTATGAATCACTGGAATTCAAGCTTGCAATGTAGATGGTTACTCATAAATAGCATAAAAGATGTGGAGAAAGCACTATACAGTATCCTAAGTAAATTAAACTCTCTTGAATCAGATTGCTGCCCAATGGAACTGCCTCTAATGTGATAGGTTTCGTACTTTAATTCTGCACTCCTGTTTGTCTTTCTGTAAACGGAGTTTTCCTGTTCCTTCATGTTATGTTTAATGAGGGTCTGCTGTATTGGCCTAGTGTATTTATCTGTGCTGTGGGACTAAATGATATACCAATGTGGTAAAACTTCCATTCGTTTTCTGGAATTCACCGTAAAGCTGTGTTCAAATTCTGCAAAACTTTTTAGGTCAAAATGTCACCTCTACAGGGACTGTGCAATACCCGAACTCACTCGGTTCTTTTTTGTTGTCTCTGTTATACGAGTGCCATAACTGTGGGTCCCGCAATATGAAGTACAGAAACATTTTTGTCGCTTGTATCACTGAACCTGCACATGTTGGTGGCACAGAATAAACTTTGCGATGCTGTCTGCCTTGTTCGGTGTGCTCTGGCTCGAATATTTTTTCTTGATTGAGGGAATAATGAAGCTTGACCCCATGTGATGCCTGCCTCTGATTTCTGGCTTTTCAGAAAGTGAACAAGTTTATTTCTTCATCACTGCTAGTCTGCTGCGATGTGGTGGTTCCTCTCGAACGTTTGGGCCTGCCAAAAGTCGACGAGCCGTCCACACTTGTAGAGATACCATTTCCTTCATCTCACGGTCCCCCTGCACCCGTACGATGCCGCCTGCTGTCGTCAGCAGTCAGAGATGGAATGGTAAGCTGCTGTTGCTTAATATTCCGTAGCGTAATAAATTGTCAGCCTTGTGTGAAATGCTTTGCAACACATTCATTCCCACTGTGCACAGGGTGTAACCATTTACTCTTTTTACGTGTCATCTCGCTCAGTTGCAACTTACTGCAAATTGTGTGAAGCTTCTTAACGGTATGTAAGTCATTTATTTCGCAGGAAAATGCTTCGTGAGAGTCACTTCTGGTGCTGCGGAGCCAAGCGGAACCAGTTTTACTTTTCAACGTCTTTCTCTTTAAATATGCATACAGAGGCTCTCACAGGCATTGAAAGCTAACGAGTGTAGCGTGTAGATCAAGTGGTGGCAATAGTATCTTCAGAGCATGAAACGGCTCTATAGTGTGAAGTCATTTGAAATTTTAAACATAAGTGTGCATATTATTTTAATTAAAGCTGCCCTTTGAGTGACGCACATGCGCACAGGGACATGCCCTGCATTAATTGCATAAACTTTCATTGCTTAAAATTGCACCCACTGTAGTTGGGGACAGTTTGTTAGCAACCTGCAATGCCGCTACTGGAAATGTGTGCAAATACGAATTAGAACGAAAGGAAAAAGAAAAAAAGAGTTCATATTGGAATCTGACATGCTGCCTTGGCTCTGGCATATGGGAGTACATAGAACACGCACTCGGCTCACGCACACTAGCCAAGGTAAAAGTCTTGCGTGTCTGTCAGCACTATGTGTCCCATCCTAGAAGAGTGGTAGCTGGAAGTTAAAGGGGCTCTGCTACACTTTTTGAGCATGGTCAGGAAACACTGCCAATCGGTAGTGGATGTTCCCGAGAACACGTGAGCCAAATATTATAGTGCAGGACGTGACCTGGAATTCACAATAAGTTATCAAACTCAGCTAAAGATTGCTTTCTCTTCTCTCAACAAATGACAGAAGAAGCTCATAAATGACTTGTAGAAGACCTTCTACTCGTCATTGGCTATTGGCTAATTTGAACATAGCGCACTCTGTGGGAGGCCGCGACTTGTCCATGCATGCGTGCGCTATCACACTGAAAAAGGCGCTTATTCGGAAAAAAAAGGAAAATATGCTCAAAGTCACAAAGCACGCGTCACGTATTTTTTGCCCATGCCATCCCTTCGTGCTTAGCTTCTAGTGCTTTCATTGGGACGAGAAAAGAGCGAGTGCGATTGCAGCATGCAACAAATCTTCGTAACTCTGCGCGTAATGGACGGATTCTTAAAATTTTTGCGGCGTTCAATTCGTGACGCAATAAGCTCTTTTAGTGAATCTGTTCCATGGTTACTTGAAAAAGTATTTCATAGCCCCTTTAAATGTCTTTATATAACTCTTCTGATGAAATTGATTTGGAAGATTGTATAACTAAAGCGTTTTCTGGGCAGTGCTTTACAGCCGAAATGCAACCATAATTGTTATAAAGAAGCCAAAGTGTAATCAAGAAGCGTAACCCAAATTTGGGGTTGTCGCTGCTTAGGGGCTGTATAAGAATACCTTATTGTAGTTAATTGTGAACCTAACTATTCATTTTTTTTCACAGACTCCTAGCTTTTGAAGAGAGACATAAGCATACAAGAAGGTGGTGCTATTTAATCCAAAATTGCAATGGCAGGCTTCTAATATTCGTTGAATTTAAAGGGTTTCTGGTTCAAGTGCATAAAAGAGCTTTTATCCATAGTCTCTTTTTGCTTAGAACAGTACACAGTGCTTGCTAGGTTCAAGTTGAAGGTTATTCTCACAACTTGATTTCTTTCTCTCTTGCGTTCAGCAATCACTGTTGCCGAGCAACCTGGTCAACTCATCTGACGTCCTGCCACCTTCCCATGGTCTCATATTGCACTTTCATGGGGGTGGATTCATTGCGCAGTCTGCAGAGTCGCACGAGGTGTGTACGGAGAAGAAAGGAGGTCCAGTGGGGAATTATCCACTGTGGTCGATTGGTTGCTAAGACGTGACGTTGCATTGCTGAGCATGAGGGTGTGGTGCGATCCTCGAGTGCGATTCTCGATGTGTCCACCATCTGGACCATAGAGTTTCATACAATAATACCTAGAAGTGAATCTGGTGCTAGTGTCTACGCGGGCTGCTTCAGCAGTGCTTGTATTCCCATGGAAATTATGGGAAGTACAGGCTTCGGATCTGCTTCGGATGTATTACGTTCTTGAGATTCGCGGTGCTTCTTTTCCGAGTGTAGAACAAAGTGATATGAAGTTATATTTAATTGAAACTTGCTTCAATTAGTTGTACGCAAACTTTATTGCAAAAGTTTTTTGTGACCAGACGGCAGAAGTGAAACCTGGGCAAATTCAACCGTCAGGGTATCCATCGCTCTTCCGTTGCGTTCCAGATTTGGCATAAAGATTTAATGAATTATTTTTAGCACTTGAAAACAAACCTGCTTGTTTTTTTTTTGAAAGTATATATTATCTATTTATGGGAATAACAGTACAGTATTAAGTGAGAAACATTTATCCTTTCGTCCCCTGCAATGCTAGGTGCGTCTGATCCAGCAGTCCCAGTGGTCTATCCCCAACGCACCTCTGGTTTTGTTGTGAAGGCGAGTCAGCGGACTGTGACGGTGTGTCTACTTAGCTTCGTCATAGCTTTGCAGGTGATTTCAAACAAGTTTAGGCAAGAAGTGCTCGTGAAAAACAATAACTGAGGGCAATATTCTGCTCACTTAGAAAGAAGGGCAGCGCAAAAACACGGGGAAAAGAAGGACAGTAGGGACAAAGTACATTTCAATGTTCAGCACTGGCATGAGATGCTACATCTATGCGCAGCAGTGAGTGGATGATGCTTCGTTTAAACTGTCAAATACAACTCGTAATGCTTCCACGTCGCAGCACATTAGGAGATCTAGTGGTCGTCAACCTCTTTGAACAACACAGGCACTGCTTCAGCCTTTTTCACCGCACTCCACTATTCGGGCTACACGAGAACGAAACTGATAGTGTAGAAAAAAAGTTTTTAGACAGCTCGCTAGCTAACTCTATCCAATCTGCAGCCTGTACTTCCCATTATTCCCATGGAGGTGCACAATCGCAGCGCCAGATTTCTCTCTAGGTATTATATGAAAATCTATGATCTGGACAGTCCACTTCAGCCTTGACTGATTGGCTGGATCTTGGTGAGCAGCACGCCCCCCGTTTCCAGTCCTTCTTTTGTCGCAATGTCGCAAAGCTTTCACAACTCTCGACACAAGTGAGACGGATGGAGTGCATTTCACTGCAACGAATGCTGCCCCCAGAGATCCGCTCTGGGACACACATCTTGGAGGCTGCGTATGAACTATAATCACGTTAACCCTCGAATTAGGTTTAACGCGGCCGCCCATCTAACATACCTGGATAATCGGCAGCAATTTGGTGTAAACCAACCTGGGTGTTTGTTTAACTTTGTTAAGTTTGTTTAGGTGTCCTGTTGATATGTCGGCTACGTAGCGATATTTCGTCCACTTTTTAAGCTGTGAATGTGCTGGGGCGGTTCGGTGTGTTGATGTGGTAAAAAGTGTGATGACATCAAGTCTCGCCGCTTTTTAAAATAACTACCTAAACGCACTGCGCCTGAGTTGACATGTTCACTAGGTGGACCCATCGAACATCGCTCTCCAGGTGGCTGCATCTCAAAGCATTGGTTCAAGGGTGATGCGCTTATAAATTTAAGTATGTGCTGAGGAACCTCGAGAAGACAAAATTACTCATTAAAATTACTCCAGGGCCACAAAATAAGTTGAACCTTTTAATAAGAGGGGCTGATTGAGAGACAATGGCACATAAGGGACACCTGTGGGCCTATGCAGAACTTGAAAATTACAACAAAATGAGAAAGTGCTACCCTGCTTATGAGAGTATCCTCATGTTAGGGATTAAAATTGCTCCCCCTTGCACGTCTCTTGTGAAGGGATTCAACTGTACAGCATGTTTCGTAATTCTATTGTGGCTATTGTACAAAAAAAAAGGACAGAACTCAATTAAAACTTTTTTTTCCAGCAGGAATTGTGTTTATTTGTTGCATACTTGACATGAACTATCAAAGCAGGATGTCTGTCAAAAAGGGCAGTTACGAAAGAATAGAGGAATTTTGGAGTGAAACGTTCTTAGAAAAGAAAACAAAAAAATGCAGCATTCAGACTCCTTAATTATCATGCATGCTGCAACTAGATGTTTTTGCTATATGTTTTCTGTCTAAATTAATGCCGTATTCACTCTATTATAACGCGACCACGGTTGTAATGCGAGGGGCGACTTTCATGAAGGAAAAATAAAAAACTCTTGTGTTCATCATTGTACTTTTTAGGCTACTTGAATTTAGCTATTCGAAAGGAATGTGAGAGTTGACTTCAGATAGCAAAAAGCAGGGCAAAATGTGCATTACATTCAAGTAAATATAGTGTTTCAAAGCATTTTAAAATTATATTCACTTTGTAAATGTTTTATTGCTTTTTAAATAGTTCATTTATGTAGTTTTTCTAATTATCTATTGTCACAGGGCGAGCTCTGCTAGGCTTGGAGAAATGCGTGGCTTCATTGCCTGATATGACAGGTTGCTCAACAGCCCATATTACATGGACATCATGCAAAGACATTGTCATAACCTTCTGCCATCTTTTATATTTGTGACCGCTTGTTTGAAACAGTTGTTCAAAAGCTCAGCTCTTCGTGATGAATAAAATCGATAATGTATGTTATAATTACTATAGGCTGCAACTCCATGAATTGTAATGTTTGCACATAGAAAGATTGGCTGTGAAGAACATTGAGTTGTAAGATAAATACTGGTGATCACATTTCTGCATGTTTAAAGTTATTTACTTGTGTTAGTATTTTTCTTTTGTCTTCTGTTAGATCTACCTTGCTTTTCAGCTAGATCTCGTATTAGGAAGGTTCTCAAACTGGGTTTCACAGAATCTAGGAATTCCGTGAAAGACATCTTAAGATTCCATGCGTGTCCAGAATAAATGCAACCTGTTCCTATTTCACCTTCATTAGAACTTATTAATTTGGATAAGCGAATTTGCATTGCATTTCTCACCTAATGAAGCTATCACACACTGCAATCGCACATCAGATGTTTGCTGGTAGCGAGAGGCCCATGTGGTCACTATTTTCACGATCAAGATCATTCTCAGCCTGTACACTGCACGGTGGATGCCCCTCCCTGTGATCACCAGTTTACCCTGTCCTGTGCAAGCTGATTCTATTTTATCCCTGCGAAATTCTTAATTTCTACGCATTACATGACGAGCTCAGGTCTATTTTTTTCTCTCTTGATGTCTTGATGTTATTCCTGTCATTTCCCGTTCCATTGCACACTGCACCATTAGGATCAGGAATGGGATGTTGTAGGTAGCATGATTTTCAGCTTTTGCTCTAGTTGTTTCGTTATTCTCTATGTCCCAGCCCCATACATCAAAACTGGCAGTACGAAGTGGTTGTATACTTTTAGCTCTAATGATAGTGGCATATTTGCCGACATTATTTGAGAGTGCCGGCCGTGTTTGCTCCAGCCCATTCTATTTGTTCCGTGAATGCCTTTCTTGTGACTAGGTTCTCCCGTGAGTTGTTGTCCTAGGTATAATATTCTTGTGCTATACACTTCAGTGTATGGTTTTCGATCTTAATTTCTTTGTTTTGCTAGGATATTCAGCACCGTCTTTGCCTTCGGCTCATGTTGAGGCTTACCTTAGCTGATCAAGGCCCGTGCAGGAACCACTGGTTGGGTTTTATTGAGGTTTCATACATTTAATAAACTGCAATGAAATTTTTCACAAATATAGATAAATTTTTTCAGAAGTTACGATTCTGTACTTCAGAAAGTACACTGGGCCATTGACATCGCAACGGGAAGCTGGTCTGATGCAAATATTGAGCGTACGCTAGGCCCTTGCCAAATTAATACCAAAATTATTTTGGCCCATCTAACTTATTGAAGCACCAGTGCTTTATGGAAAGTGTTACTTCACACTTCTCACAACACCATGTCGATGTATTGGGGCAGACCTCAATTGTGTTCCAAGCTTCTTATGAAAATGACCGTATGGATAGGGGGTAACAGAAAGCACAATGGACTCTGACGATCTTTTGATACTTCTCCTGGGTACAACAAGGCTCAGTCACTGTCTTGCTATTGTGTGACAAAAGGACAATACTCAGCACGCAGAGGGCTTGCTGAACGCTTCGGAGCAGTAGCAGTCATTTTTTGTATTGTCTGTGGCCATTTTGATCGTTTGGGTAAATAAGGGCTCTCAACATTTTTTCTCTGGGATAAAAATTCTGTACTTATTCGCAGCTTGATCATAGAGCTCAGACGTTTCTGTGCCATTCTTAGAGCTGCTGAAGACGGTTGGCAGTGGCACTGCGTTTTCTTTTTTGAGTGAACGACCACTTGTTATATAGCGACCACACTATGTCGTTGTTCATCAGTGTGGTGACGGTGATTTTGCCATTGGCGTTTTTGAAACAAAACTTGGTTCCTGAATCAAAACAGAAACAATATTCTTCTCCTTCCATGCTTTGCCTAGTGTTTGACCTCCAACTTCAATAACTGCTTCGGGGATCAATCTTGCTACTGTTTTGTTCATTCCTTTGATGTCAGCATTATCCTCATTTCTTAAAGCTGCGCATTTGTTTTCGATTGTAATCTTAAAAGCTTCTGATTTTATTCTTGCTGCATTGAGGTTGGGTTGTCTTTTCATAGCTAATCTAGTTTGAGATCTCAAATTGCGTGCTATTTTTACCCTTACTAACCTGTGGTCACTGCATATCCACACATAGCAGTAGTAGCTCAAAAGGTTCGTCGTCTAGTACGCGCCATGAAACATTTACTATTCACGGACGCGTGGTCACGAAACGGGGTTGGGGAAATTGCAAGTGTATGTATTACCAGAAGTTCTGCGTCAACGTTCATCACCGTCAATATGAAAAAAAAAAAGAGAGAGAGAGAGAACAGCTCCTCCTCTCTGCTTTCAGTTGTGTTTAAATCAAGAAAAAGTTAGGGGTTGCGAGGCTATCTGGAAGAGCTGTTGGGGTTTTCCTAGACTGTAAAGTTTGAGAACCCCTGTCGTAGCAGATAGTGTTGTCAATTGTGTGTTGGTGATGTTGGTCGTAGATAGTGGACATATTACTCTGTTTGCCACAGACTTTATGCACATGGCATTCGCTCTCTTGTTTTTCAACTTTTCCAGATCTACTTAAAGGACTGGGCTCGCCTGGTGAATGTACCGATTCTCTCTGTGGACTATTCCTTATCGCCAGAGAGTCCTTACCCGCGGGCATTGGAAGAAGTGACCTTCGTGTATGGTTGGGTCCTCAACAACTGCCACAAGCTAGGTACTCTCACCTTTTGAGTTGGTGAATGAAAAGAAGGGGTACCAAAGGGAACCCAGTTTTACTCAGTCATAATCGTACAAACAAAACAAACATAGGGGCATTTACAGTAGACTCTCATTAAACGGAAACTGAAGGGACCACGAAAATATGTTTCATTTAACGGGAGCTTCGTTTGCTGAGGGATGAACAAGGCAGTAAAAGAGAAGTTGTTCCATCGAAGCAGCTGCTACATTTAAGACATTTTGGTTTATTGGGGGCCTACTGTGTCAGTATTGGCTAATAATGCGAGTGTAGAAATGACAAGGCAAATAAAAATGAACATGGACGTTCAAAAAAAAAAAAAAAAGTCTCTGGTGAGAGCTAAATCTCCCAAAGGTAACCATGAGTATCCTCTGCAGATTTAGCTCTCTGTTTCCAAAACATTTGAGGTAACGTTGCATTTATTACAAACATGGCAACATGTATCAGTTAACAAATCTTTGTGGAACTGCTGAAGAAGCAGCAAGTTTCACATTGCCTGCGTGCTTATAGGATAGTTGCATGCATGTGTTTTACTGTGGGCGCTTCTGTTAAGCTTTTTACTTAGAGGGAAAACTGCCTTTGCATTTACGATTGTGCTCTAGAAAAGGGCCAGCGTGCAGTCTGCGGCAGTTATGATACCATAGTGTCTGTGGCTGATTGTGCAGTACCTATTGTGTATTGATAAAGAAGTCGTAATCAGGTAAGTTTGTGAACGTAGTATGCCTGGCTTTTACAGGGCAAGATGTCGTTGAGGAGCTCCATTGTCATGGTCCGCTGATAAGACGGGCGATAGCTCGGCAATGACAAGTAGGACGTTGCTCTCAGCAGGTTCAGTGGAAAAAAATATGGGTCAGGGTCATATAGTGAGTGCTATGTTAAAATGCTACTTGTATTTGCTGGTTTGTGTTTTGTCTCACGAAACCTATTCACAAGATTTTAGAGGCTGAACATTTGCAATGAAGGGGCACGCATTGTAAATTTGGGAGTAGTTTCTCCAACAGTATAGAAATGACTGTTGCAAATGTACATTTAATGGTTGAAGTAATAATCAAGGAGAGAAAGCGGAAATAAAAAAAATTCGGCAGATCCCACGTACCTGGGAATCGACATTATTTGAAGCATGCGGAGGGAAAGTGACCGTGTTGCAATTTTTATTTAGTTACATGTCATGAAATTACGCTAAATATTTAAAAGTACAGATGTTGCATGCACAGACATATGTTGAAGAGTTGCAGATGTTTATGTAACCAGTCGTTTGCACTTGCGCAATGATGCCAAGTGGAACGTGCGTATTAGCAACACTAGAAGCTGATATGAAGCACTGATGCCCGCGAGGAAGCTGGCTCTGCACACTGCTACCTAAATCAGCTTCAGTGTATGGCAACTAACCACAATTAACATTAACCCGACGTAACAGCTGTATCAAAGGAGTACATATGTAATGTTTATAAAATTGGGTAGGCAGCACTGCAACCACTATTGATGTTTCAGAAAGATTAGCATATATTTGAAATGTAGTTCCGAGAACTGGCATACCTCTGTGGTAAAATGCTTCATTGCCACGCAGAATGCGGGTTGGATTCCAGCGGGGACCTGGGCATTTATTCTTTGCATTCGTCGGGTCGACACTACCGATGTCGGGTATTTATTAACGCTCCCGCGTTAAAATTGCCCATGTGTGTTTTCAATCCTAGGTATATACTAGGTGTCAATCACCTGTGGCACATACCCGCATACCAGCGGCACATACCCGCCTGTGAGTATGCGGCACTGTCTGGCGGGAAGTATTTTATGATGCATGCGATGGGATTGTGACATTATTCATGTCTTGACCAGCTCGTCATATTTGTCAAACTATCTTACTTTCCCATGCTAATTTTGGTTCCCGCCAAGTTAAAGAGGTGACCATGAGAGCACCCAAACGTAAGCGGCTAGACAGATAGATACACTCTTAGTCGCCGAAGTTCACTGAGAACTGTTTTGCATTTAAAAATTTTGTGCAGTCCGTATTTACAGAGATTATTTGGTTCAAAAGCACCTATAGTGTGTATTTTAATGAGGCTTTTTTTTTCTGTGTATACGACCAGGAAGCCTTGTGATATGTCTACTACTGGCTGTTTTTGTTTCCATTAACCCATTTCAGCCTCTGTAAATTATCCTATTGTTACTGCTTTGGAATGAGGTGTTATTAGTTCTGTTCTTGACTATGATTTTGTAAACTTGACATGAACTGTTTATTTGTATATCAGAAATTTGAATTGGCGAAGTTTGAGTAGGACACAAGAAACATGAAATTTTATCTGAAGAGATGTGCAAGAGGAATAGTTCCGCATAAAGTGCATGTCGTTGTCGTGTTTTGTGACTATGCCGGCTTCATCAAACACTTATTGGTATTTAAGAAAGTTTTTACAATGAAGCCATCGTTTTGCTTATACAGTGGACTCTTCTTAAACGAAACTCAAAGGAACAAGAAAATTTGTTCCATTTATGAAAAGTTTTATTTAAACAAAGCTTACAAAATGAATGAATTATGACTTTATTTCAAAAGCGCCAACTGTCGCTGACTGAACAAAAATATTTTGAAGTATACACACTTTATAGTGATTAGAAAGAGAAATGTTGCTAATATTGCTGACTCAGAAAAAAAGAGGTGATAACAACTTGCTCGGCCTTGTTCAACTACTTTCTCACATAGTAGGAGTGCATTGCTGAAAGGCTGGGCAGGAACTCTGTGCGACCATTGTGTTCAACGTAGCGCTGCAACAGGATGACAGCATCTCTTGCTGCACTGTCAGCCACTGAAATGAACTCAAGATCACACACCATCTCATCACTGCCTGAGTACAGGTCCTCATCAATTTCAGCTATAGGTTTCTCAAGGCTGTCCTCAAGTTCACGACGAGACGTCGATTGCTGCTCAGCGTGCGTGGACATGTGCAATCGCTGGATTGGCTAGGCTAGGCTAGGCTAAACTGCCGTGGCCGCTTCTGTTGTTCCTGGATTCCATTTAACCGATGTAAGAGAAAAAAAAGTGTTCCGATTACCCGAAACTCTTTATCTATAAGCAGATAGGAGACCAACCAAATGCGCCTGGATGGTTTCGTTTTTGCGGCTTTTCTGTTTAACTGAGTTTCATTTAATGGGAGTCCACTGTATAATGCGTTACAGTCAAACCCACTTATAACGATCCTAGATATAACAATCTATCGGTTACAATGACCATATTTCAGTGCATTTATGATCTTCCTAAGCTGCCCATTCAAACTTTGCCCACATATAGCGAACATTTTTCAATGCCTCCTACTTTTAAAACGAGAAGTTCTGACATGGTCATGGTAAAAGTATAATGCATATGAAGTGAAAAAAAAAAAAGTTAGATCAGGCGTTTCAAAGCATGTGAGAGGCACATGCTCGCGTGTGCCCCATTGCATTTTACTTGCTGCAAAGAAATACCAGGCTGTGGTGAGCTCTGTCCGCAGATCTCGGACGATGCAAGCGAGGTCAGTCACTTTTTAGGTATTTATTGAATGAACGACAGTGAAGATAAAAAGAAAAAGGACGCAGCATGGACACTTGCGGTCAGCCTTTGCACGGTAAACTTTTCCGATGCTGTTCTCTGCATCTACGGCTGCCAACGATTAACCAAACTGCTATTGAGTGCAAAAAAAATTACGGCATATTCACAGGGTGAATGATGATGAATGGGCGAAGCTCCGGAGGGATTCATCGGTAAACTGTGAATCTTCCGTGTAATTCGCCCAGTCGATCATCATGTAAAGACGTGAGAAACGCTGTGTGTGTATATACACAAATCAACTTTTATTTGTTCTTAGACGATGGATGGCTTGCGATGTCCCTTGCCTCGCGCGCTCGCACATCGGGATTCTGTCTGCGAGCGCGCGCTGCTGCCGCCTTGCGCTCTCTCCGCTGTGCAGCCTTATCCATCCGGCGACTCCGAGCGCGCGCCAACAGCGAACGGATTTTATTACAACGCTCCCCCTAGCGTACGTCGCCGCACTAAATCGAACGATTGCCTTCAACCAATGACACGCGCCATATGTGACATCATTCCTATTTTATAAGATCTCGCGTCTTTCATCAACTACAGGTACCGCTTTCTAGTTTATAACATCTTGCATCTTTTCATCATCAGCTACAGGTACCACCATCTAGTAAACACTACAAGAACTAAACGAGAGGTGGCTACATACAGGAGACGGTACCGCCATCTAGTGAACACTGCAAGAACTAAACTAGAGGTGGCTACATACAGGGGACGGTACCGCCATCTAGTGAACACTGCAAGAACTAAACTAGAGGTGGCTACATACAGGCTACAGGGGACGCACAGCCCACGCCCCAAGGAGCTTCGCCCCTAAAAGCCGTAAATGCAAGAAGAGATTACCTTTTGTCACGTAAAAGTTCACGGCGACGCTCAACTCGCTGACGCCACTATGTGCCACAAAAGATCTCCCGCCATTCGGTAACGGCAGAGAATGGCTGATGAATGATTTTCGTTACGTCGATGGCTATTGTATATGTTTTAAATTGTTTGCTGCTGTAGCCTCATCATCATCGCGATGCATCATCATCATTCACCGACTACCGCGCCGTGCTTTTTGCGCAGCTCATGCCTAGCTTGAGGCGCAAGCACAGAACTAGTTCATGCGCTTGGCGGTTCGGACACTGGCAGTCGTCGCCGCTCCGCTTGAGCCCTCGGAATAAAGTGGTGACATTGGCAGAGAACTATGTCGGCCGCCTTCACGACGTCATATCACATTTCTCTCTCTCACTACAACTGTATTTTTTCTCAGTCAACTACTGACTAGAGTTTTTGCAATTCTATAGCCATCGACACGGTTGATAACCTTATCTTCTTCTATACATGGCTACATTTGACACCTATGTAAGTATACTGCTTCGCTATTAAACGCAGTTACGAGTCAGCGCTGTGCGGGTAATTTTCGTCAGACCTTGTCTGTTGCACTGTTCTTACATTTGCTACTATGGTATAAGTCCAGGCGCAAGAATGTGGGCATATTTTTCTTTCATTTTGCACTACTTCCATTGTTAAAGGTTTATGACACACCTGCTTTCACCACATTAAAGCTTGTACCTAAGTTGTATTTCGGCGTGCTCACTTTGTCATAACGATAGCTCCTTGTGTGTGCTTTTGCATGCGCTAGTGCAGCTGTGTGACGTTTTTTCACGTTTTTTAATCTTGCAGGCTGGACAGGTGAGCGCATCTGCCTAGCCGGGGACAGTGCGGGCGGTAACTTGTGCCTTGCGCTGAGCCTGAAGATGATTCAGCTGCAGTTACGCCGCCCCGACGCCATGTTCTGTGCTTACACTCCAGTCATGCTCAACGCTCATCCATCTCCATCCAAAGTGCTCACGTGCATGGACCCACTCATACCGCTTGAATTTCTGCTCACCTGTGTTCACGGTAAGCTTGCAGCTGGATTAGAATAACCCGAGGGAGTATGTACAACTCGTGTAATGGCCGCAGTTTTTTTTTATAGATTTGGGTGATAATCGAGGGTGCAGTGACATAGAGAAAAAGGCGATTGTTTTTCTTCATGCGATATCTTATGGGTTGTCCTTTTCCTCCACTTCATTTGTTCTATAAGACACTTGTTTTGTCAGGGATTGTCTCGTAATTGAAGGTCTTGTATGTAATGGCTGTTTTCGAATGTTGCATGAGCTTAATGCACATGTTAGGTCGTGTATGAATGCTTGCTGATCTGTTATCTTGCAGCCTATGTTAGTGTGGAGCCGAATGACACTAGGCAGCAGGACGCCAGAAACACACAAGCCATCCACACAGCAGTGGAGGCATTGTCACTGGTGTCGAATAAGGAACACGAGCCGGACAGTGAAAGCTTGCATTCAAAAGGAAACGTGTCTTCTGAAGAGTCCCAGAAAGAACAGCCGCCCCCTCGTCGCGTTGACGAGCACGAGAGACTGAACGATTTACATCAGGACTGTGCAGATCGTGCATCGCTGCCAGCTACAAATGGCATAGAAGTGAACGCTGGCGAAGAGCAGGTCATATTTGAGATTCCCGCTGACCTGTCGGCATCGTTGCGGCGCAAAGCGGCAGAAATGAGCAAGCAGAGCTTGGAGAAGGTATCGGGGCCGGCTTCGAGAAGACGACTTCCCAAGACTCGTCGGGAAGCACTGCCATGGTTTCATCCAGAAAACCCGTCCCGGTTGAAGACGTTGGAAGCATTGGTGGCTCGAGCGGAGGATCCGTTGATGACGCCGTACTTGGCTTCGGATGACTTGTTGAAGAACATGCCTCCTGCTTACTTTTTGGTGAGTAAATTTGTAGGCGCGAACGAGTACAAAGGGAAATTCTGGTGGCCTGTATCTGTCAAGCAAAATTTTATGAAAAAATCATGAATGATAACTGATGAAAAGTATGGGGAGGGTGTTAGGATTTATTTGGTCATTTGTAAAAGTGGGCTGCAAGAAAAAAAAAAGAACACCTCTTGCAGTGCGATTGGTCTTTAAACGCTTTCTTTTGAACAATGCTGAAGGTAGTTGAACTTGGAACTCCTAGTTTGTCTTCTGGAAGAAACTCTTTCTCAGTTTTCCTAAATTAACTTGGCATGTTTATATGTTATCACTTAGGGCCTTAGCATAATTGCCCGGCAGTTGCATCACTTTAATCGCACAATTTAAACACATTATTCAGAGTCACTCACAGAGCATGTGTTTACAATAAATGTCCTGCTTCTGTTATTTGAATAAGCCGAAATATTTTTTGACTTGGCAACCTTCACTTTCACCTTTGAGGAATCCTGAAAGCTTCTGCATCACAGCAACATGAGTGCACATTTCATTCATTCAATCATTCATAGTTTATAGAATGGGAAAGCTTTGTTTATTATAAATTGAGAACTGTTTCAATGTGTGTTCTACTCACCCATGGATTGTGTGTTCTGCTCACTGCTGAGCAGGTGTGTATGCCATCGTATGCATGGTATGAGCTGATTAAAGAGAAAGTGTGGAGTTAAATCACAACAAATTATTTTTATTCAGGCATTTATATATGCTGACATGTGTCGAAAAACTTAGTTTTGATGTCTACTTGTGCGCCAATGCCATGCTTGTAAGGAATCCCCTTATCATGCTATCAATCCTAAATGCTCTTGGTGCCGTCGTGAACGTTTTTGTGACTTTAAACACTTCGGCTTTGGACAAAGCTACCAATTTGTGTGGTGGCTTGCATAATGTGCTGAGTGCTCTGTGATGCTATTTTTATACGCATTGTATTGATTAATCGCTCTGTGCATATTCCACGTCTTCTAAGGCCTGGTATATACGCAGAGGCCCCAGTTGCATGTCGTGATACTTGTTATAGTTCTTGTCTCAATTGCAGCTCTCTTGCTTTCTAAGTTATTGCTGCAACTTCCATTAAAAGGGCTGTGACACAGCCACCCAAAAATTTGTGGCGTTCAGTGAAAACTAGAAGTAGGAGAGTCTGTTACGTCTACACAGATGAAAAAAGTGTGCCGCAAAAGAATATGTCGGTGCAAAACGAGCCCTAGAAGCCGCTAGCTGTAAACCACGCCCTTTGCCGGCGACCACCATTTGCCATAGTAACGTGTGACGTAACGTGCAGCAAGCAGCAATCTTGTTGTCTTTGCTTAAGTTTTTGCCACTGCATATCATTCAGCTTTAGTGCTGGAATGAAGAAAGCTAAAATATATCAATTTCATGTGCAGCTGACAATAGAAGAGTAGCATTCGCTGTAATGCTGATGCTTGCACAGCTACCATGTAGCTAGTTGCTTGTTACGTCACGCACGCAAGTGTGCCTGTGTTGCGTGACTCTCGGGCCACTCCTGTGTTTATAAAAATAATCAATTTTAAATTGAGTACCCGGCCACATGCACTAAAATTTTGCCAGCTTATTTGAGAATGCACAGAGATTAACTGCATAACACAGATTATGATAAAAAGGCCATAACACGCAGTTTTTTAAGTAAACAACCAGTCATACTGTGAAAGATATGGCATTTTGGGAGTGCAATAGTTACCAATTTTATCAATTTTTATAACACAGAGTGCTTCTTCATTTGTTCTGTGCAGTGCCTTCACTTTGATCCAGCTTTAGACGACATGATCATGTTCGCCAAGAAGTTGCGCACTCTGGGCTGCCAGGTCACTATGCGTGTACTGGATGACCTGCCGCACGGGTTCCTTAACCTCTTTCCTCGTGGGAACGAGGCCCTCGATGGCATTCAGTGCTGTGTCACTATGCTCAGGGCTGCCCTTCATATGGAGACACTGGGTGGAAAATGAGTATTTTTTATACGCCCGATTTACATCCAGTGGCCGAATAATAATAATAGGGGCAGTTTTTTGCGAGTGAAACTTGTAAAGAAGCTAGGAAACACCCTAGGCAAGTCCTTTAAGCACCCACTTGCATTGCTTTTGAATGTAAGAGGTCCTTTATTATATTGAGATTTACTAAAGCGTTATATATCATTGTTGACAATTTACAATGAAACTATGCATTTCCCGTAAGAGGCCAAAGTAGTTGGAGGTTTGCAATTATTTGTGTGGCGAAGTGCAGTACTTGTGGTGTATTTTGGAATGAGTAGTTCGGTATTTAAACAGATGAGAGCCTTACATATCGCTGCCAGCAGTCAGTAATGTTTACAGGGTGTTGTGAAATGCCTTATCACGCAAAATAAGGCCTGCCTGTGAGTGCATACAGGTTTATTGTTGCTTGTGAGGAAAAGACTGCTATTTTATTGATCCGGTGAAGGACGATCATATCACATCATTCGTGCATGCCTTAATCAGAGAGCTGATTTTGTAACTAGGAGGGCCCTTGGTCATAATATTGAACAAGAAATCGTGAAGCACGAAAGCACTGAGCACTTATTCAATGGCGAATTCTTTTACAGACACTTTACAGACAGCATCATGGAGATATGAAAATACAAAGCAGGAAAACTATCAGCGCTCTTTTTCGTTTTCTCTACTATTTAGTCTATTAATGATGGTTCAATGAGATTAATATTTCTAGCTCACCTGTTTCTCTTTTTTTGTTGCGTGTGTTGTTAGTCACAGCTGTGTTATTTTGATTTATTGATATATGGGGTTTAACGTCCCAAAATCACCATATGATTATGAGAGACGTCATAGTGGAGGGCTGCAGAAATTTCTAACACCTGGGGTTCTTTAACGTGCACCCAAATTCGAGTACACGGGCCTACAGCATTTTCGCCTTCATTGAAAGTGCAGCCTCTGCAGCCGGGATTCGATCCCACGACCTGCGGGTCAGCAGCCGAGACAGCTGTGTTGTTTAAGCTTGTGTGAATATTCAAATGTTTGGAATATTTGAAGGAATAGTACAGTATTCAAATTCGTTTCGAATAAAATTTAAATTATTGAAAATTTCGAAGTATTCGCAATGAATGAATTTGTATATATTAGTCCGTATCGAACCGCCTGTAACAGTGGTTTCACTACAGTGTAGAGTGCTGTACCGTGAAAGCACCTACACAGATGAACTTCGCTCTGCCGCAATGCTTCACTTTAAATATAAAGGGGCACTGACACAAAATTTCGCGACCTAGATAAACCTGCGGAATCGATTACTGGGAACATGCGCATATCAACAGCAAATATTGCCTAGAAGGTATCCTAAATCAGTTTTGAAGCTTGCGTGAGCGGTCGACTCCACTGTGCTATAGACACCATCAAAAGGGACCCTTGGGGACCGCTAACTCTTCTCACGTAACCATGCTGCCGCAAGTTATGAGGACTTCATAGCCGCCATTTTTTCTTCAGTCATGTTTCCTCCAGCAGACTACGAAGGCCTGACGACACGTTCCTGCGCTTTCTCTCTCCATAGGAAGAGGGCGCGACGCCGCGTCAAAATGCCATGCACCAACGTGTTGCCACAGGTGCGCGTGGTCAGTCCTTTACTCGGCAGCTGTTCGCGAGTCCGTGGCCGTGGTGCACGCGTTGAAAGTTTTGTGTTTGATGATATTGCTGTTCTTTTTTCTCTTCAAAAAAGTTCTTGATGCAAACCACGTGGAAGTGCGTCCCAGTTTCGTTTGCTGACATGGTCAAGCGTTGCACCAGCTAGGTGGGGACAGTTTCACTCGGTGGCTTGTCCTTTTTGAAACTGAAACTGGCCCTGGTCAGCAATAACGAGCCAGTGATCGATTGTCTGTCACGTGCTGCAGAAAACGATGTATCATGTTATGACTAAGAGGCCCTCAGGAACACATTGCAGCAAGAAAACGCTAGGCCTAAACTTTTGTGTCAGTATTCCTTTAAAGGGGCCCTGCAACACTTTTTGAATTCCAAAAGTGTGGTCAGAAAACGCTGGCAATCGATGGTCGAGATTATCGAGAACACATGAGCGAAAGATTGTCACGCAGCACGTGGCCTGCAATTCACAATAAATTCTCATTGTGAGATAAAAATTGCTTTTTTCTCTGGGCAAATGACGCCACCAACTCAAAAATTATTCGTCACAGCCGTTATATCAGCCATTACCTGATTTGAGCATGGTGCCGTCGGTCGTTACTGGGGCCACGGCGGGAGGCCACCTTTTGTCCACACAAACGTGCGCGATGCGACTGACAAGCTGCGTATTCGAGGGAAAAAAAAGAGAGGAACAGTTCCCAAGTGTTACGAGTTATGCAAGACATATTTCCTTTCCTCATGCTATCTCTCCCTGCTTAGCTTCTAGTGCTTTCGTGGAAACGAGAAAAGAAAATGAAATTGCAGCGTGCGACAAATCTCATCAACTTCGCTCATACTGGGCGAATTCTAAAGATGTTTGCAGCGGTGAATTTGTGAGGCAACAAGCTTCTGAAGTGAGTCCATTCCATTGCTACCTGAAAAAGTGTTGCAGGGCTTGCTTAAATGAACACATTACCCTAAAATCAATTCATCATTTTTTTTAAAGCTTAAAAGCTTGTTATGATGACTTATATGCTCCAAGTATAATAAATTTTGGCATGTTACATATTTTACAGGTTGTCACTTGCATCCTACCAAAGGTCAGATTCTGCTACTAGTCAAAGTTGTTTCAACTTCCTCTGAACAACAAAAAAAAATTTGCATAGAGGCTTTATTTAAATATAAACATATTGTGCAGGTTGGTTAGGTTATGATAAATATGCCTATTGTTCTTTGTATGTTGTATATATTGTGAGCGCGACAAGCGAATGACTCTTTATTCTCTTTGATATCATCCTCACCTGCTCATCTTCTTCATCTGTAGATATCATCACCAGCGTGATTTAGCTCGAGCCTGGCTCAATAAACCGGTTCCTCACAAGTGGACGAATGAGAGCGTTGGTCGCCGCACGTAGAGTTGGGCCGCCATAAGGTGTGGTGACTTTTCGAAGGCGGGGACAAAAATCGGCACGAATAATCGAAACAGCAGCGCCAGTGTCTACAAGAGCCTCAACGCGTACACCTTCTACAAACACTACTATCAAATTCGATGGCCGCTCTGGAGGAATTGTTAGCTGTCCGGTGGATGCTGTTTCCCCTCCTAAAACTGCATTGGGGAGTTTTCCGCGTGGGCGTTCGTGGAATTAGAGGCGGGCCGCAGAAGCGACACTGAACGGCGACCTGCGGCGAGACGTACGGGAATTCCCAGGCATGTCCGTATGGTAAGTAAGAGACGGTGAACGGTAATAGGACGATCGGGAGGGTGGTCGTAGGTAGTTCATGGTCGGACGGAAGCTTCGATGTTCTTTGGGAGCGTAGCCGCGTTGCTCGTCTTGTTGGCGCCTTCGACAAAGCCGAGCGATATGTCCTCGATAGCCGCAGTAGTAACAGATTGGTCGAGGGGGGCGCTGAGGTGCGTAGTAAGGTGGTTCACGCGCTGGCGGTGATAACAAAGCCACAGGCGTATGGTGTGCTGTTGTAGGCACAGAAATGGTGGGTGCGGCAGAGAGCGCGGCAACTTCGGCGTACGTGCGCGTCTGGCGCACGCAGGGACTGTTGGAACACGTCGGACCCGATGCGCAGGCGATCTCTTGTTTAATCAGGTCTCGTAAGCTATCTTTTTCAGAAGGGAAAGTAACTTCCGCAGCACAGGAAGAGCAGCGCCCATGCAGCTCTTCACGAACGATGTCCCGAATAAGCGCACGCAAGTCGAGGGGTGCAGGCAAACGAACGTCGGTGGCATCGTAGCAAAGGTGAAGAGACTGAAGCTTGTCAAGTCGCTGACAGATGGTTATCACGTCCTGGGTGGTGGCAGGATTTTGCGTGGCGAGGGCCTTAAAGGCGACAGTGTTAATGCCTTTAATAATGTGGCGTATTTGGCCGTTCTGAGACATGCCGGTGTTAATGCGCTTGCACAGTGCAAGGACATCCTCGATATAAGAGGTGTAAGATTCACCCGGCAGCTGCGTGCGTTCAGCGAGTTTCTTCTTTGCTGCCTCAGTGCGAACTGCAGGGGCACCAAATATCTGACGAATTTGCTGCTCGAAAGTGTCCCAGTCGGGAAGATCCGGGTGGTGGTTCCAGAACCAAGTTTTCGCAACATCGGACAAATAAAATGGGATGCTGCGCAACTTCTGTGGATTGTCCCACCTGTTGAAATCGCTGACGAGGTCGTAGTTTTTGATCCAGTCTTTGACATCATCGCCTCGGAGACTGGAAAACACAGGTGGATCACGCAGGCGAATGCTGTTGGGCGGAGCGGGTGGCGGTGGCTGCAGTAGGACGGCGACGTTGGATGGGCCAGGGTTTTCTTGGGCCGCCATGGCAGGGGGTTGTATGCGACGACCCGAGCGGAGCTCCAGCGAGAACGGGCGAGAGGACTTGAGGGAACGAAAAGCACAGTCCATCACTTGTGAGGAACCGGTTTATTGAGCCAGGCTCGAGCTAAATCACGCTGGTGATGATGTCTACAGATGAAGAAGATGAGCAGGTGATGATGATATCAAAGAGAATAAAGAGTCATTTGTTGTCGCGCTCACAATAAACTATTCGAATTCGATTCAAAATTATTCGACCAAAATGTGTTGTTGTATTGGCATTTACATAAGTCTTCTGATCAGCTGGATTCCCATTGTAAGATCTACTTAATAGGACAGACACTTGCTGGTGGTATCAGCCGAAAGAGCCTCGCCTATGGAAAAATGTGTTTTGTAGTGTCCAAGAAGAGCAATGTTTTCCCTAATAAGGGAAAACCTATACTTTGTTTCTTCACGAAAAGTTGTAAAATATGGCATGCAGTGCCTGATGCTGCAAAAGACTAAACAATTGTAGCATACCTGATCACATGGCCTTCCATTTATGTATGTGTCTGTTGGACTTTTGTTTAATGCTCCACGCGAATCCCTTTATGAGAGACATTGATTATAAGAGATTGTTGATCGATTGATATGTGGGCTTAACGTCGGAAAACCACCATACAATTATGAGGGACGGCACAGTGGAGGGCTCCGGAAATCTCGACCACCTGGGGTCTTTTAACCTGCACCTAAATCTGAGCACACGGGCCTCTGAGTAACGAGGATTTGATCCCGGGACCTGCAGGTCAGCAGCAGCGTAGCTTAATCACTAGATCACCACGGCGGGGGGATTATAAGAGATGGTAGTGTGTTTACATTGAATTAAGTGTCAATAAGAAAATGCACGCGTGGCACCCTGCTTATAAAGCACCTCATACAAAACACAAGAATTGCTCCCTGATCCACATTTCTTATAAAGGGCTTCAACTGTATAAAGATATAAACTTTTCTGTTATAACTTTTTGCATCACCTACAATGTGCAGCTAAACCTTTGTTTTAAGTTGAAAAGTGATTGGTTCTGTCTTAGTGCAATGTGGTGAAAACTGTCATGTGCTGCCCCCATTGTGATGATGATGCAAAGATGCAGTTTCTTTATATCTGAGTTTGCTTAGCTTGTCTATTGGAAAAATAAGGATAGTAATGGCAAGCCATGATATAGGCGTAAGCAGGGCATTAGCATGTGTTTGGTTCTGTCGAAGTACTCACCCCTGTGAAAGTTCTCTCTGGTTAGCAGAAACTAGGTCTTTCTAACTGAAGTTGATGCAAGTATTTTAGAAGCCACAAACCCGTCATAGACACCTTCCTTTAAGCATCAGCATCCAAAGAGACATGGCGATATCAATGTAAGAATGGTCTGTACAGTTATTGAACTGAAATCTTTTTTATTATCAAAAGCAGTTCAAATGTTAGAAATGCAGATGGTAAATGAAAATTTTATTCACTCTTTTGAAAGACATCAGTCACTCAGGTTTTTCAGCTTGTGAGGTGGACTTTCAGCGTCACTCGCATTTATCAGTGTTGTATTGACTGACTTTCGAAGCTGGTGATGTTAAAAAAAAATAAACTTTCCTCGCCTACAGCTGGTATGAACCAAGGAAATTAAATAAAACTAAATAACCTTG